GTTCCAGGATCGGACTAGTATTTTTAATAATATTTGATTTAGTAACTAGGTGAAATGCAGTTTACATACGAGAACTATTTTTATGTTTACCTGTCGTATCTCTATTGAGACATAAATAAGGTGACTTTAAAAGGAAGGGAGATGATGGTCAGACCACCACCCCTTTACTAGAATGTAGGCTTCTGATCAGAGATTCTCCTAAAGACAATAATTCGACTACTAATGTACTCGAATCATGAACTTGATTCATCAAAGTATCTGCCTTTCGACCTGCTGTTGGAAACCGGAATTTCGAAAAATTATTTCACCTCCCTTTCCCCGTCTTCGCTTCTCTTTTATTTCATTATTCAGTAATATTATAACAATGCAGAATTTTCAAAATGCAAGAATTGGGAATTCATCACCCGTCGCTGGTTTCTGGTCTGTACCATTCGATCTTCCATTGGGCTTGGATCGATTCATAGCACGGTTTTCGATCTAAAACATATTTGGAATTAAATCTCGAATTTTGGATTAATTGAGAATTGAAATTGTGAAAGTCACATGGAATGAGAAATTGAAATACATATGGAAACTGTTTTCAAATTCCGTTGCTGAAACGAGACATATTCCACTATTACTCAAAGAATTGACGGAACAGATAGCCAACCATTTTGTCCTAAATGAGAATCACTGTATATACATACCCAACCCATCAGGCGCCTACCCCGGTTGCAACGAGGGTTTACCGATGCCAAGGGTTGATACTCTCCCCTCGTGAGGGTACCTTTCGTGTCCCCATTGAGACATAAAGGTATGACTATCTAAAAACGTTCAATGATATATCGCCTTCCATAACAAATATAAAATTAGGAAGAAAAATTCGAAATGAATTGAATATAATTCTTGAATAGGGACGAAAAACTTATCACCAGTTCGCTGGTTTCTGTTCGGGTTTCCTCTACTGTTCAATTTCTCTGTCGATTAATAGCACGTCGACACGTCACTCCTTCGTTCTAAAACATAGTTAGTATTATAACTCGAATTCAAAATATATTGAGAATCGAAATCATGAATATTACATCAAATAATAAACTGAAACGCGACATATTCAAAAAATGAACGGACCAGTTAGTCAACAATTTTCTCTTGAATGAGAAACACTGTATATACCTAACCCATCAGGCGCCTACCCCGGTTGCAACGAGGGTTTACCGATGCCAAGGGTTGATACTCTCCCCTCGTAAGGGTACCTGTCGTGTCTCCATTGAGACATAAAGGTGACTATCAAAAATGTTCTATGATATATCGCCTTCCATAACAAATATAAAATTTGGAAGAAATATTTGAAATGAATTGAATGTAATTCGTAAATAGGAATGAAAAACTTATCACCGGTTCACTGGTTCCTGGTCTGGTTTCGTTTTCTGTGAATTTTTTTCGTCGATCAATAACACATCGCTTCTTAGATCTAAAAAATAGTTAGTATGATATCTCGAATTCAAAATATATCGAGAATTGAAATCATGAAAGTTGCATGGAAGAAGAAACTGAAATATATATGAAACCTTATTTCAAATTCCGTTGCTGTAACGCGACATATTCTTCTATTACTCAAAAAATGAACGGAACAGACCTAAATGAGAACCCATCAGGTGCCTACCTTGGTTACAACTAGGGTTTATCGGCGCCAAGGGTTGAAACTCTCCTTTCGTAAGGGTTTTCTGAAAAAGACTGTACATTGCACGGACATTTTATGTTTCATATTTTCTTTCTACTATTTTTTTTTATTTTTTTTTCACACGTCTCTTATTGTTTCTTCCTGAACTCACATTGTAGTGAATCTGTAATGTCTCGATGAACAATTGATGATTGATTGGTTAATAAAAGATGACTATCAAAAATAGTAAATTTTGAAGAAATATTCGAAATAAACTGAATAAAATACGAAACAGGAATGGGAAACTCTTTACCGGTCGCTGGTTTCTTGTCTGATTTTCTCTGCTATGCAATTTTTCTGTTGGGCTCAAATGGTTCATTTATCACACGGTTTTTCTTCGATCTACAAAATAGTTGTTATTAAATCTCGAATGTGATGAACATGAAGATGACTATCGGAAAAGATAATTAATAATAATAATAATAATAATGATGATAAAAATATTAATAATAAAAAAAATACTTTATTGAACAACAATATTCAAATGACTATCAACTCAAGTCCTTCTGCCGACAAGTTCCATAAGAAAAATAAATTTTGAAGAAATGTTTCATGTGTTACTTCTAAACGGTTGCCATGTTCGTAGGTATCAATGATAATCAAGCAACTAAATTAACTCATACTAATGCCCGTTTCGATATGTAAACGCTGAACAGTACCTATCACTTATATTGTTGTGTTACATATGACAAAATATGGAAAAATTGTTTTTCAGGGGGGCGAGAAGAAATTCAATATGGGTACAATAAAAAAATGCAGGGTCGATTTTAGTATATGGTGAATCAAACAAACAAAAATGACACAAGTTATTTTGTTAAACCATTTGAATCAACCGTACACGACGAAATCTAATATACGACTAGCAATTGAGTGCCGAGTGGCTGGCTCGATCCATTATTCTGATGATTCATTAGTTACGTCACCTTTCTAAACGATAAATTCCTGAAAGATAAAATTTCATGTATGACTAAATTTGATACGGAAAAATAGTTTTGCAGGAGGTGAAAATAAATCATATTTATCTACAATTATAAAACAGGGTAATTTTTAGTATATAGGGTGAGTCAATATAGTGGGTTCACTTTCCTAATTAGCCAAACCGACAGACGAAATTCAAATACAACAGAGTTATAAGGTTTCATGAAAACTATCACCTAAAATTATTTTCATATCTATAGGGTGTACGAATTTCAAGATATCGGCTGATGATGAGTTTTTCAAATAAGACACGCTGTTTTTAATCGCATTTTCGAATGCACTGTCAAAATAGCTACACAACTATGTTTTATTTTCCATATTTGACTCCACGGTTGCCAAGTTGGTTGAACATTTCCGTGAAAAACTGAAATGAATTCACACGAGTGAGTCCAAGATGTGTTCCATTCGTTCCTACGAAATCAGTTCGAGTTATTGAACACTGTCAATGTTAGACGGAAAAACTTGCCGAAACTTCATTATTTCAAAAAATAGAACACCCTGTATTTTTTTACGATATCGGTTCCATATCCAAATTACCCTCAATTTTCATAAAGTATGTCCTATACCTTAATTTGCCGTCTATTATATAAATCGATTGAAATACAGGGTGTCCTAAATAAAAACAAAATGACGAGCTATTCGCACTTCGCGTGCAAAGATGTTCCATTCTGCAACTTCCTGTATATGAATGGCTATTAGTACCGAAGTATACAGTATTTTTAACATTTTAACATTAAATTTCATGTGTTGAAGAATGGTATACCAAATTTCGAATAGTTTCGTATACCTTATAAATAAGTCTCTACAAAATGCAACTCATTTCGATACCCATTTTTAGTAGTTAACAAAGCGAATTATTCCATCCTGAATGAATACTAAATTTTAAAATATTTGTGTTAAATCATAACAAAATGGTGAATATTTCCGCAAATTGTTGCATCAATAGCCATCTAGTTCCTCTGTATGAATAGGTAAATAAAGCAAATTTCGAAATTTTTTCATCGTTATATGGAAATATACCGAAGCAAAATACCAACCACGTGATGAATGCCTCCATTTACATATATTATACAGAAACACTTACCATCTTGAAAAAATACAACTTTCACACACTCAAATGAAAATACAATCACTAAGCCGAATATAAATTCCAATTTTCCACTCTTAAATACTTAGAGTTTTTTTTATTATTATCACTTGAATCGACCGCCGTACGCGATGAAGTCTAGAACGAGACTGCTGATTGGTTTGATTTATCATTCAAATGACTAATTAGTTACGGAGTTCTTTCTACCGATTAATTCCCGAACAAGTATGACGAATTCCGATATCGATAGTAGGTATACGAGGTGGAGTAAAAAGAAATTGAAGGATATTTTCTCTCATATTCTTATCTATACGGAGTGTTTTTGAAATGAGTTCATATATTCATAAAATCAATGAAATATAGGCTAACGGATATTCCCATGATATCAAATGTTTGCTAATTCTTCTAATCAACCAGGAATTCGATCTCGAATATTGAATGAAAATCGGGAAAAAATAACAAATACGCCACCCCAAATCAATTTAAATGATTGAACTCCGCGTGAATGAATCTTCCGCACGGAAATTTGTACAGAGGTGACGTCAGAATTGCTACAGTGTAGAACATTGGGTCGAAGAAGAGAGATTTGCCACATTTTTCCCGGACACCCTGTATGGTTGGTTATATCTTGTAGGCTGGCTTGTAGGTATTCCTAGTTTACTTCCTAGGCTTTCATAATCCTCCTCAATTCGTATAGTTATAGTAAATTTTAGACCTCTATCACAGAAAACTTTCATCAAACTGAGTAGGAGGAAGAAGAAGAGTCTGTAGTAAGCGTTTACCACTAAAGCTATGAGATTATATTCCAGCAATAAAAATTATAATTACAATATAATATCTCAAACCCGTCAAAACTTGATGACTTTTCTTGTCATCTCCTTCCAAATATCAATTTGTTCTCCCCCTATTTCACCCCCTATAATAATATTTCACTCCACTTTGAGCAATATGGACTTCTACCAAAGATTAACTATATAACTGTTTCACAAACACTTTAGAGTGAAATGAGACGAAGATCTGTCCGTACCCTGTTAAGATGACTTTAACGTCAATTTCCATCAGGGGACCCTAGTCAATACTAGGTCAATACTAGGTCAAAACTTGATGACTTTTCTTGTCATCACCTTCCAAATATCAAATATCTACTGGGTCATGATAACGGTTATGTAGAGGCACTACAAGACATTCCCGATCTAAATTCAGTGATCATGATCGGTAAACTCGTACCTTTGTCAGTCCCAGATCCTCGAAAGGGTCCAGTCGGACCGGGTAACAACGACAAAACCTGAGGAGGACCGACGCAGGCGCACGATCATCGTCGAGAAGAAGAACGGCTCGTTCGGCTTCACGCTGCAGAGCTACGGCATCCACTACAAGCGGGAGAAGGAAATCGAGATGATTACTTACGTGGACTACGTGGACTACGACGGACCAGCGTACAGGGCCGGCATGCGAGAGGGGGATGTCATCCTGTCAATCAACGGCAGCGACATGGAGAAGGCCGACCACAAGACGCTGGTGAACTACATCAAGAATTGCGATGCGAGGATGCGGATGGTGGTGCTGTTTGAGGATTGCGTGAGGAAGGTTGGTATGTTTTTCACTCATCTATCGATGTACGACCAAGATTTAAAGTCAACCTGACATACCAACTTAGCGGCGTGATGTTTGCTCTATTCACATCTAGTTTTTGGTTGTGCTTGTAGTAATAAGTAGTAGCAGTAGTAGTATTGTATAACCCTCTATGAGGAGATGCAGTACTTGACGGTATCTGCCAAGGAACTTCTCTCCGACTTTCTTGGACCGGTCACTAGGTTTCTAGATTGCCTGCGGTTGCCTATAATCCTTCAATATTCTCTGACTTCCTGAAATAATCCCCAATAGAGGCTCCCCAGAGAACGGGGAGTTCAGCTAGTTTTTCAAGAGCATCCCCGCATTCTTGCACTAATTCTGAACTTGGTTTGGGATGGCAGATAGCTTTGAGCGCTGCTTGACTATCCGAGCAGATGTGAATCTTTTATGCTGTGGTCCCTCTTCCATCTTTTACATTTCTGCTACTTCCAGAATAGCAAATATTTCAGCTATAATCTGTAGAATATTTTCCCATGGTATAACTGTGTATTATACCTCTTCCTTCTTGGTAAATTCCTGCACCAGAGAACTTTCCTAGGCAAAATTCCACTCTGTTTTCTTCCCACTGTTTCCTGCTTGGAATTGCGAAACTTCTATTCCATCGCTGAGTCTACTTTCATCTTTTCTCTTGCGAGTGGAGAAAGGAATCTCCTGCTCCATCCATTTCGCAATTTCCACGTGACCTATCACTGCTCCTTTGTTGATCCAGCTCCCAGAGTCCCCCATCCTCTGGTGGACAGCCATTGCTTCCCTCTTAATCCAGATCGGAAGCGGCGACAGCCCCAGCAGTTATCACAGTCCAATATGAAAGTAAGTGATTGAACTATATCTTTGAGAGCGCATAGGTCTTCCTTTGACGAATGCCAAAACTTATCCAAATTAATCTGAAAACGAAAACACCTAGACATATACATTTCATGGCTGAGCTCCTAGTAGATCCATTTACTGTAAACATTGCTATAATTTCTCATTTAGATCATGCAAGATTCCTCAACTATTCAATGAGGACTAACATTATTTATTATCCACCAGACCGCGCCACTGAAACGTTCTGTGGAATCGATTTTTCAGCTGTAGTACTATAACTACTTCTTGAGGAGGCAGCGAAATGCTGTGTGGTATTTAACATCGCGAATGTGATACGTGATCGTACAAATTCCCTTCTCAAGTTACTGCCTTCAACCGGGACCGAAAACACAACAAAAACTATCGCCGGCGGCTCTTGACTTCAAAATGTTTCTTTTTTGTTGTTGTTTTGTCCGTTTGGTGGAAATCAGCCTTAAGTGCGCTATAGCCCTTATTTGATACTAACGATCCAATATATAGAATCACGAAATTTGGAACCTGAGCATATTTTGATGTTGCAAATAGATTCGTGGTACGAACAACATGATTTGATATACAAGGAGGGGCGAAACTCGTAATTCTGGGGGGTATAGTCTCACGTATGGATATGTTCATTTGTTAGAGTCCAAGTACCATTGACCGGCTCCAGAATCTTTGACAAATAATCATATATTCGCGTTCTGTGGAACCAATTCGTCCATATTATCGCAGGTGGAGCTGCACATGAGGTACATCCAGCTGCAAAGGATCCTGCAAGCGAAGATGGAGGAACTCGACCGAATATGCATGCGCGAGCGTCAGCTGCTGGAGGGCAAGTGGAAGACGCACAGCCTGCCGGCCAGGAAGAAGGCGTCGCAGGCGAGTAGTGGCGGGGGGTTGCCCACCCCCACGCAGTCCTCGTACTCGTACTGCCGGCCGACGGTGTCTACGGAAGATGTGGCCAAGGTGGCGCAGCAGCAGAAGCAGCAGCCCATGGTGTTCGCCTATCAGTACCTCGACTCGCAGTACAGGTGATTGATTGTACAGGGTGGGCCAAATTGGACACTTTCAATGGGAAAGTCCTATTTCCAAACTAAATAGATGGACGAAAACTGATGTCGGTGTCTGATGGTCAATTTTTATGAAAAACTTGATAGTGAAAACCGCACATCGATATCTATCATCGTTTCTGAGTTACAGCATGTTTTTGGAAAATGTGCATTTTCGAAAACTTGCTGTAACTTTTTTCCTGTCAAAAATTTGTTGTTTCTATGAAAACATTTCCAAATCTCTTTTTCACGTAAAATTCAATGGTATAAGTAATTTATTTTTTCAAAGTATATATCAATAGAAAAGCCGATATCACTGTGCCCAACATAAGCTTGTCAGGAGTAACCATACATTTGAAGACATCTATTTCTATGCTTGGTATTATCATCAGCAATAACCTATCTTGGGAAAATCACGTGAGATCAATTGCTAAAAGTGCATCCCAAAAACTTGGTTTTCTGTTTCGGGCCAGGAGCTATTTCACTTCCAGTCAGCTGCTTATGATCTAAAAGACACAGATCCGACCTGTCCTGGGATACTGTTCCTATATTTGGAGTGCAGCACCCAAACATACCCTGAAACTGTTGGATTCTGTCCAAAAATGGCAATTCGTCTTGTGGGTGATGTCTCGCTCACAAACTCACTCACTTCTCTAGAAGACCGTAGAAAAGTTGGCGATCTGGCTCTATTTTATAGATATTTTCATGGACGATACTCTTCTGAAATATCAACAATTGTTCCTCCCTTGGCAGTTAGTCCCCGCGAGATTAACCCTTCGAGTTGATGCTTCGCACCCCTTCGTGGTCACTTTGGAGACCTGCAGAACATCTCTTTCCAATGACTCGTTCATCCAGCGAACAGCGAGGCTCTGTAACACATTGCCAAGGGAGGTATTCCCCGAGGCATATAACCTCCAGAAATTCAAGGAGAACACCAATTGATACCTTATTTGCCTTGGTTCTCACGATGTTCTCTGAACATTCCAGGATATCGCTTTTCGTGGGAACCAGAACATAAAAAAAAAATGCTTCATGAACGTGAAATAGCCTAGCAAAATATCACTCTGTTCTGAATAACTTCTCATAATTCTGTCTGTAATTGTTAACTCAATTATATTGTCGTACAACAATACCACTCGTTCTGACTCGTGGTGTTGCTAGACAACACAATATCGTGAACAATGAAGCCACAAAATTATCTCGTAATATTACATAATATGATAACGCTCACTTTCAGCCAAGAACTTTCGAAAACAGATTTTTTTCCTGAAATTAAAGAGGCTTTGAAGATCTTTGTTGCTTTACCTTGTAAAACTTGCACAGTTGAGAGGTCATTTATGGTTGCCTTCGGAGAATCAAAACCTGGTTGAGGAGCACCAGGTCTGAAGCTCGACTCAATTTTCTCGCAATGATGAGTGTACACAGGCAACATATTTTCAAACACTTAAACGATTTCGTCAACAAGGTGACCAACGAATTCACAAAGAACCCTAGAAGATCAGTGTTCAATTGATTTTCTATATAGATTTATTTCCGTTTCTTAATTTTTCTCATTTAACTTTTCTTATTTGGTTTTCCTCTATAGTTTTTTATGGTGTTTTTCCCCTAGCTTTCTGGCTGGCGACGTCCTTGAAATCGGTATTTATATATTTTTAGGTACATGCTTCAGCCCTCACCGAGCAGTAGTGGCGAATACCTCCTCACATTCGAACCACCTCGTTACAAGGATCAACAAAATTTCATCGTGAAGACTCCCAGCGACCAGAAACAATCGCGGGGCAATCAAACAAACATGGGCAGCCTCGAGAAGCAGAAAAAACCGCCCATTGCATATCCTAGTTATGCAGGTGAGATTAAAATTAATTTTTCACTATTTTGTACAATGTTTCTACAAAGAATGACATGTCGAAGACTGGAAACGATAATCACACTATACTGTTTTGCCAATAATCTGAATGATTTTTTAATGACTCGACACGTATTTCGCTAACTATGTTAGCATCTTCAGGAAGAGGTCAAAACTGAATATTGTTATATTACTTTGTTACTTTGTGATGTTATTCAGAGAGATGCTTAATATGTCACAAATTCCCATTTCGATCGCGACTTGTTCGAGAAATAGAATAGGTTCATTCGGGTTCGAACAATTACCTACAGTTCTAGAACAGTCGGGAGTTTTCGCAGTAGAATCGGAAGCGTTCGGGTTTTGTGGAACTGTTCTAGTACTGACTCTTTACGCGTTCGGGCTTTTTCAGAATCGTCCTGGGACGGTCCTAAAACTATCCGAAACCATGGAGAATGAACCGTTCTAGGATTATATTTGGCACATGTTCATTTCATTTAGTTTTCGATTCTGTCTGTTGTAGCGTAACGTCATAATGATATATTTTTCTTTATTCAACAGTTTATTGGTCTTTTCAATATTTTCTCAATATCATGAAGTTATAGTAGGTACATTCATTTGATAGTAGTAGTTCTTCATCTTCAGGAAGCAGTGGTGAAGGAGTTCCTTGCTGAAGTTGCTGAAAATATTGTGCCTAATCTGATAATTCCCGAACTTTTGTTAGATAATTCGAAAAATGGAGGATTATGTTGGGGATACTTTGCCATTATATTCAGATAGACAATTCCTTGAACATTTCAGGTGGGTGTCGAAATTCATGTAGGTACAAAGGGACGAAACATATTGAAAATCTAGCTACGAATGCTATGATGAAATATATTCACCATGCCTCCACAGAGTGCTTCCAGAGATATTGTAGAATAGACTCAAAAAAGGAGAGTTTGAAGCTTCAGAATATTATTCGAATAAAGATACAGGTCCCCCAACTATTGTTTTTTTCGCAAATTCTGAATAGAGGTTATATTCTCAGAGTCCTAGGATTCGAAACGACTGCGCACTATAGTTCTACGCTGTACGAGAACGATTCTTGACCAGTTCTGAGATCGGAATCCGAATGAACCTATTGAATTCGACTTCATCATCGTATCGTACGACAAACGGGAAAGAGAATAACCCCCCTGCCGAGTGGGATTACCTACCTAATTCCCATTCATATGGGCTGCGTGCAAGAACTGTCAGATGACCGACGCTGGAGGCAAAACATTGAAACACAACGTCACTTTTCTTATTTGTTCACAAGTGATCGAAATAGTTTTTCACGATTATTTTGGCATACGAATCGTATTTTTCTGCTATTCATCAATTCGCTCATGCCATCACATTATGCTGTTGTGAAATGCACAAAAACTGCAGCGGAAGACGAAGTAATCCGGTTGGTACATTATGATTAAGAGTAAGTACCCACTATAGTCACACACATATAGTTTTCATTTTTGAAATTTGATCGGAATTCCTTCTGCGATAGGAGCTAATAGAAATACACCTGAAATTTCTAAAACAATGCAAGAAGATTGGATTCATGCAATCAATCCGGAGGACTGGTTTGACATGCTGACGATCGTGTGTGTTGTAGACATTTTCAATCTAATTCATTTCAGCTAATACTGCTATTAGCTTGTATTGCAGAAGTGGCAGAAGGCAGAAGGAATTTTAATAGGGAATGACAACATTTCATAATGATAACTATGTGAGATTACTATTTACCTGAAAAATCATATTCTTTAGTCTCTTGCTGCATTTTTTTGTGCATTGTACAACAGCACTTTGCGGAGGCATGCTCGAATTAATGAATAGCGCAAAAAACACGATTCGTATGCCAAAATACTGTGAAAAACTATTTCAATCCTTTGATTCCTCTGTAACCAAATAAAAAAGTGAGGTTGTGTTTAAATAATTCACAGAAGAATGAGGTTGTGTTTCAATATTTTGCCTCCAGGGTCGGTCATTGTGCACGCGACCTATTATTCATAACATAACCTCATTGGCGCAGGCCAGCTGTGCAGCCCGTGCGTGCAGTCGGCCGGCAGCTCCAGCAACGGCGACAACGCCAGCCTGGACGCCTACGACTTGGCAAGCCCGTGCTGCGACCCGCGCTGCGTGCCCTCCAGGCGCCGGTCGCGCAGCCACAAGGACCATCGGCGAAGGAGAGAGGCGGAGACTGAGGAGGCGCAGGCGCATGCGCGAGAGGAGCGAAGGTCGCAGGGAAGGGCTAGGCCGCGCTCGCAGGCCTCGGCGCAGCAGAGCGGCGGCGAGGATGCGCAGACTGCTTCGTACTCTGCGCCGAAGAGGTGAGCCATATCCCCCAGCCAACATCACAGGCAACCATATAACGAATGATCACGTCACTGTGACGTCCCTAATTGGTGATTTTTCGTCAGAGACGTCACACACTAATTTATGACGTCACTATGACGTATTTTCTATGACGTCATCATCTCGACTTCGAGTGAACGTCACTTAGAAAAGTAATATAAGACGTCAGTTTCATGACGTTGCAGGGACGTCCGGTCGACAAAAATTGCAACTTCCTAAGAATCCAAATACTGCAGAAATATACATTCAATTCAAGCTATGTTTTGGATAAAAAATATATGCAAAAAAGTGATGATAAGTTCAAAAATGCGCTTATATACACGGAGTCCCATTCGAAATAACAAAGATGCTGCTACTTTCTGGTATAAGCCGCAACACTGCATTGCTGAAAATATTTCAGATCGATATATCAATTACTTGAGTAACCAAATTTTCAGAATGATCTAATGTCCCGTTCTCCGTAAACGTCTAAGGTGCCATCAACCGTGACCCACCCTGTATATATATATATGCAAAACGTCTTATACACCTCCAAATATTATACTCTGTGAACGAACACGCCTCAAAAATCGGAGGCGACTTCGAAAAATCGGAGGCCAAATCGAACACCTGTGTATATCTGATTCATTCGCATGGTTACCTACTGGAAGCCATAAAAACGAACTTTCGATCAGAGGCCATTTCGTCAGTCACACACATACAGTTACACGATGTAGTTCACTGTAGGTACACTAGAGGCGCCACCGTTTAATACACATATACACTTTGAATAAATGCTCCAGCCGAATGAGACTCCACATGGTTTGATGTCAATAGACACCCAACATATGGCAACATTGTTCGGAGGTAGATTATTACGGCGAGTTCAGATTTGTATGTATAATTCAGAATTCACGTTTTATCATTTTGGAATGTGATTTGGATTCCGAAAATGCTGAGGACCGTTAATATAATAGTTTACTTTCTCACATCATGAAATAATGAAAACGAAAATGAGTTTTGTAATTATGATCCGATTCTATTAAAAATTGGTATCTAGGGGTTTTCGGGGTCGAAGATTTTATGATTCTTTCATCAAAGTTGGAAAATACAAAATGGCGGTTCCAATATGGCGGACGAATTTTGTAATTATGATCCGATTCTATTCAAAATTGGTATCTGGGGGTTTTTAAGGCCGAAGATTATAATTCTCTCATCACAATTCTAAAATTCAAAATGGTGGCTCCATTATGGTTGACGAGTTTTGTATTTATGATCTGATTCTGCTGAAAATTGGTATCTGGGGGTTTTCGGGGTCGAAGATTTTGATTCTTTCATCAAAATTGGAAAATTCGTAATAGCGGCTCCAATATGGCGAACGAGTTCTGTAATTATGATCCGATTCTATTCAAAATTCGTATCTGGAGGTTCTCGAGGTCGAAGATTATGATTCGTTCATCAAAATCAGAGAATTCAGAATGGCGGCTCCAATATGACGGACGAGTTTTGTTATTATGATCTGATTCTATTCAAAATTGGTATCTGGAGGTTTTCGGGGTCGAAGATTATGATTCTCTCATCGAAGTTGGAAAATTCAAAATGACGGTTCCAATATGGCGGACGAATTTCGTAATTATGATGCGATTCTATTCAAAATTGGTATCTGGGAGTTTTCAAGGTTGAAGATTATTATTCTCTCATCAAAATTCAATTAATTCAAAATGACGGCTCCAATATGGCGGACGAGTTTTGTAATTATGATCCAATTCTACTAAAAATTAGTATCTGGGTGCTTTCGGGGTCGAAGATTATGATTCTTTCATCAAAGTTGGAAAATACAAAATGGCGGTTCCAATATGGCGGACGAATTTTGTAATTATGATCCGATTCTATTCAAAATTGGTATCTGAGGGTTTTTAAGGCCGAAGATTATAATTCTCTCATCACAATTCAAAAATTCAAAATGGTGGCTCCAATATGGTTGACGAGTTTTGTATTTATGGTCCGATTCTGCTGAAAATTGGTATCTGGGGGTTTTCGGGGTCGAAGATTTCGATTCTTTCATCAAAATTGGAAAATTCGTAATGGCGGCTCCAATATGGCGAACGAGTTCTGTAATTATGATCCGATTCTATTCAAAATTCGTATCTGGAGGTTCCCGAGGTCGAAGATTATGATTCGTTCATCAAAATCAGAGAATTCAGAATGGCGGCTCCAATATGACGGACGAGTTTTGTTATTATGATCTGATTCTATTTAAAATTGGTATCTGGAGGTTTTCGGGGTCGAAGATTATGATTCTCTCATCGAAGTTGGAAAATTCAAAATGGCGGTTCCAATATGGCGGACGAATTTCGTAATTATGATCCGATTCTATTCAAAATTGGTATCTGGGAGTTTTCAAGGTTGAAGATTATTATTCTCTCATCAAAATTCAATTAATTCAAAATGACGGCTCCAATATGGCGGACGAGTTTTGTAATTATGATCCAATTCTACTAAAAATTAGTATCTGGGTGCTTTCGGGGTCGAAGATTATGATTCTTTCATCAAAATTGAAAAACTCGTGACCTCAGCTCCAATATGGCGAACGAGTTTTGTAATTATGATCCGATTCTATTCAAAATTCGTATCTGGGGGTTCGTATTTCTAGAAGAAACAAACTACACTGCCTTATGTCCTGGCCATGAGAGTTATCGATTTTGGAAGCGTGAAACTCGATTCATGATTTTTCTCAGTTCTTTAGTATAGATTTCTCTCATATACCACCAGACTGTGGATGACAGTAACCTGGAGCGAACTTCGTCTGCTCCACCTGCATCATCATCATCTCCAGAATCGAATCCAAACGACGATATAGCGACGAATAGATCAAAGATTGTAGAAATTAACCTCATCTTATGGTCATCTTCATCCTCAGACATCTGATGAAACCTATAATTCTCTTGATGGTTGAATTCTGCACCTCAGTAGGCATCAGGTATAGATCTATGTTAGTTGATTCAGCCTTTAGCGATCTAGAACGTCGCATGCATGAACAAAGTATGTATTCCGGCAAGTTTGAGTCAACATAAGGCCTATTTTTTTGAGTGATACCAGAGAGGACAGTGCCTCACCTCTAGTTTGCCAAGACTCAATAATTGTTGATGACCTTGTTCCCATTGACCTAGAATTTCTCAGCAGTAGAAGCTTGTCCCACAGTAAGTCTGAGGATCGAAGGATACAGACTATGCACCTTTTTTCGCTAGGCGATCAGCTGCCTCGTGCCCTGGAATCCATGCACATAAACGAAAAGTTTCAATAGTTTGAAAAGTTATTATCAATGTTTCATCAGTATCTATGAACAATACCTATATCAATCAGAATTATTTCAACGTAATTATAACAAGTATAATTATAGCGTATAGAAAAATCAACTTTCCATGTTCCCCCCACTACTTTATAATACGAGAACAAAACTATGATCCATTCGTATGTTTCAGAGCTTCCAAAAATATAGGTGAATGGTGAATTGGAAGGAGTGGAAAAGATGAACTTGTCTGTGACGATTACTACCAGCATACGTCTCCACGTCCGAGCAATCGAATATACGATTTTCTCGTCTATTCACGAACTCGACATGAGCTTTATAGAAAACTCAATGTTTTTTAATCAGTGTATGATGTATTGTCTCAAGTTATGGTAGATTATGAATTATTAACGAATAGCCGACCAAGAGCGCTATTTGGTAAATTTTTTAACTTGCTCTAGCTCCTCACTCACTAGTAAAACATTTACGAGCAAAAACAATGTATGTAAAGAACTAGTTCGCCTATGGCTGACTCACCTAGAACTGGTCAACCTGACGCTTGCTGAGGGGGAAAACTTGATGGTCAAGAGTTTCCTAGCTTTCATCAGATGTCTGGGGATATATAGATGACCATAAGATGGGGAAATCCTTACAGTAGGAGACTGATACCATGAAAGATCCAGTTCTGGAGGTGGTAATGGTGCAGGTGGAGCAGATTGTGTTCGCTCCAGGGTACTTTCATCTCTATCTGACGGTATATGAAAAAAACCTTCTTTTTGCTCAGCTCAGGTATATCAAGAAGCAAGTGTGAAGAATATTATTGAACCTAGTTGATGTAAATATACCTAAACTACTGTTACAAATCAAAAAACGAGTAACACGCTGACGAGAGCAATTAGTCACATAGCAAAATTTTCTCCATATCAGACAATGTAGTTTGTTTTTTCTAGGAATGCGTGGAACTACAAATGACGAAGAACACTACTTCTCTGCAAGATGAGTAAATTTGGTCAATATTCAACTTGCTCTAGCACCTCACCCGTTAGACCTTCATTCATGAACAGAAAGAATTATTTATATAAATTTTCATTCACTTCAACTTTTTATGGAACGGTTTTATCAAACAATTCATAGTTTCCAAGTAACGGGTACAAAACTGAACGTAGTGCGAAAATTTCTCTGTTTTTTTTTGCGAATATTTCGAAACGCTCCAGGAAATTTTGTTTCCAAACTTCAGATCCACATTCAGAATCTCCAGTAGCATATGGTACCGCAGAGAAATCGACTGCTTGATTTTTTTCACGATCGTTTTACTGAGCTATACATACATACTATTGATCACTTTCATAATTTCAAAATGTAAATTGTATTTTTTAATCCACAGCTAGACTCCACTGTTCAACATCATGTTCTTGTAATAAATTAACAAAGCCGATGGCCATGGGCGAAACCTTTTTATAAATTCCTACTATTTTGATTCTACAAACGGATCCAAAACCCAAGAAGCCTCCCAAAAAACTATTTATTCATGAAGTTATTCATTCGACATAAAATAACACGAATTCATCACAAATTTATCACTACTATTTTGTTTCGAGAGGTTTTCGAAACAGTAAGTACGAAAGTAGATATTGAAACAATATGATACAAAAAGCAACAAGTGGCAGTCATATCCATCCCTGCTCCTTTCATGTATCGGCAACACCGCTGGAGGTGAGTACTGCATCTACATATCTTGAAATTATACAAAAGAGGCCACTGAGACGTTTCGTGTTCCGGAGCCCTATTACATTTGAAAATATGGCAAAAAATTGTATATAAGAAAAAGTTCGAAATCATTACCCCTCTCTTGATGCCCTTTGTACTATGACCTCATCCATTCAAATGGAACACAAAACACACAGAAATCTGCTTCCCTTGAGGTGGAGGCCTGGTCGCCTTATAGATGTATGGAGGTGAGTAAGATACCTGTGCACGTATATATGCTTCTTACGTCGATAGAAGTATAACTCATTAGAACAAATCAACATGCAAGTTTTATTGGAATTATATATGCCCAAAAAGTAAGATAAAACTTTTTTTAAACTCTGACACCCTGTGTATCTTGGAAACCAATCAAGCTATATATGTATATATACGAATGATAATATAGATGTACCTATATTGAAATTTGAAACCGTCACTTTGATGATGTTGCAGTGCACGTTGGTGTGACGTGCCAATTTGGTGAGCTTCGTGATTCAGAAAATTTTCAATAATTTCCTATTTAGATTTTTGTTGGGTGACAAATAATGCATGAATATACGTTACTCAACGAAGTGAAGATGAATTCGCCAATATCTTTTACATTGCTATCAAACTATTTTTGGTTTGCTTACATCTCGCCGACACAAACTACATAATTTTTGATACAAATACGAGTAACTGATTTCATTCTGATGGAGATGCGTACTGAGGGTTAGCGCTGCCGAATGGACGATTGAATGAACATGACACCGGAGGGACACCAAGCAAGTTTAAAAATATTAATTAATTAATTAATTATAAATGTGTCTCAATTTCAACGTATTGTGATGATATTTCCCTTAGAGGGGCTCTAGAAACATCATCAGGAAGACAGAAGTACTACCCAACGATCATCCTATAACACGCATCTCAGATTGTTCTCCAACCTCCCAATGATTCCTACATGCACCAGCATATTTCCGAACACTCAATATATGCCGCGGTGAAAAATAACGTGACAGAAGATTCTGGAATGTTCTGGAAACAATCGAAGGAACAATTAGAGAGAGAGAGGTATTGCTCTAAGAAGCTTTTATGTAGAACAAAAAGAAGGGTACAGAAGATCATTCGAGAACTTTCGAGAAGCAAAGACTACCAAGGGATCTCATATATAAACGGCCGGATAACTGCCGTCAAGCAGCGAGTGTCAGAGAGACAGTCATATACCGCGTGATATAAATCGTTTTACATAAATAGTAGTTATAAGTTCGATATAAATTAGTGTTTCTCAAGTTCAAATAAATCAGTTCGAAAATAAATAGTGTCGTGTTCGCTTCTGCATCCGAATAACATAACAGTATTTTTGCTTTAGTGGTATTCTTCGTGCAAAAGCATCGAAATAAAACAGAATTGGTAAGACGCAGTTTCGCTTTGCGGAGTCATTTTTTCATTCATTTTCACACGTGTTGCATTGTATTGATTGTGTCAAATCTGTTTTTCTCCGATTGGCAGCAGATATTAATTTTGCTGACACATATCAATCAGCAAAGTATTACTTTTCCTGTCTAGGCAGCAAAGTGGGTACTTTGCTGCCTTTTTCGGAGAATGTATTACTTGCTTATTTCGCTGGATTATCTCGAACAATGAAGAGTTCTATCAAATTTTATTTTAATTGAACACTACAGGAAAAATTAAGAGATTGTGGGAATTTTAATAATTTGCAAATACAATATCCTCCTATATCATTTTGAACAATCGGAGAAAACATTATATGTTCAACTCGGCAGTCAATCTACTACTTTGCTGCCTAGTTAAATAAATAACTATTTTCTTCATTTTCATAGAGTTCTTGGCAAGTAGGTGATAATTCATAATAATTCATATGCATTTATGGTAATTTGGTACTGAATATGAGTTCGATCTCTTTGAAACCGATGACAACCTCGACAAAGACATCATCCTCTGATTCAGATGGTCAACATCAACAAGATAATGAAATCGACAGCGCTTGATGATCAATCGTCTGTGCAGAATGTGTCAAGTTACTACTTTGCAGAAACTGTTTCACGCCATATCATACATGGAGCTGTAAAATTATATTGAATAAAGATTTGACAAGACTTAGACTCTTATTTCATAGGTTACCTGTGGGAAATATACATATATCCATTCAACAATACCAATGGGGCATATTTGTCCCATCCGTTAATGTCAAAAAACAAATTTTACATGATGCAAACCTGTAGGAGTAACCTAACTATATATGTATACAAAATAAGTCAGAATTCACAATTCCAACTCAGAAAGGGTTAAACCGAGGGTTTAACTATAGAAACAGGGAGAGAAAATCCCAAAAGTGTAGAGCGAGTTGAATTTCTTTCAAGTATTTTTCAATTCCTGTATATGAATGTCCTGAATAATGTGTTCCAGATATTTCCACATAGGAGCAGGCCTAGTGAGTCAATGCAGCCTTCACTCGTGCACCTCTAGCGAAATGAGTAACGCAGCGCCTACCGCAGTAGCAGTTGACAGTTCCGCCAACAGCTACACCACGTCCCTCAGCACTGACACCCTGTATTGGGACGGCTCCTGTGATACTTCCAATTCTAGGTGAATATAATCATTAACCATTTGATATAGTTGACCATATGAATCTCTTAGAATACATGGAATCGATGGGAGGCAATCAGCACTAAATGTGATATGCCAGAGTCTAATAAACTTCCAATAAGTGAAGGTGTTCCACAGGGATCTGTTTTAGGGCCCATTATGTATTCATTATGTATTCAGAATATTTCTGAAATTGGATTGTCAGATATAATTGCACTATTTATGCAGATGAAACTGTACTTTTATACGAAAACAAAAACCCCATCATTCTAGAGAATATTATTAACGAAGAAAATTTGAAAAATGGCTTTATTCAAACATTTTATCAATTAATACCGATAAAACTGAATATATAATATTCCATTAGAAAAATAAACAGAATATTAGTCTCAATCTTCAAATTAAAAATAAAGTATTGGAAAGAACTACACAAATAAAATATCTTATTGGTATGTGGATTGAAAAATTGAAATGGGACAAACAAATTCGAAAAATCTCTCCACTCATTGGAGCTTTGCGAAGATGTCCTAAACTTGATGAAATAGTCATAAACATAGTACTTCATTCTCGTATACTCAGTCGTACTATATCGTCTGCAAAGGTGTGGATAGGTCATGCAAGTGGTTGCTCCCAATAGATCGTTGATATGAAGTAGGAAAAATGTTGGTGCCAAGATTGAACCTTGTGGAGCGCCGGAATTGATGGCTATCAGATACTCCGGCCAACACCACATGGAGCGATCTACCTGAAAGGAAACTCGATAAAAGATGGCATAGCTGAGGTGGTAAGCCGTTTGATGGTAGTTTGTGGAGTAGTCCTTGGTGCCAAACACGGTCGAATACCTTCGATACATCTACTGCTACAGCTAGAGATTCCTCATGTTCTTCTAATGAAGTTTGCCATATATGGATGACGTAGGCGAGTAAATCTCCAGTTGATCTTCGGTGGCGAAAGCCATATTGTCTATCATTAATGATTCCTGAGCTTGTTGATGGCTTTCTGCATCACTCTGGAGATGACTGATAACAATTGGCCTATAGTTGTTGGGCAGGCTCTTCTGTCTCCTTTTTTGGGGATTTGTTGGACTCTATTTTCTAGCAAGATGGAAAAATACTATACTCGTAGGATATGGTAAATAGCTTTTTTCTCCGATTGGCAGCAAATATTAATTTTGCTGACACATATCACATATCAATCAGCAAAGTATAACTTTTCCTGCCTAGGCAGCAAAGTGCTTACTTTGCTGATTGATATGTATCAGCAAAATTAATAATCCATAAATCGTTTATAATTTCCTTCATATTTCATCCGAGACTTCTCCGGCAACAAATTCAACTTTATATTTTTTGCCACCTCCCATATTTCTGGAGGTTTAAGTACTTCCAGGTCGCTATCACTGTCCATTATACAGTGCTAGTCAAAAGTCCCCTCCCCCCCTCGTATCTTTTGAACGGGTATACTTATAATAATGAAATTTGGAGGGTGGAAATAAACGGATGTAGGCTTCTCAACTGGTCATAACAGGTGACGCAATAGTCATAAATGACGTCACAAGGCCATTATTATAAGTATACCCGTTCAAAAGATACGAGGGGGGGAGGGGACTTTTGACTAGCACTGTATAATAATTTGAATATACCGATATTTTTTCGCGCAATTGTCAGAAATTTCATGGATTGTCAAACTATAATTATTATGGACATTTCCATAGCAACCAACCATTCCAACAACTGCGATTTCTATCAAATTTTATTTTAATTGAACACTACAGGAAAAATCAAGAGGTATATATCATTATGAACAATCGGAGAAAAAATTATATGTTCAAATCGGCAGCAAAGTAGATTGACTGCCTACTACTTTGCTGCCTAGTTGAACAAATAACTATTTTCATGTTCTGGTTCCCACGAAAAGGGATATCCTGTAATGTTCAGAGAACATCGTGAGAACCAAGGGAAATGAGGTAGGAATTGGTGTTCTTAAATTTCTGGAGGTTATATGCCTCGGGGAACACCTTCCTTGGCAATGTGTTTCAGAGCCTCGCTGTTCGTTGGATGAACGAGTCTTCGGAAAGAGATGTTCTGCAGGTCTCCACAGTGACCACGAAGGGGTGCGAAGCTTCAACTCGACGGGTTAATCTCGCGGGGACTGCCAGGGGAGGAACAATCGTTGATATTTCAGGAGAGCATCGTCCATGGAAATAACTATAAAATCGAGCTAGATCGCCAACTTTTCCAGAGAAGTGAGTGAGTTTGTGAGCGAGGCATCACCCACGAGACGAATTGCCTTTTTTTTGGACAGAATCCAACAGTTTCAGGGTATGTTTGGGTGCTGCACTCCACAGCTGCACAGTATTCTTGGGCAGGTATTGTGCCTTGTAGATCATAAGCAGCTGACTGGAAGTGAAATAGCTCCTGACCCGAAACAGAAAACCAAGCTTGTGGGATGCACTTTTAGCAATTGATCTCACGTGATTTTCCCAAGAAAGGTTATTGCTGATAGTAATACCAAGCATCGAAATGGATGTCTTCAAAGGTATGGTTACTCCGGACAAGCTTATATGTTGGGCACAGTGAGTTCGGATTTTCTAGAGAAAAGGCATGCTTGTGTTTTGTTTGCTTTGAAATCTACCAAGTTATTGGTGTCAATTCCGGTGCACACTTGTTGAGAATAATGGGTGGAATTCCATCAGGACCATTGGACTTATTTGTTCTGAGACCGAGCAGAATGCGTCTGATAGTACACGTTGACGAACGACAATTTAGGGAATTCGACTTTCAACGGGTGGAATGTCTGGCGGTACCCTTCCATGGGAATCCAAGGTGCTGCGAACATCTCTGCAAAAATGTTCGCTTTCTCTTGCGATGTTGTTCTTGGGTCTTTGATGATTTGGGTCGTTTATGAGTTGGACCGTTGATGAGTTGAGTGTTGATGAAACTGATGCGTTAATGAGGTGAGTCGTTGAACAGTAAGGTCGTTAGTGAACTTGATGATGGTGACTGGGTGTGTAGATAAGTTGGGCCGTTAATGAGTTGGGTATTATTGAAATGGGAGTTGTTCAGTTGTCTAGCTGGGATTCAACCCATTTTCTAAGAGTTCTAGCTCTGGAAATATAACATGAATTAATTGAGAGGGACTAGAGGGACTAATATATATTATATCTATTCAGGCAACATAGCGTCAAGTCCAATAACAAGCACGATCACCAAAGATACTCACAGCAACCAGACACCATTTATGTTCAGTATGGTCAAGTGAAACCCAAGTCATGGGACAACTTGACAACGAAGGCGTTCGGAGGGTACGGTTTTGGCTATGGGTATGTATATTGTTATAATAATTATTTAGGTGGGAAAGTATCCTGGAAGTTGGAAAAAGCGTTAAAATGGGCCAATTTCTAGTATTTATTATCGGAATTCGATGATTTTAGAATGGTTAATGGTTGGTCATGAGAATAATTAATGGTTATAATAATACGAACAAGACTTGTGAATTGCTTATAGAATAAATGATACGTTGGGAAGGTTTATCAGGAATAAAAAAGACATAACTTCTGTATACGAAAAAGTATACAAACTGAGCTGAGTATCTTTTCTCATGGTATACAGGGTGTTTCAGATTCAGATGTACGTAAGATACCTGCAGATAGAGAACACTTTGATGCTTCCAGAGATACATGACGTTTTCTTGTTTTTGGCAAAATATTCATTTGGTCATGATTTTTGAACCACTTTGTATAATCAATTCATACTTGGTAGAAATATATGTCACTTATATTAACTATCCAAACCGAATAAAAATCGAGATCAGAATCCTGGTCCGCTTAATGAGAAACAGATAACTTATTTTTTTCTGAAACATCACTCTGTATTACTAAATTGTATAGATCTGTTTCGATATTTGAAGAGAGCAGGAAAAAATTAATAAAGGGACCGACATTTCACGAGCGCGCATCCAATTTGACAGATGTTTCAATATTATTTTTTGAAATTCTGTCTCTATTTTGAGGCATATTTATTGAACTCGTAATTCAAAATCCAATCCAAGTATTATTTTTTCAAGTTTAACATCATTAGAGTCGAATTAGGTGAATTATCGATAGAATTGTTCATTTTACAAATTATAACTTTTCAACGATTTAAGAAATTTTCGAGGTCTCACATTATTATTCACTATTCATTCATGAGCTGCGGTATACTAGGCTGAGCAAAAAAAAACAAAATGCTGACAGCTCGTATAATTACTAGTGTGATATTATTAGTAATATTAAGATTAATGTAATGTGAGCATGATCATTATGAACACTTTGAAATGCAACAGCACAATACAATAAGCACCAACAGTCATTATTTTAACGTTACCAATAATATAACAGTAGTTATTAGTGATTATGAACTGTCAGAATATTGTAATATTCTGCACAGCCTACTTATTTCCGCAGCTTATGAAGAATATAATGAGCCTTCAAGAATGTCTAAAAGATATTCTGTCAAACGAACAAATCTGACGATAATTAATCTTATTTGACTCTCATGATGTTGATTTATGAAAACTGTTATTTTAAATTATAATTGGGTGTTCGATAAAACATTCCCAAAATGGAGCAGAATATTTCGAAAAATGATTTCAAAACATCTGTCAAAATGGATGCGAGATCCTGAAAAGTAGGTCAGTTGATTCGTTTTTTCCCGATCCCTTCAAATATCAAAATAGTTTTATGACATTTCGCCATTGGAATTGAAAGAAGTTATCTGTTTTTCCCCAAGACAGACCTGGATTCTGATCTCGATTTTTATTCAGTTTTAATGGGTAATCTTATAGTCACTGGATCTACTAATACCATCCAGTGACTCTATAGGTAATATTAGTGCGATATTTCCACAAAGTATGAATGTATTATACCAAAGTGGTTAAAAAATTATGAAAATTAAGGAAACGTCCTGTATCTCAGTTATTAAATATGGTAGACACATCAATTGGAGGTCACTTGAAACCATCCTCCATTTAAACGTATATATGTAAATTTTAATCTGAAACACCCTGTATATATTGGTCAGACACGTAAAATGTGTAATCCCAGCATTTCTGCAAACATCATAAGATTTATTGTGGAATCGTATCGTTACAAAATAAAGAGAACCTCAATCGACACCTGCATTAAAATGTCTTATCAAAGTATATGTTTCTAGGCTCTTTGATGTTTTTTGATTGAAAAAATTGATCTGCCAATATATTATGTATGGTAAAAGTCCATGGTATCTCAAAGTGGAGTGAATAGATTCATAAACAAGACACACAAAGTCATCTCCACAAATTTAAATTTGTGGAGATGATTTTGTGTGTCTTGTTTATGAATATATTATGTTATTGGTGATTCCTCCCACCCTATTAGTACTTGATGATTATAAATATTCCTAACTAGCATTATCCATTTTCAGATATGTGGATATGTCTTCTAAAAGCACTCAAAAAACTGGGAGGACGCATAATAAATCACAGAGCACACAGTACGCAAGGGTTGATAAGCAGACAAGCACTAACAGTTCCGGTTCCGGTGGACAATCCCAATATACACCACACAGCCATAGAAGGTAACTATATACCTACCACTACATATTGATGGAGGTAATTCCTTTACTTATGTTTCAGGACTGAAAATGCCTATCTTGTATAATAGGAAATTCATTAAAATTCCGTTCTAGTGTCATTTGTAGTATTGATATACATAATCTTGTGAATCAAAAAATAAATAGTAGTTTGAGAAATTTGAACGGAGGAGCTAATATTTTCCATGTTCTGTATATATCAACACATTTTTTTTATTTATTTTTTAGTTTACAAAAGCAAAAGCGAGTATCAAAGATTGAAACATTTGGTACGATAATACACTACACTGTTTTACTCCTAACCAAACCGCTTTTTTATACGCCTCGACACTTGTTTCGCTTACTATGTTAGCATATTCAGGAGATTAAAACTAAATATTATATTTTAGTGTGCTACCTATATGTACTAGGTATGTCCACCCAACCGTGAAAGACACTAAATGTCAAGTAAATGTTTGTCATGGTTGAGTTCACATGTTCACCTTGATCTTATATCACTAAATTGAACAGTGTGATGTTACAAAAGCGTGTTTTTGTCTTTTTTTCTGCAACCGACACCAAAGTCGTTTTAATACCAAAATTAGCTGTTGAATTGACGTTTCTATTACTGACACAAACATAGGTATGTTGCTAGGCAACACTTATAGTTCCTAGGAGCTAAAGTTGAGCTCTAGCTCCTACGAACTAAATAGGATGTACAAGAGGTCATCAAGAATAATAGTAGATTGTTTTATTAGGATCAAAAGTGACACTTTGTTTGACAAGCGAATGTTGCATTTGCGAGGCGGAACGTTTAGCGTTTAGCGATGCAAAATCTGATAAGACCATCACGAGTTTCACAAAAAAGTGGCACAGGACCGCGAAAACCGCAAGGTTCTATCTCCAAAGATAACTGAGATATGCAAAAGGTATAAAATCGTACATTTGAAATGTTGGTGAAGGAGCATTTGCAAATTTGGTGGAAAAACATCATTCACCTTCAAATCGATAAAAAATCAATCACTCATCTTCAAGATCTCCATCAAGATAATGGAACAAAACTATTTAATTATGGTATTGTCATCAGTCCTTGATGAGTGTCAGTGCCGGATTTAAATTTTATATAGGCCACTTAATTCGCTATCTGCCCCTTTATACCGGGTGACATAGAAAAAAGTACATTTCATAGTGCCATACAATAGAGGATACTAAAATAAGGAAAAAAGTTCCCATGAACATGGGTCCGCAAGGCCCTCGGTTAAAAGATACGGGGTGTTGAATTTTAATGAAAAAATGTATTGAAGTACAAGGGCAACAATTTGAACATCTTCTAAAAACTTGATGTTTTGTTCTAATTAATCATATTTTTCATCATATCATTAAAATGTAATTGTTGAAGTATTCATCATTGTTTTTGCAAAAGTTACTTTGGCGCTTTTTGAATAATTTGCGTGCATTGTCGGCATTTAGATGCATTTGTACTGGAACCATTGCTTCTAGCGACAACGTATACATTTCTTAAGTATAAAAAGGGATAACAAATTTTTTCCGTCGAAAATGACAGTGTATAGCAAAAAAGTTACGGCCGATTGAATAGGGATGGAACCCTGTACGTAGCGCCCTCTATCAGTCATCACAAAACTAAGATCATCGTGGGTTTACCTAGCAGGTTCAGCGTGTTGATCTTTTGATGCTTTCCAGGTACATTCAGCCAACCAAGTCAACGGAAAGTCTTCTTTCCGTGCCGAAATACTCATCAGAAGTATTGTCCGACTCCAGTCTTTCTTGCGAGTGTTTGGAGGCAGCATCTCCTGGGCCAGACACTTCGGAAAACAACTTTTTCCAAAATTCCAGGCAGAGCGTCATGAGTCCTACGAATCCGAATTTCGGTTACTACAGTGCAAGACGCACCTCTAGAAGCGAGTATCCAAAGAATGTCTTAACGACGAGTTCCGAAGCGACCAGGCTGTAATTTTCAAGTTTTTTACGATTTATTGTTACTGTATACCATTTGACCCAGACTCATATGATGCACTCCTATTTTGTCTCATACTTCACTATTTTTTTTACATAATGGATATTATTCCAACTGTCCAACTTCAGAGCACGCCGTACATTTTTATACAGGGGTTTTTATACAATTAGCGAAACTACAATTATAATACGAAACTCCATGGCCAGTCGCATTGGTAGATGTGACAGAATTTATTTTCGTGAATATTATCTGCCGAAGTTTTCGACAAAATTTGATCTGCAATGTTCTGTTTCCTTTGTAGCGAGTCTTCTATATAATCCTCTGCTACTGTACTGGACTTCCATCCACCATGTCTTTTAATTGTAGTAAGACTAGCACCAGAGTCCGCCAACAAACTAGCTGAGGAACGTCGGAAACAATGTCCAGTATATAGATGGGAATCAGACAAATTAAGAATTTCGGCAATTTTGGCAGGCATCTTAAAAAATGTGTTGATTCCAACTGAAGTCCTGGCACATTCATTTTTAATGCATTTTATGAAAACTCTAGAATGATTAATATCCACTGGACGAAGGGCTATGTACTTTTTGTAGTAGTTCATATACAATGTACCACTTACAACAAAGGTGCGTTGCACATTAGTTTTTGTGTCTGGTATATGCACAACTAGTGAAGTTCCGGAATCCTCGATATTATTTAATGTCAAATCGCACAGTTCTTCTCGACGACAGTCTCCAAAAACACCAAAAATCGCAGCAACTTTCTGCATTAGATATATTTCATCTGGGGCTTCTGAGAGAAATTTGTCGATTTGTTCTCTTGTCAATACTTTTGACTTTTTCGGTCGATATCCTTCACCCTTTCGCTTCAAAAAAGCCACAAGCTTGTGATATCTGCCTATGTCATGATCATTTATGTTCATCATCGACTTTAACATAGAGTAATTCGACCAAAGCGTTGACGATTTCCATATTTTGGACTTTTCTTCAAAGTATGCAAGAAGCACTTCTTCACTGGCCTCCTTTCCACTGACATTTTTCTGATCACACCATTTCAAGAAACATTCGTATGAAAACTAGTACTGTCGCTTTGACTTACTAGGCAATAATTCAATAAAAGCTTTATTGGCAGCTTCTTCAATTTGCGGCGGAAGAAATTCATTTTCTTGGGCACTTTCCATTGAGGAACGAAGAAACGAGAAAGAATAATTCGTGATTTATTGACTTAGTTGTGAAGAGAGATAAATCAACAAATTCAGTTTTTGTTTACCTTGGTAACTTGTGTCATGAATAGATTAGATCGAATTGGATTCAAAACTGATAATCTCGAGGCTGTTATTTAATCAATTAATAAGTAATGTAAAATAGTTATGCGTTGATTTGGACTTTTAATGGTGTTTGTAGAAAAAAAAAAAGTATGATATATGTGCTAAAAGTGCTTTTTCTTTTGTTCGAAGGGGTGAAAATCTCCGCCTTCGGCGTCGTGTCTCAAACTTCCCTTCTCACAAAATAAAATGTCACTTTTAGCACTTATATCATGAATAACTATATTTCCTACAGGCCCTCCCGACGGAGATATGGGCCCCTGAATGACGCCACTGGAAATCGGTTTTTCTTGAATATCTTTCGAAGCGATGTACAGAATCAGAATCCAATGAAAATTTGATATCGACGGACAATATAGTAGAGACCCCTCGAAATAGTCTCATTCAAATATCACTAGCTTTCTTACTTTATCAGGGGTGGACTAAGTTAAATTTTTGAGATTTTGAACGGAAAAAAGGAACTCATTATCGATAAATTGAACCGTGTATATAGACGAATTTGTCTGTTAAATGATGTTATGTTTGTTCCTATTGTAAAATGTTGACTTGTCCTATATCATGTACACTGTGATCGAATGGATTAATGAATATGACTATGACTATGACCATAGATCTGACTAACACATGTCATAATAATAATACTAATGTCTCATACGGCATTTGATTAAAGTGATATTTCCGAAATAATAAGTTCGAACAAGTTTCTAAATTATCATCAGAAAGTGCCATTTATTTAGTTGTTGTTCGATGCTTAAGGTAACAATAATTTATTGTTACTAATACTATCTGGGAAAAATTACTGGAAATATGAAAGAGTATAGGAAAATGTACCGTGAGTCTGTGTCACATGGTATTTATTTGTTTAAGATACTGAGTGGGCCACGGAGAACAAGAAACTTGAAAATTGCAAAACATGACGGGAATATTTTCGCTATATTTCAGAGTCAGAACGGAGTGTAACATATTCATAAAATACAAGGCCTGATAATGTGAATGTGTTATTTCTTGGGGCTAAAATTTTTCAACTTCAAAATAATCAGTCCTACACATAAGATCACCTATTCATTTTCTTTACATTTTCAAAAAATTAAACCACTTGGAACCATTTTTTTTTTGTTCGTTGTTTGCAAGAAAATTAAATTTGTCAACTTCTGAAATAGGTAAGTATCCTGTTCTAGAAATGCTCATTCAGTATCAGTATATATAAGTACGTTTTAGCAAGGTGATATTTATACCATTTATTATTATTGTATATATGAATATATGTGTACCTCACCCCTCAGCCTAAAGCAAAATGTTTGAAGTAGCAGATTATTCAGTTAATGTTTGTACCTCATTATATAATCTTTGATGATGATGTCACTCATACTGTGAATTGAAATACAATAAATAAGTAGTGTAAAAATGGCTTATTGATCTTATTAGAATCAATATTTGAGTGCACAGGGTGGGCGAAATTGGGCGTTTTCACGGATATTTTCATTCGTTTCAGAGATACAGGACAGGGAGAGATTTAAAAATGACGATTTTATTTTTATTTTCTGAGTTCGTTTTGGCGAGGAATATTGAAAAATTTCAAACTGTCATCCATATATAGTATAATGCAAATAATCCATTGGCATTATTAGAAATGTTATACAGGGTGACATATTATTTCATAAGGAATACTCGCGCCGTATATTTTGGCACAGAGGTTTCGAAGTACAAACTGAAAAGGGTAATAGATCTCTTATTTCAGAAATATGTCGATCCACTTTTGAAGATTGGTGTGGTTAGTACTTCCTAGAAAATCAAAATTTTAAGCATTTCAGAAGTTTTTGGGAAATAGAGGTTTCATAATTGATCAATACGGTTTTCATGTCATGTCCCTGTCTTATCTTTTCATGTGCTATCAATTGATGTTTAATTGAAATAAATACAGGGTGGTGCAGAATTAAGATTTTTGATCACCCTGTATCTATTTCAATCAAATATCAATTGATAGTACATAAGAAGTTGAGATAGAGACATGAAAACCGTTTTGATATCAATTATGAATAGTTTCGACTCAAAAAATCTATCAGTTTCCTCCCGCGTGTGAAGTTTGATGCCTGACGAGTAGCGTAACATGATTACCAGACATTGAAACAAGTTTAGGTACAGGAGAAAAATAAGTTGATATTGTTTAATATAGAAATAATCATATACAAAATTTTAAAAACAACCTGTTGGTTTCTGAAATAGTGAATTTCGCCCTTATTTTACCCACGCACTGTCTTATGGTCTTCTGTTAGCAGAAAAAGCGTACAGAGAAGTGCACAAAAATAGACCAGTGCTCTGTAACTTATTCTCAATCTCTTGAGATCGGATTTTGACATCTGGAGGGTTATAGGAAGTATACCACATTGCTAATTTGTATTCTGAAGAAAATATTTGTTTTATCACTTCCGGATGAAGCGGAAGTCGTGCCAACTATTGAAATTTTAGTAGGACACCCTGTACAGGGTGGGCCACCAGTAACGCCACGGTCTCTAGAAGGCTAACCACTTATCTTCTTGGAATTCTTCCTCTCTAGGAAGTTGCATGTCAACAAAGGCTACCATTTGAAATTATTTTGAAACATACAGGATGACCCCAAAAATCACAAAACACTGAAGTTGAACTTTTTTCAATCGAACACCTTATATATTATTTCATTTTGAGATTCTCCCTGATGAGCTGATTTCAACGACCCATCATACTTGGGGTCTAGCAGTTATAATTACTGAAATATATATAGGGTGTGAAAAATCGAGATTTTCCAAGTTCAAGAATTTTTTGTGTCTTAACCATTCATAATTGGTCAAAACGGCTCACATGTCCCTATGTCAACTTTTGATCAACTACCCTAATAACACAATTATGTCCCATGGATATCCTTAGGACGTCCTGTCGGGACATTCAGGACGTCCATAGGACGTTGGAATTTGGTACCTTGGACGTCCATTGGACGTCTGTGGGACGCACAAATGTCCCACTTGAGGACCATTCGGGGACGTCCTTGAGGGATGTCCCTGGGACAACTATCGAGGACAACCTTTCAGCAACGCTGAGGGATATCAATTGGATGTCCATAGGATGTCCCAGGGAAGTACGAATTATTCTTGAATTTGAATTTTTCCCTCTAGGACCAGATCTTGCATAACTGATGAGGACATCCAGTTGAGTTGATGGTCCGTAGAAGGTCCCCAATAGATCCTGAAAAAGTTTCCCGAGTCCAATAGACTTACGTGAAGGACATTGATGGGGAGTACTTATAGCCTGCGAGCAATCATTCGTCGGCGAGGTGTAGGTTAACGTCCTCGCAGGGACAACATATTGAAAGTACCGACTGGGACGTCCATAGGACGTTATTTCTAGGACATTGGATAAGTACAGTTCATGTACCAATTGGGACATTTCGATTCTCATACGATCCTGGAGATATGAAGGGCGTCTGTGCAGAGACATTTGAAGGAATGTACTATCAGGGACATTTCATAGTTGTCTAGAAGGGACATTATGTATGATATGAAGTCAAGTCAGAATATGTACTACTCGGGACATCCGATGGATGTCCCTAAAGGAACGTTTGAAATCATATCCCATCAGGGACATACCAAGGACGTCTTTGCATGGACATTCTACAATAAGTACCACGTGGGACGTCTAAGGGATGCTATTTCTAGGACATTTGAAATGATGTACCAGCTGGGACATTTCGTGGACGTCCTTACTCGGAAATTGCATTAGATGTACGAGATGGGACGTCCCATGGACACTTATTTTTGGTCCGGGACATTCGGACTTGAATTGTACCAAATTGAGACGTCTCTAGGACGTTGTGTGCTATTAGGGTATCTATACTGACATTTAATTGAAACAAATACAGGGTGGTGCAGAATTCAGAATCTTGATCACCCGGTATATGTCCCAATTAAATATCAGTAGATAGTTAATCAAAAGTTGAGATAGGGACATGTAAGCCGTTTTGACCAATTACTTATAGTTTCGACACGAAAAATTCTTGAACTTGGGAAATCTCGATTTGTCACACCCTATATTTCAGTAATTATAACTGCTAGACCCCAAGTATATGTCGTTGAAATCAGCTCATCAGGGAGAATCTCAAAATGAAATAATATATATATAGGGTGTTCGATAGAAAAAAGTTTAACTTCAGTGTTTTATGGTTTTGGGGACACCCTGTATGTTTCGAAATAATTTTAAATGGTAGCCTATGTTGACATGCAACTTCCTAGAGAGGAAGAATTCCAAGAAGATAAGTGGTTATAGCCTTCTAGAGACCCTCGTTACTGGTGGCCCACCCTGTATATTTATTCAGTTTTTTTTTATTCAGAAGATCGTTTTACATACAATAGGAACTTTTTCTGGGTGGTCCTATTTAAGAATTAGAAGTTGGGGTTGCTTCCGGTCAAACCAGAAGTGATGAAATAAATATTATTTGTCAATAAACGGCAATTTGGTATACCTACTTCAAATTTCAAAATAGGACATCTTTGTTTCACATAAATAAACAAAAAACGGCAAGTGATTTCGATTTTTAAATAGGACAACTTGTATATTTTGATCCAAAAAAGTTCCTAGAGTATGTATAAAATGATTCCTTGACTTCAGAAATGATAAAATATACAGGGTGTCCTATTTAATCAGAAGTTGGAACAACTTTTGATTCAACCAGAAGTGATAAAACAAATACCTATGTTCCTATCAATGAATGAGCAACTTGGAATAATTGCTACCTACCAAATTTCATAATCCAATTTTGAATGATTCAGAAGTAACAGAGCAGTGGCCATGTTTTGTGCACTCCTCTATGAATACAATGTGCATGGTCCTGCAACTTGGAATCAGAATGATTCATAATAGAAAAATAATATTTATTCAACTTTCATTTCAAAGCTGTGCAGGTAATGTTCACCTTAGAGAAAGTCAGGAATGCAAAATTATAGACCAAAGGCACCTTGTTGCATCTCATATGGCTACTCACTTATTTTTATTCATTTTGATATAAAGTCAATAGACACTGGATTCATTTTGTTTTCATAATGCTCTGCTCATGACTATAGTCAATGAATGTACTTCAGATTTGGATAAATGTACACAAATTAAAATGAAAAATTATAAATATTTGAATCTGTATGTAGTTTTATTTATACAGAAATAACTAAAACCATATAAAACTAATAGTAGGTATACTACTATGAACTGGTACACAATAACAAAACTATGATGAAATACCTAAATAGCTTTAATATAAAAGATTTTGAATTTCAATCATTTTGAGATACAATAAAACTATTATTAAGAGGGGTTCATGTAGGTACTAGTATTGAATTTCAACCAATTTGAATCATTTCAAGGAACAATAGCATCTATTATCAGGACATATTTATTAAGAAGGTACTAGTATTACATTTACAGCAATTTACTAAACATTATAAGTTTACAGGTTGTATACTGATTCAAGAGCCAATTCTGGCTTGTCAAAGCCAAGTTCCTCTGGGGTGCTCACACCCAATTCTTTCAGAGTTGGTGTGATTTCTTGCATAATGTAAGGGTAGATTTCGTTAACTTTGCTTCCACACTTATCTTTGATAGCTTCCAAAATCCTCACAGCTAGAGCAAAATCGTTTACTCTGCGGCAGGCTCTTAGAGCGGCGATGAGGATCTTTGGTTCAGGTACTAAATCATGTCCCCATAGCTCATTAACTCCTCTCCTGATTTCCCACCCATCAATGTCTTTGCGGTTGAAGAAATTTTCATAACGGGCATCAAATTGATCATCAGTTTCTGTACTATGACTGGACATCAACCTTCAATAAAGTTGCATAATTGTGGTTTAGGTTTAATACAGCAGCAACAAATGTACATTATACATTAGATGATAATTACCTGGTGGAAGATGCTGCATTTGTTCTGCTGGCAGATAAGGCAGTCCTAAAGATTGATTGTGCGCGAAGTGCTGTTGTCCTGATCATTTTTTCGGATTTTAACTGGTATCACTAAAATTTCGAGGAGGAAATCAATTCCACGAATGTTACGTAAAAAGTAAAATATAACCTCACTTTTCTTGATGGACTTGATAAGGTAAATGACGTTTGACAGCACAGACAGTTGACTTGACAATGACACAGATGCTGTTTGCTGTGGTCCGTTGTGAGAGCTCAGGTGCAATGACGGCTAAATATCTAGACTGTCGTCAGGTGCCAGGTGCATATACAGTGGTGCATACACTATACAAATGATCACAGAGGGATGACGCCATGCTATCAGTGGACCAGAATAAAACTTCCTGGCCAAACTCAGCCTCCACAATTTCATTGCGAAAAATAATCAAAAAACACGAATCTCAACATGAAGTAGTTTTCAATAAAAAAGCGTACAAGTATTAAAAAGAGAGGATATCGGGATCTTAGTTCTCGTTGTGTGAAACTGGCTCAGCCAATGCTTTGTGTTTTCGAGAACCTATGACAACTTTACTGTCAACATTTGGTGAAAAATCATTCCCGATAGCCCGTTTTATGCAGAATAGGTTGATGGTAATATCTCTCTGTTATATACTTGTACTTTTTTTTTAATGCAACTGTACAACCTGATGGGAATGGTTCGAAAGATTTAGACACTTCTCATCGTACAAGAGAATGACATTTAAGCAATGACTTTGATCAATTGAATATCATTTTTCATTTCAATAATTTCATTGGGTGAAATTATTCCACTCATATTTGTTTTTTGGCGGTTGAATTTGTGAATAGAAGCGGGGTCGACAAATTTGTCAAATCAGAAATTCAGTACTAAATTCTCATATCCAGTACTTCTTCGAAGTGTGATCTAGTATTATATATTTTCGGTCAGGAACATACCTGCAACAGGATCTATGGTCACGGATTGTCACGGTCACAGATCCCAGCATAGGATCCCAGAATATTGGATATAAATAATAATATAAATATTTATTTGAATAATTTGAATTTTGATTTGAATCTGTCGCCTGTAACTCATGGAGTTTGGTTGGATTTATATTTTGGGTTTTTGAGGAGCCGTTGGTGAGTTATTGATTTCATTTCATTTTTTGTAGATTAGAAAATTTGTCATTATTTGTTCATCAGTTTGATCATATGGAGGATCATATTGTTGGATATTCAATGAAACCTACAATTAATAGTCTACATTATTATTTATAATTTCTTTATTTTATACATTTCTTTTATTCTTCAAAGTTGAATGGTTTGTGCATGGAATAATAAAAAGAAAATTTCTTGACAAAAATAAGTAGGTACTTGATACCTACAAATTTTATTCTATTCTTCATGGCAGTTGTAGGTATACCTATACCTATACACTTGTAGGAACGTCTTCAAATACAAAAGTTTAGGTATATGCAGTATTCTACCCTCTATACCTACCTACTTCATCATAAGTTCTTTTTTGGCAAGGAGAACCTGAACACTGGTACTTTCCACTGAAAAATTACCTAGATCTAGATAATATGTATAGGTACTCTCATCATTTATAAATCAATATGATGTCTTCATCAGTTCCATAACTCTTTCTCGCTTGGTCAAACATCGTCATGGACATAGTACATACATCTGTAATATATAGAATAAAATGAATTTGAACTATTTAAATTAACAGAACTGTAACTCACGGTCTCCAAAAGAGGGGTTTCGGTAAAACACCTTCCTGGAATTGATATCATATCCACATAAAACTATATAATGGCCCTGATAAGTTACTGGCCATGGAATGCATTTTCTAAACTCACTAGAAATCTTATTTAGTTTGCAAATATCACAGCATAAATGTTTCGCATTTGTTAAAACTATAACAGGTCCATTGACTAGATGTTCCATAACCTCTGTTATAGATAGAGAAGAGTTTCTTATAAATATACCCGAATTTTCTGCTATTTTGAACCTTGTAGTAATCCGATTTTCATCCTGTAATGAAGAAAACATAAGATATGTAGGTTGTAAACATGCATTGAAAAGGAAATATTCTCAGATATATTATGAACATGGAAAAATTGATACATATAAAAAAATACATGAAGAATGGGGAAGTTTCCTTCAGATGAATTTTCATAAAATAGGTTCAGAACTCTCCAGTTTTATGTCCACGCTGAACAGAATGGAGACCGATAAAATCCAAGTCGTTTTTATTTTCAAATTAAAGCAATTTCTAATTCTCGGGACGGCAAACTATGACGTACTTTCTGAATCTAGTCTGAAAATAGCCAATGGTGAAGAATATAGCTAGCGAATAGCTAATGAATAAAAAACGATCGAATAAAATAGAAGAAGTGAAACTGGTAAACAAAAACATACATAACCACAAAATCACTCGGAGCAGGAATGCAGAAGGTAGTTGGCTTCATTCTGACAGGTTATGGTTTTGTTATTTATGCATTGAAATATCAATAGAGCTCAATGCTAAACGAACATATCATTGAATCAATGAATCACTCGGCTACATTCAATGATACTATCCTTTTTAATTTACTGTCATCGATCAGAACAGAATGAAGCCAACACCCATGGCTCCTTCCTCTAGTTGTGCCTGTCAGTATTTGGAGTAGTGTGGACGGACTCGAAGTATTAGGCGCTGTTGCAAGATATAATCTTACTTAATACTCTTTATTTTCTAAATACTTCTCTTCAGTTTGGCTATCTATAAAAGCGTGTTTCATTATAGTTTTTCAAACTACTATTTATTACTAAGCTTGTTTGCCATATTGGATCCGCCATCTTGAATTTCCCAATTTTGACGATAGAATCATAATCTCCGACCCTAAAAATCTCCAGATGCAAATTTTGAATGGAATTGGATCATAAAATCAAAACTCGTCCGCCATTATGAATTTCCCAATTTAGACGAAAGAATCATAATCATCGACCTCAAAAACCTCTAGATACCGATTTTTAATAGAATCGGATCATTATCACAAAACTCGTCCGCCATATTGGATCTGCCATCTTGAATTTCCCAATTTTCACGTTAGAATCATGATCTACGACCCCAAAAACCCCCAGATATCAATTTTGAATAGAATCGGATCATAATTGGAAAACTCGTGTGCCATATTGGATCCGCCATTTTATTTATGAAAGATGGAATGTCATCTTTCTGTACCCCTTCATTGAACGAGTACAGGCAAACTAATATTTGAAACCCTAACAGTGGCGTAACACCAAAGGCACATTATAGCTCATTTTGTAGTTATATTAATATTACATCATTGATTGTATTTTCATGAAATGAATATTGGAATTTGAAGCTCCAACACATACTTGAAATGTCTTCTCATCTTTGGGAAACTGAAATATGAATGGTAACCGTCATTCTTAGTATTTTTGCAATTCGTTAATGAACAAGACGTCATATTCGAAAACATATTATCGGGGACCCCTATTAAATTTTCAGAACTCACGTTTTAAATCTGAGAGTTATGACAATTCGGAAGCGTGTCCACACTCTTCTAAAGGGCACTCTACTTAAACATATTTAGAAAATTTATTCATATCATAGGTACTACTACTTACTTTTGTTAAAACTTTGTGATAAAAACTATTTCCTCTATATCCTTCATGGACCCCTAAAGTAATAGTATAAAATATATGTCGTACGTCGAATTTCTTCAATAAATAACAGAGATCAATTGTCCAAGTGCTGAAATAACAAAAATGATCATGATAAAAATCTAGGTGAAGGTCTACTTCTATATTAACATGATCCTTACAAATAATGTCAAGTTGATTATTTGTTATTTATAGATTCAATAGGTAGACGATTTTATACCTTTTATTAAATCCCTCATTGTTGCAAATTTGCATAAAATTCTTCAGAAATTCTTGTCGTTGTGTTCGATTGAGTACCATAAGGACACATGATACTCCACAATCCCAATTGGACTTTTGTTTGAAATGGTTTAGCTGAATGTGAATCTTCTCTGGTTGCCCTGAAAAATTTATAATTCCAAAATAATATATGCAATCGCGATATTTAAATTTTTGAACATTTCTTATACAGGGTGTCCCAGAACAACGTACATTAAACAGGGTGAACTAGAGTTCAAAATAGGTCGATTGGGACCAACTTACCTCTGTACGAAAAATCGAAAATTTACCGTTGGGCCGTGAGAGGGCGATGAATGGAATTTTTTTTTCCAGATTTTATTGAATATTTCAAAATCCTTGAGAGGTAATGCTCTGGAATTTGGAAGGCAGTCAACTATAAGAAGTGTGCATAGATAACAGGTCTCATCAGTTCAATCGATATACAGGAAGATACAAGATATTTAGCATTCTGATTGGAGAAAATCCATAGAACTTTCTTTGAGTACGCCACTGACAATATTTTAATTTCTACTTGAATAACAAAATCAATTATCTATCTTTTTTCTCACTACATTTTTTTCTAAATTTTGCTTGGTTTACGAGATATCTGGAAAAATTCTTTCGGAGTCTCTCCATATCATCCATAGTCCAAGATATCAGAGTTATCGTGTTCCATCGTGTTCTGCAGGTTTCTTCCTTCTTCATGTTGATATTTTGGTCACGTATTCATGTTAATTATTTAATAACCTTCTCATCATACAGGATGGCTCATTTTCAACTTGACAGGGAGATTTTGGGTGATAATAGCGTAGATACGAAAAAATGCTCAGATCGGTCGATTTTAGTTTGCACCTCCTGCTAACAATCAAAGTCGTTTGCAGGTTTTTTTTCGTTCTGTTGAGAGTTCGGGGGCACAGATATCATATTCATTTCAGCAAGCTCTTCATCAGATTAGTTCATCAAATCAATAATTGAAAAATAAACTGGATCTCAGAGACAAAAAATAATTATAATAATAATAATGACTAATAATAGGAATAATATTAATTTTTTATTCATCCAGTCTCTTTCATCCTCCGATCAATGGCAATAAAGGTTCTGGAATTAGGTGTTCGTCTTTGTGGATATCTCCCAGCATACATTCGAACAGCTTTTGCTGAATTCCCATCGCACTTCCCCAGAATGAGATGCATGTTTGCCATTTCGTTGTTAGAATAATGTTGGGGGTCTTGATCCGCCATTATCAGTTGATATTTTTTCACAGTTCACACTGATAATTGAACAATCAACTACAATGATTAGGCTGACAGTGACATATGGGATGAAAATAATGATGATAATGAAACTAGACAATGGGCGTGTACACCTTAGTAGAACTTTTAACTCAAATCATGTTTATAATGATCCTTTTATACATAAATAATGATTGACGACATAATTCGATCGAAAAATTAACTGGAATGTTTTATTTTTGAACATAAATAATAGTACCTTCTGAAAACGGACCCTCTTATGACGTAGAAAACTCATCTTGCCATTGTTAAAAGAAAATACCAAACGCCCGACGGAGACTGAGGCAACTGATATATTAATTCTTTCAACTGTGATCTCGCGCTAATTCACTCTGTCAGAAATCATGTATCATTCATCTCTGTCTGGAATAGTCTTGTTTCAGTATTAGGGTTTTGACGTCACATCATCGCCTCGTTTTCAGAGGTCCGAAAAATCGGGGATTTCAATAATTCTTTATAAAACGTAGGGAGCTCACAGCAAGAAACGGTTTGCGGTGGTGAGCTAGTTTGGGTGAGTTCTATCGAATTATGAAATAATTTTTTTTTGTGATATAAGCCCATTGATATTCTTCGTTTTCGTACATTTTTTGTTCGAACCGCTTGATGGGTTTCTTACTAAGCAATGATTGAGCAGAAAAAGTATTTGATATGATATGATATCTGTGCCCCCGAACCCTCAACAGAACGAAAAAAACCTGCAAACGACTTTGATTGTTAGCAGGAGGTGCAAACTAAAATCGACCGATCTGAGCATTTTTTCGTATCTACGCTATTATCACCCAAAATCTCCCTGTCTAGTTGAAAATGGGCCATCCTGTATGATAAAAAGGTTATTAAATAATTAACATGAATACGTGACCAAAATATCAACATGAAGGAGGAAGAAACCTGATATCTTGGACTATGGATGATATGGAGGGACTCCGAAAGAATTTATCCAGATAAGTATCTCGTAAACCAAGAAAAATTCAGAAAGAAATGTGGTGAGAAAGAAGATAGATCATTGATTTTGTTTTTCAAGTAGATATTGAAATATGGTCAGTATCGTACTCAAAAAAAGTTCTATGGATTTTCTCCAATCAGAATGCTAAATTTGTATCTCCTTGTATATCGATTGCACTGATGAGACCTGTTATCTATGCACACTTCTTATAGTTGACTGCCTTCCGAATTTCAGATCGTTACCTCTCAAGGATTTTGAAATATTCAATAAAATCTGAAAAAAAAAATTCCATTCATCGCCCTCTCACGGCCCAACGGTGCATTTTCGTATAGAGGTAAGTCCCAATCGACCTATTTTGATCACTAGTTCACCCTGTTGAATTTAATGTACGTTGTTCTGGGACACCCTGTATTATTATTACACAAACAAGAGTCAATGACACAGGGTATTGAATGATTTCATGGGCAAATTTTGGGGGGGGGGGGGGGATTCTGTTGATTATCAAGTTTATTTAAAATGATTTAAAGGTTTTATGAAAGTATGCAATATGTCAAATAAAAACCTATTCGCGCTAATTCATAATAGAAACATACTGTGAATTAACTTGTATAAATTTAACTGAATATATCAATCTCCAAAAATCAACTTCTGACAGGTTATTTATAATATAAATATAATCATTTTTATTAGTTTTGCTACTTATCTAGATAGGAATAAGCGAGAAACTGTGACTCATCAACCATGTTCCAAATGTTTTAATATACATATCATTTTGTTTCAACCAAGTTTTGACTATACTACAAATTCTGGTTGAATGAAATTGCATACCTCCGAGCATTTCAGAATATTTAGGCATTAAATAATTTACATTTTGATATTTTACATACCAGGCACCAAGATGATCTTCCTCATTTTCTTTCCATCAACAGTTTCACAGTTTTGATTAATCTAGTCAGTGCTCATCAGTTTACCTTGACATATCATTTTTTATATCACACTCTTATGGATGTAGCACTAAGACAAAATCGTCTGATCAATACAGAGCAATGATGATCAATTTGATAGGTATCTGATGTGCTTGCTCCGTTCACAGATTCGCAATCCTTAGGGGAGATAATTTTTATCCAAGTTATCAGTTGAATTGTGACCTGTTTTAGATAAAAGGGAAAGCGAAACTATTGTTGTTATCATTTTATTGTGTGTGCACTGTGCAAGTGTGTTGTTAAACTAATGGAGAAAACCAAATTAATCTGAACAAGGTATTATTCATTCTGCATTGTTTCAGCGTGAAAAATTGAAGTTTGATAAGGAATAAATACATGGATGAAAAATAGGTAAGAAAATTTCATGGATTTTTGGATTTTGCCCTTATATGTATATTAAAAAAATGGTTTTCTACTTTTACACAGGGTGAGTTTAATTAAAAATTTCATATTTTTCGTCCAGGTGACGTCACAAGAGAATACTACGCCCTGTAAATATTTTTCATGTAAAATCATAGCAAGTCTCTGATTGTTTATTTTTCGTAAATCAGGAATGGAAATCATGTATCAATTTTATTTCTTGAATTATGTTCTTTTATCCCTTTTTGTTTTTGAGAATATATACTAAAACTATTCTCATACCCTAATGAACTCTGGTAAATGAATAATACAAAAGCATAAATTACAAGTTAGCCTTTCGAAATCCTTCTCAAATAAAAAAAAACGATTACAATTTCAATCAATCCTCCCGGTTATATGAAAGGACTTGATATAAGGTTTCCAGAAACTCAGACTTTGACGCGTGTATCACTCTGAATCAAAATAAGGTATTTATTGAACAGTCCAACATTAAATCAGTTATTTCAAAAGATCATGCAGAAAAATACGTAGGCCAAAGTAGGTGACCAATTGAAACTAGGTTCAAAGAACATATCTTGAACATCTACGTTTATAATCTCTTTCACACATACCTCAAAAACATCCAATTCATCAAAAAAGTTCATAGTAAAAAATGAGTTACATGTCAAGAATAGTATTGGAAGGATCATTAATCAAATTATCACATTGTTGGTTGTCTATATTCAAGAAAGAATCGAGTACTATGTTTATAAATTTTGGCGTCTCATGATTAGATATATAGACATATTCTATGACACACGTCGTTGAATGAAAGCAAAATAATCAATTTTTCCTGTTTATCTAATGACAAAACTATAGGTAATGTCAAATGTTTGCCTAGCTAAATAAGTCTACATTGTATTCCACACTAGTACCTAATTAGTAAGTAAACAAAATGAACACTTACCATTGTTAGAGATAATTTCCATATTTTCAATTCTTGACATGTCCCAGAATCAATCCTTCTGTAAATTAACTTGCAACTACAGCAAACACAAACTGTTCGACATCTTTTTCCGATATTATTGGACCTCAATCTTGACCATGGGAAACAAAGTGGTATTTCCTTCATAACATGTTCATCTAAGGTCAACTCTCAACCTTGTGGCTTGTCTTGTATGTATTAATCAAAAATTCAAAAGTAAAAATACATCTTCAGACTAAACACGAATCTGAATCGGACGGAAACGTGCTTTTAATTTGATTTACAATCACACAATTATCTGGGACTACTTGAGATGAATTTATTTAATCACCATTGTGTTATCTGTGTTTTTAGGAATTAGGTACTTGGACTATGAAGTGAGGTTATAAAATCTTGTTGAAATGGAGGAAATTTAGTATTGTAGAAGGATATTTGTGAAAATGTGTATTTTGTTTTTGCACGTGGATCCAGATCCAAAAGAAGGAGATTATAGGCTTGTTATAGCAACCAACAGAGATGAATTTTATCGTAGGCCTGCTCAGCCAGCTTTTAAAGATGAATGGAATATCATTGCAGGTAAGGTGAACATGATATTGTCTTGACTTTATAGGATGCTCCCTTGATAGAGCTAGATTGCACAGCAATAACAGACATATAATAAATAAACTATACAGGCCTACAGGGTGTCCAGCTCATGACAGACCAGTATATCACAATATGGCCTTAGTAATATATTGGGTGATTTTGAACTTATCTTGCGATGGGTTTTTTTTCGAATTTTTTTTGGTACTTATGTATTTTTGTCTGAAAAACACGAATTTGATAATGAAAATGTGAACAAACCACTATTTATCAAGATATTTCAAGAAAAAGTTCGAAATGTTGCCTTCTTTTCCTCCTTGTGTTGGATGCATTTACAGGTACTTGCTCTTTTTATTTTGTCATTGGACACTTTATATACTCATGATGTACTTCAATGACACATTGTAAGCTAGAAAATTCGACAGAAAATATGATTTTTATGGCGAGTTTTTCCTATTTAGTGAGCAAGCATACCAGATGACGGCCATTTAATTCATAGGTCAATAGTTTGTCAATAGGTTGCTTTGGAATGACATTACACACGCCATTATTTCAAATGATATTCTTCCTTCTTTTCACTAAAAAAATAACATACAATCACCATCACAGTTTCGAGAAAATCACATCATTAATAACTGAGATTTTGGGGCGTAGTCATGAAAAGCGGGATTTTGAATTTTTCTTGAGATTTTGAAATAGTTTATTATACAAGGGAAAAAAGTAGTAGATTTCAGCTCTTGACGCTTAGCGGAGGGAGACAAAAAACTGTGAGCTAAAATCTAATATTTTTCCCGTGTATAATACACTATTTTTTTCTGTGACAAAAGAAAGGACGAATCAATAATGAGAAGATATTACATTATTTTGAAATCTGAAAATTATCGACGTGAAATTTTAAGTTTTTAACAGTAGGGACACCTGCGTTGTAGGTATCTTTATCATTCTTTTGAAGTAATCAAATATCTGATGTCACTTCTGGGGAAGACCACTGAGGGAAGAAATCCGTGCAAACCTCTTTCAATCGACGAATCATGATCTACGTTTTATGTACAATCAATATTATGAGTTGAAGTTGAAGGGAATCGAATCTATATCGTTTTAAAATCAGCATATTTTATTCGATATTTAAAAAAGCTAAATATGATGGTGAAGCCGTGACGTATCAGTCCCGAACTGTAGCTATCCCTCTCTGATACCTCGTCATTCTGCAGTGTTGCAGTGTGATTGGTCAGTTCAAGGGCAATAGGCGTGTTGGGACTGAGACGTCGCACCAGTCACAACAATGAATTGACAAAAATTCAAATGGCGCAGGAGTTGTGTGTTTTGAAAGGGACATATTCTAATTTATTTATTTCATCTTCTTAGCATGACTGAAAAAATTCAAAATTAATTCACTGAAAGTTTTTCAGTATAGAGTTCACAATAATGTAATTTCAAAAAATCAGTGGTCTCCCCCATTCTGTGATTTGATTTCAAAAAATTGCGAATGTAGTGGTTGTTTAATAATATACATATCCGCAAAGTCGAACGGAAGATAAAAGGACTTGCAGTTCTTTCTCGGAGGACGGTATTATTGACTTATTTTTCGGAACTATAGCACAACAAAAGCCATCAACAGTGTATATTTATGTGATAAATATCCGGGGAAAAAAGTAATTTTTGAAAAGTGACATTTTATAACCTGCCAACAGAGATGAAATGCCAAACTTTTTTTCCCGTCACAGAAAAAATATGAATTTCGGGGGTTTTGGGGATCTTATCCTGAATCTGATAAAAACAGTAATTTAAAATAAGCCCTAATATCCTTTTTCCGAATAATGGTCTTTTTTGTACACCTCAACATTGCACGTCAATGAATATGAAACTGTTCACTCTGCTAAATACTTCATTGTTCTAACATACAATCACCACAAAAATTTCAAGAGAAAAGCATCATTAATAACTGAGATATCAGGGTGTATTCATGAAAAGCGTCAAAATAATTTGGACAACCTGGAGCTAAAATCTATGACTTTTCTGCCTTGTATAATAAATAACTTTTTCCCGAGTTTTTTCCTGGAAAAAGTCATTGATTTACATACTCCAACTTGCTGCTGAAATTTTGCTCATGACAATCATAAAGGAAGTAGGTTATAGTTTTCAAAAAAGATTGGTGCTTAAAAATAAATTTCATTTACAGCCCTATTTTACAACAAATCTTCATTCAATGTGATTTGCATATATTCAAGACTTCATTTTGGACTATCAGACCTTGAAAGAAATTATTTTCTATCGACGGTCCAAGATGAAGTCCAGACTGAGAGGTTATTTTTTCTCAACAACTTTCCTTGCTTCATGTTCCTTTCAACTAGGGTAATCAAATATTTGTGATACATGAATGAGTCACAACTATAATGCATTCATCGTGAAAAACATGTAGGTAGTATGAATATCTCTAGAACTCCTTATCATTATCTTCTGACTACTGATTATAGTTATTATTCTATAATTTCAGGAAATGTGAACTTCATGAATATGTTAAACCAACATTGTGGTGCAATATTCAAAGAGTAATATTATTTATCGAATTCGAAGATTTTTGAAATATCCACAAGTTGATATTGCAATTCTGAATATTGATGTTTTTAATCAACTCTACAACTCACTCTTTGTTGTTGTTATTGTGGAAAAACTGGTTTTGATTATATGAGCTGACGACATAGGCCTTTGCTTTCATAATAATCACTTCTTATTTTCAAATCGAATTATTATTGTAAACGAGATAATCATTCAAAGTAATTAGCATGTTTCCTTAAATTCATCATCGCGAAAACTGAGAGATAATCAAACAAATAAAATACTTAATGACGATAATTTGTCATCATATACTTTGGAAGTGGTGATAACAGATGGCTTCGAGAAAATAACACCCAGTATACCTAATTATTCTACCTGAGTTGAACTGAATTTCCACCATTGGTTTTTCCAATTTCAAAAGCGATAGCTATTGTTTCAGTAACCAAAACTTTACAGCCGAAAAAAATAGCAAACTCGACATCCAATTTCTCATCATCAAAGGGAAAATGATATTTTCATGTATTTCATCTATTATTGAAGTTGTAGATGTACGCACGATGTTTCTCGAACGCTATAGGGATTCCCTTTCTCGCGATCCAAGAGATGAAAAATCTGAAAACCTCACAAGGGATAAGATTTCTACAAAATTGATAGTAACGTGTCAAAATTTTTTACTTAACGATCAATTAGACCTCAATAGTTGACCACTGTTGAATTTGTTTTCTTAGTAGGTAATAATATGTATTTGCTATCACTCATTTAAAGTTAATCCGGTACCCTGTATTTTTATGTAGATATTGTGCCTAACTTCCGAAAATGAAGAATTATGGAACCTGTTCACAGGTTACTAATCCTTTAAGTTGGGAAAGTAGGATATATAAAAGTTAAGCAAGCCAAGGTTGGTTTAGTTCATTGTACAGGCTCATTCCGTATATTCAAACAAGCTTCTACAGGGTTTATCATTGAAGATAGAGAAAAACTTCGAATGCAAAACTTGTAGGGTTTGTTCTGAACCTCCAGAAAATTATACCAGATGAAACAAATGAATATCGCTGATATAAGAAATGGGTACCAACTTCGTTATTTTCAATGGAACACCCTATATACTTTTCGAAAAAATTCAAGATCTATTCTTCCTGATTCCAAAAATATATTGGTCATTGATATTTGGTTCAGCCGTTTTCGAGATATTCGAGGTTGAACATTTTAGATTTTCTTTTAATTTGATTTCACCAAATCCACATGGATACGAAGAGATTCAGCACCAGGATCGCAAATCCATCAATGTCTGGTGTGGTATTTTGAAAAGCCAAGTGATTGGACCAATTTCCTTTGAGGGTTCTTTAGCAGGAGATAGGTATTTGCAGTTTTTAAACAATGAAATTGAAGATCTGTTGAAAAACCTCCCACTCAGGCACTATAATGAATTGATATGGCAAGTTATGCCCGTTCGGCATCACTTGAATTATCGTTATCAAACGTGTATCGGAAAATTTGAATAGTGGAATGGCCGCCGAACAGTCCAGATTTAACACCTTTAGATAACTTCCTATGGGGCTATTTGAAGAATGAAGTTTATAAGGAAAGAGGTAGAAATTTGGCTGATTTGAGAGGAAGAATTTTGGAATGCATCATCACTCCAACTCCATTTGCAATTCGATAAATAAATTGGATAAAGACTACAGAAAATGTATACAAAACAACGGTGGTCACATCGAACATCTGTGAAATTGTTATTATTATTATTAAATTGCATCTCCTTCAGTTATAAAAGTGCGTTTTTTTTTTCTTTCATGGCGGTTGCGATTTGGTAAAATCTAAAATGTTCAACCTCGAATATCTCGAAAACGGCTAAACCAAATATCAATGACCAATATATTTTTGGAATCAGGAAGAAAAGATCTTAAATCTTTTCGAAAAATATATAGGGTGTTCCATTGAAAATAACAAAGTTGGTACCTATTTCTTATATCAGCGATATTCAATTGTTTAATCTGGTATTATTTTCTGGATGTTCAAAACAAACCCTACAACTTTCACATTCGAAGTTTTTCTCTATCTTCAATGGTGAACCCTGTAGAAGCTGTCTAAATATACGGAATGACCCTGTACCAGTATATCACCTGACGAAGCTACTGTGTTAGTGAAACATGTTGTGTGTTTGAAAAATTTGTGGAAATCTTATCGTTTGTGAAGTTTTTACATTTGCCATTGATTTCCATCAAGAAACGGCCGAGTCAATAAAAAAAAAGATAAAAAATCAATCAATTTTAATATTTTTTAAAAACAAAACTCATATATCTATTATTTCCTGGTTATGATTTTCATTCTTATTGAATGCAAGCATATTCAACTAGGTGATGAAAATGTATTTCAGGCAGAGATTTGGAAAAGGGAAAAGAAGGTGGAATGTGGCTGGGTTTCCGTTCTAGCGACCAAGAAAATGGTAAGGGCAAAAAACACCGTTTCTCTTGCCTTCTGAATGTAACGGGAGCAATTTCTGAAAATGCCTGCGGACGAGGTTTCATTGTCTCAGACTACTTGAAGTCGCAAAAAGAATTTCCACAGTATGCCAAGCAGTTGAATGAAAAAACACATAGTGGATTCAACTTTGTGGCTGTTGAATTAAGGTACCTATCTACATACCAATAATAGATATATATGCACTATATGGATTGAAAGGGTACTTTGAATCCCTCTTTTTAGGGACTACAGTGACACCTCGGTTGTAAAGGAATCAAAATAGAAATTGAGGTTAGACCCCTTTTTTTACCCAAAGTTCTACACTGTAGCAAATCTGACTCACCTCTGTTCAAATTTCCATGCGGCAGGCACAATCACGCGGACTTCAATCATTTAAATTGTTTTAAAGTGGCGTACTTTTTTTTCTCGTATTTTATTCAATTTTTGGGATGAAATTCCTTGTTAATTGAAAGAATTATAAAAAATCTAATATCATGGAAATATTCCTTAGACTGTATCATATTAATGTGCTGAATATGTGCATTTATTTCGAAAACACCTTGTTTATTTGAAGACATTAGACACACACTATTTTGAATTATGATTTTTGAACAAAAAAATATGGAATATAGTATGTTATGCAACGATCATGTAATGATGATGAGCTATCAATACATGACATGGGCACGAGCTAACTAACGATAAGAGCCGAAGGCATTACATGAGCTTTGCATACGTTTTTTTTTTCTATGACCAATAAATAAAAACAAACATTTATTTCTGGCTATATATATTTCGACATCTTGAGTCCATGAATTGCTTGTACTTTTAAAGTGTTGTCATTAAATGTCATTTGAAATTAAATATCAAACAATTCAAGCAAGTGGGATAGAAACATAGACCAACTTGATTTGGGTATAATACGTATATGTTTCAATACGCGAGTCAAAATAAGCGACACGCCCTCTGGCGGATATTCGAGTATCGAAAGTTTAGTGGTCAATGTGATATTTTCCGAGTTTGAATTATTCAGTAGAGTATCTTGAATCATCATTGCTCGGTTTGACATGTTATACATGAAAGTTTTCTCACTGCATTTCACCGCAAAAGATTTCAATCAGTGTATAATTGAAAGATTTTCTCTCAACTTCAAGACTGAATTCAGTTGCATTTTATTCCCAGAAGTGAAGAGTTACAGAAGGAATTTGAAAAAATGAAATCCTCACTCAAAAGCAAATCACATATGTTCAATTATCCCTCCCAGAGGTAGATCAATAATTCTTCGCACATACATCCAGCTTTGATATCTATTTTATAAAATAGAATTGCAGTTACCACTATTTTGAGTTACTTGAGCATGTCTGTGCCAAAAGCAGCTATCATATCAGCTGTCATCCGACACGTTCTTATTTCCTACGAGTTGAACTTGAATTTCAGCTCCTAGACACTAAAAGTGTTGCCTAGTAATCATTTTATTGTGTCAGTAAGAAAAACGTCAACTTCTAGAGCTGATTTTGGAACAAAAATGAACGACTGAGCAGATTGCAGAAAAATACTATTATATTGTTTGTAATTTCAGTAAAGATGATACTACTGTTTTTCATCACAGCAATCTTCCCCAATCCGTTTCTATATATCCCGGAAAACAAACACTCGCTTTTGGCAATAGCCCAATTTATAGTCCATATACCAAAGTACTTATAGGAAGATATCAGTTTTTAGACATTCTAGCAAAAGGGCTCAATAAAGACGAATTGGAGAAAGAACTGATAGAATTACTAAGGGATAGAACAAGGTAAGAAGTTGATCATCTTTTCTTCTAATACAGTTAGTCTAAGACCCGAAGTAAGGTCGACCTTCACCCGATAGCCTTCACCCATCTGGTTAATGGATGAAGATTATTTTTAGTATGTTGAATGTTCAAAAAAAGGGTTGCCTGACAAAATCGTGGCCAGACTGTGATTAATTAAAAATTCAAAAATCACTTGGTTTTAAATTTCTTCTGAGTTTAATGAAAAAATTATACACCAACCTGGAGTACAAAGCCTATACTATAGGATATGCAAAGGTAGGGTTATTTTTCCCGGTCTAACTATCCTGTTGCCAGGTACAAACAGGTTTTTGGTCCTAGTTATTTTCACCTACTTGGTAAATCTATAAATTAACTATAAAAATAAGCATGTTCCATTGCCAACACATTGATATAGGGTTGCCCGCATTAGGAACGCCGCAGTCCTAGAAACTTTTCTATTTTTACCTGATTTACATAAATATAAAATTGGAATTTCCAAACAACTTATTCAAATATCAACTTATTCAACTTAGAGTACATCTCACAACTCAGAAAAACAAAAACGAATTGAACAAAGCAAGAAAATATCACATTATGAAAATTTGACTTTTCATGCTTTAGTAGATGTTGTATAGATTTTGCGGTGATTATTGGAAAGTGATTTTTGCATTCTGCGATCATTTTGTCACCAAATTGCTGAATTACTACCCATCGTCTTTTGCAGGCATCTGCCAGACTTAGAACTGCATAAGCGTAAACCTGAAGCTCATGAACCTCTGAGTTCAATATTCATTGAAATTGATCCACCAGGATATGGAACTAGGTAATTTCTCTACTTTTTTTACATGAAAGCATAACCTACAATTAAGGCCTTAATGAGTTTTTTCTCCGATTGGCAGCAAATATTAATTTTGCTGACACATATCAATCAGCAAAGTATTACTTTTCCTGCCTAGGCAGCAAAATGGTTACTTTGCTGTTTGATATGTATCAGCAAAATTAATAATCCATAAATCGTTTATAATTTCCTTCATATTTCATTAGAGACTTCTCCGGCAACAAATTCAACTCTATATTTTTTGCCACCTCCCTTATTTCTGGAGTTGTAAGTACTTCCAGGTCGCTATCACTGTCCATTGTATAATAATTCAAATATACCGATATTTTTATATAACTGCGATTTCTATCAATTTCATTTTAATTGAACACTACAGGAAAAATAAAGAGATTGTGGGAATTGTAATAATTTGCAATTACAATATCCTCCTATATCATTATGAACAATCGGAGAAAAAATTATATGTTCAACTCGGCAGCAAAGTAAATTGACTGCCTAAGCTGGATTCCTAGCCTCGCTACGCTCGGCTATGAATTCAGCCTCGGCAGTCAATCTACTACTTTGCTGCCTAGTTAAACAAATAACTATTTTCATTGAATTGAATTTTGTGCTTGCAATAAGTAAGTTCTTTGTATAAATCAGAAATCTGTATTTATATTTTCACAAATAGACACACATTTGTGTTGTGTTTCAATACGTTACTCTCAGAGAAATTAAAGATTTCCAGCCATGAGGTGTTATAATTTTCATTTCAATTTATTTACTTCTCTGTCATCAACGAAAAATGAAGAGAAATTTCGAGAGTAGTAACTAGAATAACTATGCTTTTAGGACTCACACTGTGATTTTAATTGATTACAACTGGAATTTGGAATTCATTGAGTATACGATGGAAGAGCCCATCAATATAAGTAATCCTAAATGGAACGTTACTAGGATCAAATCCAGGCTGTGATTGGTCTTCTTCTACATGTGATGTATTTTATTTATTGAATAAATTATGTTTTGTTGGTATTTCTACAATAGATAATTTGGGTATAAGTGGTCTGAGAGATACCTTTGCTGAATGAATTGTTGCCAAAAATCTTCTGAGCGATGTGAAAAAGGTTACAACGGTCCTCTCCACTTTTTTTTTTCATTTTTAATGTTGCCATCATGAAATTTTCATTAGTTTACACCCTGTAGTCAAAGACAGAATGGAAAGATTTTTTTCCTCTTGAAGTTAGTTGACCTTCCCCATCGGTATTTCCGAAAATTATCGTACACTAGTGTTGATTCCAATCATTTTGCAGATTCACGTTTAACACAACCGAAATTCTTCAACATATTATTATAATAACACAATCATAATAATTATATATGTATTTTAAATAAATTATCGCGAACTAGACAACTACCTACAGCCTATAGGTTTTCTACAGTTGCTTTTTGTTATATAACAATAATATTATATATTCACTCCTAAATTTTCTTTTCTCACTTGCCATGATATGTATTTTTGTGAGGCAATAAACGTATCTATCTATCAGTTTTATATCGAACAAAAATACCGTGCAGTAATTAAAATGAAAAAATTGTAACTCACCCTGGCCGCCGAAACTAGGGTCCCTTGATGTAAATTGATGTATTTGTCATCTTAACAGGGTACGGACAGATCCTCGACTCCTCTCACTCTAAAGCGTTTGTGAAACAGTTATATAGTTCCATCCTTGTTCAATTCTGGGGATAAACACTAGATTGCTGACATTTGTTGTTTTTTAGGTTATATTGAGGACATTGGCGTATCATACGTAATTTACACATGTACTTTCTCATTCAACTCTACATATTTTATCCAAATCATGATAATATTTTTCGACTTTTTGATTTTTCAACTCCAGCATAATCTTTGTAAGACAGTGAGCAAATTTTTCTGAAAGTTAAATACGTTTTACCAAATGGAACTGTTAGGCAGTACCTATCAATTTGATTTCAGACTAAGCCTTATGGTTTCCCAACCAATGGTGAAAAATTGTATGTAGGTATCTAAACTAATGTGCTCATATGTCATGTGTGCTGTATATATTCATGATGGGAATCATTTTTGCAGTTTTTTACGAACACTTTATATTTCCTGAATGTGGGTATACTTTTTCAAATGATAGGGCATATGCCTCTTCTTTTAATCCTCCGTTTTAATCAAAACTGTTATTACTAAAATGCATTCAAAAACTTGTGGAGTGGATAATTATAGGCACAATGAGAAAGTATAATATGTGATTTCGTATTAGTTGTACATACCTCGAATATTTTGCTGATGTATTTACCAATTTACCCCAATCGGCCACTTCACTTTCCATGTTCTAAGTTCATTTGCATCTGATGGAAAGCTGACAAATTCAAATTTGCCATCCAACTGATTGATACAGCCTAACGCAGCACATTTTACCATCCTTCCAAAACAAAATTGAATAATGTCGTATCAAGATAAAGTATGAAATTGAAATTTTGTAAGATATCTTTCAACTTCTATGAATGTGACGTGACAGCAATGTCATGTCAGGGACGCCAATACACGAAACCAAAGTCACTAGATTATTAAAAGAGAAAGGAGCTATGATCTGGGGACCCTAGCCGAAACTAGGGTCCCTTGCTTGATGGAAATTGACATTGAAGTCATCTTGACAGGGTACGGACAGATCATAGCTGCATTCTTTTTTAATGATCTAGAGACTTTAGTTTTTGTCTACTACGGAAGAATCATATGTATCACATGGGAGTGAAGTACATTCTATTCTTCATTTCCCTGCACATTTTACGTATTACTTTTTATATGCCTACTTTTCGTCCTAGACGAAGTTTTTATACATAGTTGATATTAGAGTCACTCCATAAATTCTTCGAGTTGGATTTCCGAAAATATATTTAGCACACATTACATGAGTACAGTAGTTTAGATATTCACATCGAGGTTTTCACCATTTCTCAATCATAAGACTCAGCTCATTCAGCTCATAGATAAACTGCTGCTCAGTTTGAAATCAGAATTCATTCAGTCAATTCAGACAACCCTTGTATACAGTCTAAGAACAGTCTCTTTTGGTGAAATATATTGAGCTTTCAGTACAATTCATATGTTCCCTTAGCTATCCTCTCAAAAATTATGCTGGAGTATAGTAAACTCTAAAACTAGAGGATTGTTCATCTATGTTTTGGTATAGTTGAATCAGGAATTCCATATGGAAATCACGTATGATACGCCAGTGACCTCAATATAACCTAAAAAACAACAAATGTCAAAAATCTAGTGTTTATTCCCAGTAATGAATAAAGATGGAACTATATAACTGTTTTACAAACACTTTAGAGTGAGAGGAGACGAGGATCTGTCCGTACCCTGTTAAGATGACAAATACGTCAATTTACATCAAGGGACCCTAGCCGAAACAACCCTCAGAAGCCCTCGGAATGCTTGCATGAGATCATTGACTTACATTAAATGTTCGAGACGTACACTTGTCTTCAGTGAATATGTCGCGGTTGGACGGTAGAGCTGACACCGTCCATGTGCGACAAGACGGCTGTACACTCGTATTCAGAAATCATCTCGCACATGGGCGGTGTCAGCTCCCTTGATTACCCATGAATGTTCATTAGATGATCATTGAACATCCATGGGCTGCAAGAAACCGAAATTTTGTAAGGTCAACCAACGGTCAGTAGTTCAGAAGTAAATAAAACTCAACGTGAATAAATAATGTATATTCAGAAAGCAAGTATTTTATTTTGTGTAAACAATTTTTAAAAATATAGTAACAACTGAGATGATGAAAAACTCAACTTCATATATAGTAAAACAATTATTTACCAAAAAAACGTGAAGATTTAAATTCGGAATTTTCAAATTAAATTCGTGAAGATATATTGCTGACTTAATTTCACCATTTTCGTTCAAAGTAAATAGAACGATTAATGAGGGAATTTTTTCTATTCTCAGATATTTCACTTTAAAAAATAAACTGTGAAATAAAAAAATAACCAAAGCAAAAACAACAAAATAACAACTATTTTACATATTATTTTTGAATTGAATATCTTCAAGGTTCAACACTAGCTGTTGATGAAAGCACTTTATGAATAATTTTTGAAGAAAATTGAGTAGGACATTTAACATTACCCTGTAAAATTTTGGAACACCGTTCTTTTCTAGAAACATCAAAATATAAAGCCATATTTGAAGATATATTCAGACATTTGAGGAATATAAAGGAAAATGAAATTGGAAGACAACATTTTTCATTGTTTTCTAGGATGCAAGCATTTTCCAATTTTTTTTTGTTTCATTCCGAAAATAAATTCGAAAGTGTACAAAAAAATAAAATTTCCATGTTATAATATCACTATTTCTGCATCAGATTCGCAATTATTTTATTAAATTTGATTTAGAACTCGATTTTTTTCAAGTTACATAAATGAATAATAACAGAAGTATTCATGTACGTTGAACAGTTTGGAAGTATGTCCAAATACAACGTATTTTTTCAATTTCGTCCAAACCAGTACATATAAAATAAAAAGTGAAATTGAAATTGGATGTAGATTATAATAGGAATATGAAACAATAATAGTAGATTGTTTTATTAGGATCAAAGTGACGCTTTGTTTGACAAGCGAATTTTGCATTTGCGAGCGAAAGCAAAATATGCGAGTCAAACAAAGTCACTTTTGATTCGAATGAAACATGCTATTTTTTCTGCAACCGAAACAATTAACTCAAATAAATATGTGCCCTATGTATGTAATGCAACAAATAATCCCTTTGGCTTGGTGAGAATATTCTTCCTGCATCAACAGCAAGTTAATTCAATTTTCAAGGATGTTCGAATTGTAGATTTGATATAAATACAACCACAGAGTGACATATTTGTGTATGGACCAGGTGCTCTAATGGCAAATACCGTGCCATTGCCAGGTATAGGAACAATACGAGGAAAATGTTAGGTTAGTGAGCATATCAACAATAATAATAGCGATTATTTATTCCTCTCCACTACACTGTGTTTGACTTGATAATCAAATGGAGGTAAACAATATTGTTGTTGGAGACAAAAAACTATTGCTTGCCGTGATTATTCAAAAACAAGTTATCCATCCCGAGAATAATGAAATACAGATCAAGCATGTGTGTGAATCTTGAAGGCTTCCCTGATCAATACAAAAATACTTAACTGAGATGTTTATAATTCATCAGGTGTATTTATATCTCCAGCGTGGGTATCAAATGGCAAATCTGTCGAAATCGGAAACAAATCAGGTATGCGTCCCAACCCAAATAACCAATTGTAACAATGTTGTTTATTCTTGATGACGTCTAGTACAGGGTGGGCAAAATTGGGCGTTTTCACCGTCTATCTCAATAACTAGAGGAGTTATCGAAAAACCGATATACATGTTCCGGGTTCGATTTTGGAGAAACCTCGAATGGCACAATCAAAATTTAGATATCTTCATTCGTTTTAGAGATACAGGGGGAAATTGAAAATTTGCCGATTTCGATTTTATTTTCTGACTACTTTAAGGTAAGAGGTATCATGAAATTTCAAACGTATATTTATACAGTATGATGCGTGGAATCCATTGGCATCATCAGAAATTTTATACAGGGTGAGGTTGAAAAGATACGGCAGCCAATTCTGTTTTTTCTAATGGAACACCCCGTATATTTTGGCACAGTTGAATAGTCCCAGGCGTTCTCATTACAAATATATATATAACCCTACCTTTTCCTTCCACAATTCCAGATATATTCGCAAAAATATTATCAGTGTGTCACATTACTTATGGTTACACCCCCGTATCTTCTGTATCTGGAATTTGGACATCTTCTATAAGGCTATATTCCTCAACGCAACCTACTGATTTCCTAATTGAGTAAATTATTGGTCTTATTTCTGTATCTCAAATGTCTTGATAACAATGATATCAAATCGAATAATTTCCCATTTTATTTCTCACCAAATATCCATTTGTCTGGAAATAACATTCCCTATGATATTCATTTTCCACCTTTGGTGAATATATACAGAGTGTCATTTTCAACCTCGATTCTGCCTTTTGATAGCATTATCCAGAAATATCGATGATTCCATAGCTGCTGGCGAGCAGTGTCATCATTGGAGATGATCCCACTTGGTCCATGACTCCATGAGTGTATCATTCGTATCTTTCTGACAGTTGATAATTTTTGAATCCTTCCTCAATTATTTTTACAGAAGATACGGGGGTGTAACCATAAGAAATGTGACACACTGAATATATTGTTGCGAATATATCTGAAATTGTGGAAGGAAAAGGTAGGGTTATATATATATTTGTAATGAGAACACCTGGGACTATTCAACTGTGCCAAAATATACGGGGTGTTCCATTAGAAAAAACATAATTGGCTGCCGTATCTTTTCAACGTCACCCTGTATAAAATTTCTGATGATGCCAATGGATTCCACGCATCATACTGTATAAATATACGTTTGAAATTTTTTGATACCTCTCACCGTAAAGTAGTCAGAAAATAAAATCGATATCGGCAAATTTTCAATTTCTCCCTGTATCTCTAAAACGAATGAAGATATCTAAATTTTGATTGTGCCATTCGAGGTTTCTCCAAAATCGAACCCGGAACATGTATATCGGTTTTTCGATAACTCCTCTAGTTACTGAGATAGACGGCGAAAACGCCCAATTTTGCCCACCCTGTACATCCTTTTTAGTTCCTAGGAGCTAAAATTAAACTTTAGCTCCTAGGAACTAAAGTTCAACTTTAGCTCCTAGGAACTAAATATTTAGCCTAGCAACATACCTATTTTTGTGTCAGTAATAGAAACGTCAATCCAAGAGCTAATAATGGTATTAAAATGGACGAATTTTTGGTCGGTTGCAGAAAAAAATAGTTTTTTTAACTACTTCAGGAGGTTGTCGAGCAATAGCTGAAAGGTCTAGTTATAACATGTTCTCACGTGATATTTGCCTCTCAATTTTCCTAAAATTTACAGAAAACATCAAGCACTTAAATAAAAGCCTTGATTTATAAGAATTAGATAAATGAATTAACAATGGTGTCAGTATCAACAATTTTACAGTTTGAAAAAGATACTTATGTATATATAAAATCTAGCAGTAGGTCTATCTAGGTCCGTCTAAATTTCCAAAAATAACTATATCAGCTATTATCTTGATTAACCAAAAAAATGACTTAGCCGTTTTTCTTTTTTAAACAAACTATTTTACATAAACAAGGCGATCTTCAATTCTTCCTAATGTTAGTGCAACTTAAGGACCAATTCAAGCAGCACAACATTAGAAAAAGATAATGGTCTTACAGTTATTTTCAATAAATAAACAAACTTAAAGAACTAGCTTTAACACTGATATCTATTACAATGATCAAAGTAAGCTTTTGTTCAGTATGTTTCTGTTCTGAAATTAATGAAAATGAGCCAGCCAAGGAGCAAAAACGATGACACTGGTTTCTATTCCAAAAGAAAATTAGTGGTTGTTCTGTCCAGGAAAATTTTCATATAACCAATTTTTAAAAAAATATATTTTCTGTTCAACAGTTTCTGGGGAAATCATTATTCACTGATATTCTGGTGAGCTCATTTTATAGAAGGATCTTTTTTTTAGGCAGTTGAAATTACAGAACCTGTTATCATGATGAATTCTTTCATGTTGGAAAATACAAAAAAATGTACATTTTTGTTAACGGGGGGGGGGGGTGAAATAACATTAACAATACCAGACATTCTAACCCCCTGGCTGAAAAAAGCTCATAAGAGAAGGAAACGAAAATTGAAGCAGATTTTCTTATTTCAAATTGCCGATATACAAAGATTGTTTTTCCCCATTGTATGATAAATCATAATTTTTTCATTTGTTTGTAATTATGCAATTATGATAATGGATACTCATTACTAAAAAAAATAATAAAAAAATATGTCCAACCATGAATTACATTTATTAAAAAATAAAAACAATTTCACTTAAAACCCTGAGAATTTAAAAATAACATACTCTTTGGTAGAGTTTTTTTGAATATCCAACACACTTTTCTTTCAATTCTATTTTGATATTTATGCATGCTTAGGCATATTTGACTACTTAAAAATATATCTTGAGTGGAATAAAAAAAAGTAATATGAATGGTGATAACATGAAGGGTTTCTTGCACCATTTAGAAATCCCAAAGAACATGTATTGCTTGCAACAGAAACACACTGTATGAAAATAATATTCAGAGTATACAAAAAAGTTTTGATAATTTACAAATTTTGCGAATGCTAATTTTGTAGTTTGAATAGCATCAGCATCAAATAAGCATACACACATTGTTACATTTTGATATTTTTCCTACTATAGACACTTTTTACATATTTATATGATTTTTATTTCATTTTCCAAAATAAAGAATTTTTTTAATAAAAAAACATAGGGCATAATGCTACCGCCAAAAAATTAATATTCATTCCAATAAAAGTACTGGTTTTGAGTACATCAGGAAACAACTGTACAGAGAAGAAATGAAAAAGTTTCATTATTCCAAACTTTTGTTGGATAAAGATACTTCCACATATGCTTTTAGTTCAGTTGTTATAAAAATTTGGGGGAAAACATGTATTTTTGATACTTTCGAACAGTGTCTACACATAGTTGAGTTTAAATAATAATAATAAATATTGTTTTATGGCCCCGAAATGCTGCCCACACTCCGGAGCCAAATTTGTTAACTATTTCGTAATATTGCTGGTTGAAAACCAAACGTAACGTACATATTTGGAAAATTCGAGACTTTCTACCGAATATCTTTACTCTCGACGATTACAATCTCACACTCGCCCTTCGAATTGTTTTTTATATGCACAGTAATTATTATTAGTCTGTCCACTTTTCCTAAATACACTAAATTCAGAGTCTTTCCTTTTCTCCACTCAATACAGACCACTCTGTTTTTATTTTGACTAGTATTATCTTTTCTTTAACGTTAAAGTACACTATCACTTCAGTAAGATTAAGGTTTCTCCTTGTAGTACTGTACTTTACCATTTGATTGGTTAACTATCGCTTCCCAAGCTGAAATAAAATCAAAATAATGAATGAATAAAAGAGTGTATATTTTTGTAATGTAGCTTGAAAGCTTAGATAATATAATATAACTACATGTTTGTTTACTAAATATGATATCATGACACATGCTCTATACCTTGTTAGAGTTAATCACGATTTTTAAAACTCAACTTATTTTACAGTGTTCTACCAACCCTAGCAAGGGGGCCAGCTTTTTTTGAAACACCCTGTATATTACTGTCACTGCTTATCGAGTGTACTAAGCGTATTCTCATCTTATTGACCAATTTGTCAGTAAATGCGCATCAAGGTCATATACAGTGTGATATAATTTGGTCCACCCCACCCCTGTACTTCCTTTGATTTGAATTTCTCATAAAATACTACTCAAAAATATCTACTCTGTTGACGAAAACTCCAGCAAAATTAATGAAAACAGATTAGGCATTTTTCTACAACAATTCTGATGATGGCAATCGATTCGGACTAGGCACAAATACCAAAACAATATCTCATATGGAGTGTTTTTTGCAAGGTTTGTTATCAACGTTACAATTTTTAGATAATTGCATTTTTCAAGTAACCGTGTATCATAATTCTTATGGGAATTTCTGATACCAGGTATCATGAGATGATGTTCAGGATTAGATCATATGTCTACAGACTGAGATAAATAACGAATAAAATCACTAGAAATTTAAATTTTCTATCAAGAAATGGAAAGAAGAAGAAGAAAATTAATAATAATATTCAAAACATAACATCAAAAAAATAAGAGAAAAAAAAACTAAAACAGCAACTAGTCCTAACAAGTTCAGATTTTTGTATTCTCGATCAAATCTCTTTCCTTCTCTGTATGGCTGTCATATCTATCATTCTTCCAACTTTGATAGTGAATATCTTCAGTTGGCGAAAAGCTATCATGTTGCGGTTTTCGTTGGTCTGTTGAGATTTAGTTTCTCTATTACATCGTGTAATGATATGCGTACCATTAGATTCATTCTATCCCAAACTTGTATCATTCTTCGTTGCTGAGATATGACCAGAAACCGTTCTTAGTTGTTCACCCGGTACAAGTGTACACTTTTCATATCTCTTTCACACGTCATTTTCAACAGTTCCTTCTCAGTTTTTCTGGTGGTATCTCTCAGCAAACTGTAATTATTTTTTGTCGCAACTCTCCTCTGATTTTTTGCCCTGAATTTCTCACTCTGTAGCCAGATGATCTAATCCTAACTACCTTTATGTCTGGTATTATTCAAATTATTGAAAGAATTATTTATTATACACGATGACTTGAAAATGCAATTCAAAAATTTCAATGTTGATAAAGAACGCCCCTTATAAGATATAGTTTTGAAAACTCATATGGGAGTATTTGTGGCTAGTCTTCTTCAATTTTTTTTTGCTCGACAAAGTACATAATTTTGAGTAATATATTATGAAGAAAAAATTAGTCAATTGTCCTAGCAATACGAAAGTACAAGGGTGGGGTGGAGCAAATTGTAACACACTGTAGATAGAAAGTCAATGTCATTCGACTTTTCGCGGAAAAAAGCTCACGAGTTTGTATGGTGGTAGAAGTAGTAGTAGTAGTACATTTACTTCGTTGGTATGTATGTACATACCAACTGGCCCATGTGTGTTCTGGGTAGGCTTTTTTACTGACTCCATACGCCACTTCAGGAGCAGCGCTGTTAATTGGAACGCAACACCTAATCGTGCGGAATCATCTTCGGCCGAGGTTACGGAAATTAGAATTTATAACTCTATTTATAAATAACAATTCTCTGCTCTGCCAGGGATTCGAACCTAACAAGCTTCCGATGTTTTGATTACTAGTCGATCGCCTCAGTCGCTGCGCTATTCCGCCGTCAACTCACCATGAAATTTTCCAATTTTCGTTTTGAACAAAAAATGAATAATAGGAATTGATCACCCTTGATGGATTATTGAAAAATGTCCTAATAGTTATTTAACCCACTAGTGTATTAACCGCCTTTTAATATACCCAGTGCTTCGAGTCAAATTGACAAAATGACCGATGCATTACTGATTAGTTCTAAAAAACAACAACATATAATCTCCAAAAGTTCAAAAAAAATTCCAATACCTACCTCCTGTCCCTATCCTCCCTAGGAACGCACGATGTTCTGTGAACATCATAGGGATTTCCTTTTGTGCGCTCCAAGCGATAAAAAAAACCAACTTATTCGCGATAGAAATTAACGTTGCCCCACCTGACGGCAACAACTTAAAACACTTCTGAGCGGTTTGTATTGATGATATGACCAATAAGCACCAACACAAAACAAATGTGAACCAATGAAATCAAAGTAAACATGCCGCTTTGATAGCTTTCAAGAACTCTTGATAGGTGGTGTAAGCTTATTTTCTATCGCGAATAAACTCAATTTATGGTTGCTGTCATCATCCTCTAGTAGCAATGACTTGAATTGATTTTGTTGAAGATGTCAAAAAAGCAGTGATCTCAGCATTCTTGCGATGTTTACCAAACTTGGACCGGTATGAGTAATCATCAATATGATCAGTTTTTCAGAGGCGAACATCAGTTTAGACAGTGCCGTGCGTTTTTATTGAATTCAAAAGTGGTACATTTTGTCGTGAAATTACTAATATCGTAGATCTGGAAAAACGCTCGGACAGATCGATTTCAGTTTCGAGGGGGACATTGTGCCCTCTTACATGCAGCACCGTCACGTCAACCCTCGACCTTTAGTACACACGTGGAAAACAGAAACTGCATGCTCTATCTGTTTGTTCTATTTTATTGCAATATTTTCATGGGTACCGCGAAAAAACTGAGCAAAATCTTTCACAGTATCGTTGCAAATAAATGCTACATTGCAATAACTTGGGGATGAGTGTTTCAGAGACGTACCAGTAAGCTCTTAACTATCATACAGGTTTATTCCTGAATTTATTTTTTCCCAAACGGTTCATCCCAACCTCAAAGTTGGGACGCCGTTGGATAGAGAACTTAACGGGCTTTCAAAAGATGTGGCATTCCACCATTATTCCCAATTCAAATTTTAGGGGTTGTTCACCCCACAGCTCGAGTGTTGCAGCGACGGTAGTGCAAGTAGGAGAAAAAAATGCTCGAAACTAAAATCGACCTGTCCGAGGGTTTTTCCACATCTGCGATATCATCACCTAAAACCCCGATGTCAAGTTTTCGATGGGCCACCCTGTATATCACAAGTATGTTGTGCAAACATTTTTTCAAAAAATATCTACCAACATAGTAGAATGAATCACGCAGGCATATAAATCAAAGATGTGTGAACAAAACACCTGCTCTGCTAGCTGAGCTACTGCGCATACTATTTGCTGCGATTTTTAAGTAACGAAAAGTGCTGACTGAAATTACTGTCTTCCGTAAGGGTCTATACCAATCAAAAACGTGTATTTTGAAATGCATGAAATAATCATAATACAAACGACGCCCTCACCTGATCCTATAAAGTTGACGATCTTGTCGTGGTTGAGCGCCGAGCTGTCGAACGCCGGCGGCGCTACGTACCGCGCCACAAAATTCTCGCAAATGTCCTCTTTGAGCAGCTGCTCGTTCACGTCGAAGCCGAACACGAGACCGACCGTCGCCTCTTTGCTGCCCTGCCCGCTCAAAATCACGACGGGCGGCGGTCGGTCCTCGATCGTCCGTTCAACACTATCACAATTGCTGCCCGTCTCGCTGTCGACGAGGTCGCCCGCCGACAGCGAGACGGTATGGGCAGGCACGGGAGATGCCGCGGTGTGGGCGGCCGCAGGAGATGCCGCGGTGTGGGCAGGCAAGGAAGATACTGCGGCGTGGGCGGTTAAGGGGGTTGTCGCGGGCGGATCTGGAGGGGGAGGACGTTGCTGTTGGGGCGGGGGGCAGTTCAGGAAGTGCATTTTCTCGATGGTTTGCACGTCGGGGATGTTGGGCGGCAGCATTTGGGCATTGAACTGGATCGAGTCCTTTTCGTTCGAGTGGATTATCTGAAAATAATTTATGGTTATATTTTCGTATGTAATACAACTAGTGTATTGCTTAGAAACCACATAGGCGCATAGAGCGAATGTGTTTGAAATAGAAAATTGATGTGAAATTATTCCATACAAATTGATAGTGAGTGCCTATCACGATTTTGGCTGAAGTTTAGTGCTGAGTGTTATTTATTCCAGATTCTTTCTTCTTCTTTCATGTTTCTTGGTTTCCTGGCTCCTTGCGGTACCAATTTCACCAGATCAGGTAAGGGAAGTATGTTATAGTTTATGGGATATTCAAGGGATTTAATGATAGTTATTAGTCGGGTGAGGGTTGTTATCACATTTAGGGTTGGTGTTATGAGGTTTCCCATACTACGACTTCACATGTCTATAAACACAAGAAGGAACATACTATACAAACAACATAATAGCAAAGGGATTTCTCATTCTATTTTTCTTAATTCATTCAGATTATTGACTTATCAAAGTTCAGGTCTCTGATTAGCATTTGGTATGAAAATGGGGGTGATAGTCCAATATTAATTATAGCGAATTCCATTGGCAGGAACTGGTGGAGTGTTTCTCGTGCCATTTTTATGTAAACCGTTTATGCACTCTTCGATGTTGACAGCAGTCTACGTAATGAATTTCAAGAGCATATTCACAGGAAATGTAGACAAATTTGAAAGCCTGTAATTCCTGTCAAGTTCCAGCACTCATAACCCTAAATTTCATTGTAGATGAAGAAATATTATTACAGCCTGTCAGGGAATTTCGTTCACCAATCAACACACACATTTTCACAGCGAGCAGCAAAAAGCATTAAAAAAAAAAATGTTCTACTCAATGCATTCATCTCCAGTATTTCTTATAATATGGGCATATACAATAATTTTTGGTGAGGTGAAGAAATATACAGGGTATCAAAGAATTCTGGAAATTGGATAAATAAAAAGGGTTCTGTACGAGATCTAATGACAAAATGAATAAAAAAATATTGTTTTCAAATTTTGTTTAAAATTGTACGTTTCACCATACCACATCTCTTAAATATTGAACGTCTGGCAACATTGCAAAAGTTATTTATATTACCGATGCTTATGACCTCGCCGAAAGCAAACGCTCGAGTTCGAACGTCAAACTTCAAAATTTAATATTTTCCAAAGCATACTTTTTTCACAAAAAAAAATATTTTCATTTCGTTTTCTGTTTTCCCCTCTTATTATCCCCAAAATGTAAAAAAAAACTTCTTTCTCCTGTTTATTTTCTCAGTAAGTGAAAAATGATTCTTGATTCGGGAAAGTAAACTGCCCTGTAAAGTTGTTTTATTATTTCTTTACTGTCAAAAATAAATATGCCATAGGAGGTAGTACTTCACAGTTGTGCAAAACATGTATCACTCAACACAGTCAAAAGAATATAATATCAACTTTGACGAAACCCACACAGGGTGAAAAGTAGCCAGACATTTTTTTCTGATTAAAATTGAGTCACATTACGATACATTGTAGTCTAAGATCCGAACCTAAGTCGACCTTCACCGAGCTGATAATAGAACGAAATATATTTTATCATGAATTTAGTATATTAGAAAACATATTAAAAATGGGTTGCCTAAAAAAATCCTGGGCAGACTATTTTTAATTATTTTTCGAAAAATTATTTTTAATTAAATGTTGCAACATCAGGATAATAAAAAAATTGTGTCCTGACTGAAAGTATGAAACGTATAGAATGTGCAGCCGTTGGGGTGTCTACTATTTACCTGGGCGAACTACTGGGTTGTCAGGTAAACACAGGTATATCGATGCCAGTTACTTTCACTGGATTGGATAATTTAAAAAAATGTATATCATCATAAGCGCTGTTTAATTGCGAACACGTTGATATAGGGTTGTCTGCGAAAATTCCGGTCCGATTAGGGGTTTTTAATTTCAACGCGCGTGGAAGTGTGTGACAGAGAGATCCGAGGTAAGTATACTGTGTGATAATAAAGGACCCAACATCGCAGTCGCTTGTGATGGGACCCTGAATAGTAGAAAGTGTGCGAAGTCAAATCCTGAAAACTATGGTTGGCATTTTGATGATTTCTTAAAACCAACAGGTTTTATCGGAGATCAAACTCCTTTGAAAATCCAGGACATTGTCGAAATGGAAGCAAATGAGGAAGAATCTAATGAATCAGACGAATTCGAGAGTCAAAATGATACTTCTGATGAATCAGATATTGAATAGAAAATATTTATTAGAATTTATTTTTCATTAATATTATTTTTGTATTTATACTGTTTTTTAATAAAATTTCAAATCGTAATACAAGATGTCTAGTCTATCTTTTTTGTTATTTCTTAAATTAAATTTTTGGCGGTCCACTTTGTTTCTATTTCCAGAAAGAGCAAAAAAATTTCAAAGTAAGTATTTGATATTTTTATTGTCTATTATAGATTATAGATATATCATTATGGTTATAACGCAATATACTGATATTATATTGTTTTTATATATTAGTATTATATTAAATATATTTAATTATTATGTAATTAATTAATTATTTTTTTTTGCTACTGAAATATCAGTTGCTCCAAAATAACACGCACTGTTTACTATATGAAGGGTAGTAGAGGTACCTCTACCCTCCATAGTTTACACACCGAGCATGCGCACTTTCTACTATTCAGGGTCCCATCACAAGCGACTGCGATGTTGGGTCCTTTATTATCACACAGTATACTTACCTCGGATCTCTCTGTCACACACTTCCACGCGCGTTGAAATTAAAAACCCCTAATCGGACCGGAATTTTCGCAGACAACCCTATATCAACGTGTTCGCAATTAAACAGCGCTTATGATGATATACATTTTTTTAAATTATCCAATCCAGTGAAAGTAACTGGCATCGATATACCTGTGTTTACCTGACAACCCAGTAGTTCGCCCAGGTAAATAGTAGACACCCCAACGGCTGCACATTCTATACGTTTCATACTTTCAGTCAGGACACAATTTTTTTATTATCCTGATGTTGCAACATTTAATTAAAAATAATTTTTCGAAAAATAATTAAAAATAGTCTGCCCAGGATTTTTTTAGGCAACCCATTTTTAATATGTTTTCTAATATACTAAATTCATGATAAAATATATTTCGTTCTATTATCAGCTCGGTGAAGGTCGACTTAGGTTCGGATCTTCTACTATTGGGACTTCATCTCGGGATGGTTTTGGAATGTCTTCCCAATTCGTGATCGTGTGAAATGGAAGCAAAATAGGGAAAAAAACATAAATTCTGTATCATTTCTAATGGATCAAGTTATATGAATAACTAATTGTTGGGCCACCCCCGGTATAGTGAAAATAAGATCGTGCACTCAAGCAAAAGAAAAATATCAACCTTTGTCAGTTGAGATAAAACTAAAATACTTCTTACTCTTCAAAAGCATTCAGATAATAACCTTCGTACATTTTACAGAAAACACTATTCCATGAAAATAAACACTGTGCACTCTCCTCGGTGAATGGTTAAAGATTCCTTGACAGACATAAACACAAAAATGATCTATTTACTAGTGCCTACTATTATTGATCAATATCTAAAGTAGAACAATAAATAATAAAGCAGGCCACGTCACAATGATGATAGATTATTGAACAGACTAATATTCGACACAAATATTTATTTTTCAACGTGACCTAAGTCTTTTATTGGTATAGCGGAGTTATGTAATGATTGATGAGCTCAACTGATGAATTCTTAATAAAGCAGTAGTGATTATTTATTTTCTAACTGGGGGCTATGAACCTGACAAAACGTTTCAATTTGTTGTCAATTAATTAGTATCAACAAAAACAACTAGACGCGATACAATGGAACGTTAACCTTTTAGAATGAGACTGTAAACAGATGGATACAAAAAATATTAATCTGGTTAAAAATAGGATGGTTTCCAGAAATACTTGGCTACGATACTTACTTCCTTCAGATCGAGTCGCACAAAATATTCATTTGACAATTGGAATCTTAAATTATCGCAACAAATGTCATTGAATCAATAGACAATGACCATGATTCTAAATACTAAATAGTGCTCACCTATATTCCATGTCTGAATATTGAAATACTGATATTATACACGTAGTTACAGTCAACTATTAATAGCGCTTATACCTACCTACATCATAACGAATAGAATGATATCAGAGATAGTGTTCAACAACTGTTTTCAGTTGATAAAATAGTTATCTTTGTAAGTTTGTCACAACCTGTTTATATTTTACAGACTTATTCTTGAACCCTTTTATTTGAAACCATCAATGCAATGAATAGAATAATCACATCTGAGGAGTGTTTGAAAATAGTTCATTCGTTCTTTAAAACTATTCTCAAGATAAGAACCAGTTGATGAAATGTATTCCAGATGAAAAATGGCGAAAACAACTTAGAAATTGGTATTTTCAAAAAGAAAACTATCACACTTAAATACATAATGAGAATACTCAAGTTCAAATATTTTAGTACATAGATTCAATTTCCTCTTAACAATGATTCAATGTAGAAAGAAGTGTTGATTATAAAATTGGCTGGTATCAATGGTTATATAAAATAATAGATAAACTATATCACGGACATAAATTCTGAATCCTACGACTTTTCAACTGGATAGTGGAGAGAAGCAATTCGAGAAAAATTACAGTCCCGCTCAATCTGGTTCAATCCCAAGTAGACAAAAGGAAGGAAGGTTTTCAGAGATTAAGGGTTTGAAAGCATACCTATATTATAGTCTGGGTCTAAATAAATTAATTTGGCAATCCAAAATATACAGTGGACACGCTTGAGAAGTCAGGAATTCACGGAATCAATAATTGTAATGATTGTGGCAAAATTTTATACAGGGTGTTCCACACTTGATATGATAGTCTGAAGAATTTGAATACACGCCCAAAAGAATTACATTGTTCTCAGTTGATAAAAATCAATTATGATAAATATGGCAAACTCACCTGGATAGTGATTTTGACAATAGTGAAAACAACGTACAATAACTGTTTCAAATATTAGTTTCCTCAAAGTGTAAATTTATACAGTGTTAGCGAGAGCAATAAATTGTCATGCGTTGTTGGTATCATGAAAATAATTCATCAGGTGTTTTTTTGTCATTAACATAAACTTGGATTTATCAGTATTCAAAACAAGATATCCAGATGAATACATTATGTAAATCTCCATTCGAAAATTTCTCAACTTTTCCTGTAGATTAGTAATCCAAATAAAACAGCTATTGTTTCACCTATTCCGCGAAAAGTTCGAGTTAAATCAACCTAGAATTTCAACAAAACCATATATTTTTACTCAATCAACGGGGACCATCTTAGAAATGTTCACACAATTAATTTAATGATCAAGCGACTTACCTGAAGGAAGATTAATCCGAAATTTCCAAGCTTGTCTTCCGATATAATTTGGAACATTGTAGTTTCACGTTTATCTATTATATTATATTTATCTACGTATATTTTGAACACCCACTCAATTTCTCTATTTGTTGTTCAATTTTTTTCAAGGAACATTCTTTCATATTTTTTCTGTTGTTTTAATATAATTATGCCAACAGAAAAACAGTTGAACATCTCAAAAAATACTTATAGGCAACATTTATGAATTTTTAAATAATGCATTTTCCCTGAATAGCTGATTTCATTCATTTATCACACTTAGGGGTCTTGCTGAAATGATTACAGATATAGGTTGTGAAAAATTGATATTTTTTCAACTTTAGGAATTTTATTGTGTCAAAACTATTCATTATTGGCAAAACGGTTTCCTTCTTCTTCTATTGCTCATTTCATTTATAGCTCTGAATTCGGAAACACTCAGTATATTTCAATATCTTTGATGCCTTTTTCCAATCACTTCTATATTCTCTCCAATTGGAAAAGACCTGTTGAAACCATTGAATCATTTTGAATAATATTTATGGCATCAGCATTCTTCTATGGCAGATTTTTCATGATGTTTTGTTCTTTGTTATTTCTGTCTTTGAAATTTTTTTTGTTAAAGGTTCATTGATTGGGAAACATATTATCCGTCATCCTCATCTTGAATGATTTCTATAACTTTGATAACTTTTCCCAATCATTTCCATATATATCAAAGACCCTCTATCAAATTCACTTTTGAATTCGAAAACGACGGCCAATTGCCATTCTTAGATGTTCTTGTGATCAAAAATGGCGAAAACAATTTAGAATGTGATGTTTTTATAAAAGGAACTAACACACCTAGATACATAACTAATGGCTCCAATCACTGTTTTCAACACAAAATGGCAAGTTTAAACTTCCTAGAACATAGACTAGTTTCATTTCCTCTGAGCAAAGAGAGATTCGATGGTGAAAGGAGTGTTGTTTATAAAGTGGCTGGCATCAATAGTTATGATATCAAAATAGTACATAAGTTGATACATAGACATACATTCAAGGTAATACTCAGGAATTCTACGACTTTCTAAGTGGATAAAAACAATTCGACAAAAATCCCAATCCCTCTCAATCCCAAGTACACAAGAGGACTTGATAAGATTTTCAAAGACTTAGGTTTTAAATGCGTTTATCAGTCTGGGTCAATGTTAGGCAATTTATTAGGTAATCCAAAAGATAAGGTAGACACACTTGAAATGTCAGGAATATATGAAATTAGTTGTAATGATTGTGATAAAGCATGTGTAGGCCAAACCAGGCGTCCCATAAAAACAAGGTTCAAAGAACACTTAGCACATTTGAAATATGGTAGGTTAGATAAATCGTGTGTAGCCGAACCGAAATTAGTTAAGCAAGTTAATAATGTTAAAAAATTAGATATTTAAGAATAGTAATAGAGTAATGAAATAGCCCTCTGTATAGTTTAGTAATATAACATGTGAACTCAACCATGTATAACATTAACTTGGCGGTTATTGTCTATTCACGGTTGGGTGGACATATACTTAGTAAATAATTAGCCCACTAGGATAGAGCATTTAGTTTTAATCTTTTCCTGAAGATGCTAACATAGTTAGCGAAACACGTGTCAAGGTGTAAAAAAATCGTTTTGGTTAGTGGTAAAACAGTGTGTAGTGAATCATTTCTATATTTTCCACCTATCTGAAACTTCCTGAATTTTCCCAATTGATACAAACCTGTTGAAACCATGTGGCCTCCTACTCATAAGGTCAATATAAAAAATGATAATCCCTCATGTTTTCTAAATCAAAAGGAAACCAGACTCATCAATAAACCAGTCTGATTACCAACTACTATTAATGGCACCAGAATTGTTCTGTTGCACTGTTCAATGATGTTTTGTTTATTGTTATTTCTTTCTTTGAAATTTATTATAGGCACTTGATTGATTGTGAAGCATATTCTCAGTCATCCTCATCTTGAATAATGTCTATAACTTTGAGAACTTTTCTCAATCATTCCCAGATTCCCCACATATTAGAAACTCCCCCCGACTATTCCCCAATCAGCAAGAACCTGCTGAACCCACTTACCATGACTTTCAAAGAAGAAAACTACCATACTCACCGTTAAATCATTCTGAATACTGCTATTCACCGCGTCAAAACGTTCCTACATTTACCACTGACACATTCCATCATAAAACTCTTACTAATGTTCTTGATGGCGGGCAACCTCCGGATGCAAAATGGAACTTTTTTTCAAATAAACATGTGTTACTAAACGCACTTCTTCCAAACTACAGTTACTATGTAGATCCCCTCCAACACTCAGAAAACTGGTAATTTTTTAAGCAAAAAGAAAAAATTTATTGAATAGAAACAGGAAAATGATTGAAGTCCCAGTTCAAAATAATCGTTTGTATTTGTGTTAATAACAGTAGCTGTAGCTTGTTTTTAGTTTGCAGAAAACTGTTTTTACTTTATACTTTGCACTTGTGTTGTTATTTCTTTAATATGCTTTTATATCTTTTCGACTGTTATAACTGAAAATGAGTATATATAACATTTTTACAGCTGACTATATTGATCTTGCAAGATGGAGAAAATTTGGTTTGCAAATTCATTATTCATTCAAAAATTACTGATTAATTATTAGTAGTATTAGCCAGTTGCCATGAAAGTCAGCTAGTCACTGACATTAGTGACATTTGACAGAATTATAAACATGGAGATTCAACCTTTCGTGTTAGGAAACTGGAGTTGAAATCGTTTCAGAAACATTAAAAAACTAGACCCGTTAACGTAAAACATTGGATGAAATCCATATTTTCAATTTAAATGAAGATTCTGTAAGTTACAATCCCAACATCAGAACGACATGGTGTAAGTTTGATTACCTATATCACAATCGGTCCTTATTAGACAAATTGATCGTTAACCTGGATTACCGGTCAATTTCGTGTACATTAATCAAACTGGTTAACTTCAAGGACTTTTCTCCAATCAGCAAGAACCTGTTGAATCCACCTGCAACAATTTTTAAATTCAAACTAAACCACCAAGACTCACCGTTAAATCATTCTGAATACTGCTATTCACAGCCCCGGCATTGTTCGTACCACCGAATTTCACATCGCCATCCGCCGCTTTACCACCACTCTTATTACCCGGCGATACGTTCCTAGATTTACCACTGACACTCACATTCCTAACGTTCGTCTTCTCCACCACACAACCCTTACTATTGTTCGTGATGGCGGGAAAGCTCCGGATGCTGTTCACGTCCGGAAACAAATTCTTTGGATTACCCGAGTCGCCCTCGGAAACGATGGCGGGAAAACTGGCGGGACTCTTGACGGAGTCGACCGGTATGGCGGGAAAACTGGCGGGACTCTTGACGGAGTCGACCGGTATGGCGGGAAAACTGGCGGGACTCTTGACGGAGTCGGCCGGTATGGCGGGAAAACTGGAAGGACTCTTGGCGGAGTCGATTGGTATGGCAGGGAAGCTCTTCGCGTCGTTAAAGTCTGGGGGTAGACTTTTAGACGCGTCGAGTTGCGTTCTCGGGTTCGACACCTGAAAGAGAATGCTCACGATCATGGACGTCGCCTGAAAATTTTCAAGAGGGAACTGAAATTGAATTTCCTGGATAATTATCGAGAGGTACATATAGGCCAATCACTTTAGCAAAAATGGAGAAAAAATAGCAAAACATTTCAAACTTTCACAGAAGTTATATTTTGGTGTTAAATGGAACTATAAATTTGCCCCTTCGTACAAAGCCTGCCGGCCCTGAACTAATTTCAGATCTTTAACATCTCATCAAAAATCTTTGGAAGACTATGAGGAAACTGCGAATGCAAAAATGCAGGCAATTTTGAATCATATCAAGACGAAAATTGACAGTTTCAGTATATATTTCAACCAAAACCATGGTATTGGGTATTGGTACCAATACCAACCAAAACCATAGTCAACTTCAGTATTTAAAAACGCGAATCCATGAAATTGATTACAGATTAAAAGGTTATTCTAAGTAGAGTTGCTATATATTTAAGAGCAACATATGTATTTGTCGAATTTTCTGACCGATCATGCAGTGTCTCAATATTTCATGAGATCAAATATAAGATTGTTGATTGGTTGAATTGTTCTTCCCATCACTTTACATTTTGCTCAGCAGAACTGGGCTACTAAGTCCTGACTCTTCTATTAATAAACCAGTGCATCTTAAAATCAAATAAATTAAAGTACATATACCACATATACCCTTTGTTCAGTGTCTATCTGAAAGAGTGGCATACTTGAAGAGATGTTTCTATCTATGTCACGAATTTCTTTGAAAATTTGCCACCTCCGCCGATGACCGCAACATATTTTTTATTTTACTTTACAATAAAAATTGTGTTCGCAATTCGAGTTGATTATGGAAATAAATCAAAAGTTTTTCGGAATGTACGGAGTATTTGCCTAGGAAACATGAAATTTGCCACCACCAAAGAATTCGGGAACTATGTCAAAAGTAGAAAAAACATTTTTTTTAATTTTTATATATTTTACATAGCAGGAAATGAGAAAATATCCATACGAATACAACTCGTGATGCTATTTTTCCTAGAAATATTCGTCGATTGACATACTCCAGCTTGCTGCTTTAATTTCGCTCATGACACTTTCATTCGCTAAATTAATAAGCAAAAAGCTGTCGTAACAATCGCTGAATATTTCCGGCCAAATACTACCACTTGTGGTATTAGATAATAATATGATAAAAAAGATGCATCAATTTTTATCGATATCAAAATGACTCACATCATCGTCAAATAGCGTTTTCTGTATAGGAGGTGATTTATCACTACAAATACCTGGTGATTGGTCAGTTTTAGGAAATTAAAGAAATCTCATTGGTTCTTAATCAATCTGTGTAATTCAGAAACAAAAATGCGCCGCAGGTAAATTTTCTTTCAATGCTTCATAAGTGGAAATGAAAGATCATCTGAGTGACGGTACGTTTGAAATGAGCATTGAAATTCAACAATTTCGAACAACGCACAGACACATTATTTATTTTTAAAAAAATTAAGTGTTGCAGACATTGATTTAGGTGGGAGTTAGGTTATACTGTTTGTTGGTTACTCAACCGAAAAGATACATACAATGATAAAGATGGAAAGCGCTTATTTCGAGTGACAATGGAAAATGAAAAAACTCCACCGCCCAGTGTGAGAGTCGAACTCACAACCTCTGGATTACATGCCCAACGCTCTGCCAATTGAGCCAACGGGTCGTCCGTCGATCAATCGGCAGGGAGGTCGAGTTCTCATCACACACCAGGCGGCAGAATCCTTCCAATTCCGAAGTCACCCGAAATCATGCACTATACGAAGCATCGCTGGCAGGATGGTACTATATAGTCTCCGTATTTCACCGTTCGTCCTCAGGTCATAATGTTTGTTGGTTACTCAACAATTGTTCTTATTGAATACAATGTTTTCACATTATCACAAGTAGAAGTTAGATTTCAATTGAAAATTGGGAGAGGATAGTTACAGCTGCAGATATAATCAGAAATGATAGGCAAATTATTGGGAAAGCCATAAGAGGTCTCCCGAAGAGATGCAGAAAATGTTTAGAAATTGGAGGAGGACATTTTGAGACCCTTGATTAATATTAAGATTCTGACAAATCTTTTTCGGAAATTATGATTGTTATTTTCCAAAATCAAGTCCGGTCCTGAATTTTTTATTGAATTATACCTTTTCTCAAGTGTGCTGTTGAATCTTTCCAGGGAAAAATTTGATTTAATTACTTTTAGTCGAATGTAGAGAGTGATATGCCCGGACGGAATCGAAGAAAAATTCATCGGTATTTTGTTTGATATTTTTTTACCAAAACGATCGAAGTGTGCCGTACGAATTGAAAAGCCATACTTGTAGTATTTTTCCTGATCTTTCTGATTCTGATAAAAGTTTTCGAAAAATCCGATCCAGAAGGTCAAAATTTTGACATCTAAAGAGAAAATGAGTTTTGACATCTAAAGAGAAAATGAGTTTTCCAAGTCCGGATCTGGAACTTTTTATTCATAGTACGTCATCTTGTGGAGTGTCATTAGAGGTAAGTTGCTAGTGAATTTCAGCCGATAACATCGAGACGTTCCTGAAATATCGTTCATTGGAGTTTTGATCCGAATTCAAATAATGCCCTGTATATTTGTAAAGAATAGGCAAAAAATATTTTATTATTTATATATCAACTCACCTTGACCTCCTCTATCCGCCATTGGGCTATGGCTGGTTAGTCATGACTCACCCTGTATAATGATAAAGATGGAAAGCCCTAATTTCGAGTGACAACGGAAAATGAAAAAACTCCACTGCCCCGTGTGAGAGTCGAACTCACAACCTCTGGATTATATGCCCAACGCTCTGCCAATTGAGCTAACGGGACATCCGTCGATCAATCGGCAGGGAGGTCGAGTTCTCATCACACACCAGGCGGCAGAATCCTTCCAATTCCCGAAGTCACTCGAAACCATGCACTATAGGAAGCATCGCTGGCAGGATGGTACTATACAGTCTCGGTATTTCCCCGTTCGTCCTCTGGCATTGTCTTTCCTTGTATACAAAGAATGTCGGAAGACAATCATACATAGGAGTCAGGTCATAATGTTTGTTGGTTATTCAACAATTGTTCTTATTGAATACAATGTTTTCACATTATCACAAGTAGAAGTTAGATTTCAATTGAAAATTGGGAGAGGATAGTTACAGCTGCAGATATAATCAGAAATGATAGGCAAATTATTGGAAAATCCATAAGATTTCTCCCGAAGAGATGCAGAAAAATATAGAAGAAGCAGAAAAATTGAAAATGAAATTAAAGAAATATCTGCTCAGTAAACTTTAATAGTACTAATCATTCACAATTTGATTACTTGTAATGGATTATGATATTTTCATTTTATATTTTATTATAATTCTTTTTTTTTTTTAGGAAAAACAATAATTGTGCAATTATTATTGTTTCGATTTATTATGTTTTATGATATGTATGTTTTGTTGTATATATCCCTATTATAAACAATAATGTTTCTTGGGGTAATAAAGACAATCAATCAATCAATTCGAATATATTAAGATTCTGACAAATCTTTTTCGGAAATTATGATTGTTATTTTCCAAAATCGAGTCCGGTCCTTAATTTTTTATTGAATTATACCTTTTCTCAAGTGTGCTGTTGAATCTTTCCAGGGAAAAATTTGATTTAATTACTTTTAGTCGAATGTAGAGAGTGATATGCCCGGACGGAATCGAAGAAAAATTCATCGGTATTTTGTTTGATATTTTTTTACCAAAACGATCGAAGTGTGCCGTACGAATTGAAAAGCCAAGCTTCACTCGTAGTATTTTTCCTGATCTTTCTGATTCTGATGAAAGTTTTCGAAAAATCCGATCCAGAAGGTCAAAATTTTGACATCTAAAGAGAAAATGAGTTTTTCAAGTCCGGATCTAGAACTTTTTATTCATAGTACGTCATCTTGTGGAGTGTCATTAGAGGTAAGTTGCTAGTGAATTTCAGCCGATAACATCGAGACGTTCCTGAAATATCGTTCATTGGAGTTTTGATCCGAATTCAAATAATGCCCTGTATATTTGTAAAGAATAGGCAAAAAATATTTTATTATTTATATATCAACTCACCTTGACCTCCTCTATCCGCCATTGGGCTATGGCTGGTTAGTCATGACTCACCCTGTATAATGATAAAGATGGAAAGCCCTAATTTCGAGTGACAACGGAAAATGAAAAAACTCCACCGCCCCGTGTGAGAGTCGAACTCACAACCTCTGGATTACATGCCCAACGCTCTACCAATTGAGCTAACGGGTCGTCCGTCGATCAATCGGCAAGGAGGTAGAGTTCTCATCACACACCACACACCGGCGAAAACATTTCCAGTAAAGTTCAGTAATATCGGAACGATAAGATATACTGGGCAGTACTGTTCGAGAATATGCTCACAGTCGAAAGCTGTTGTAACTTGGTTAAATAAACAAACATCCATCTATCTACCTGTTGCTTCTCGCCGGCCGCCGCACTCTTGTCCCAACTCGGCGATTTCTCCTTCGGTTTCTCCGGCGTGGTTTTCTTCTCTTTGGCTTTCTCGCTGTTCTTCGCTATATCGGCGTAGGAAATGGGCGCATTCAGCCCATCGATGGGCAGCGAATGCACGGAATCCGCGTCCGAAGAATCGTTGGACCGTTCGCTGTGCGGCACGGATCGCGCCGACTTACTGCGCAGGTCCGGCGAGGGGACGCGATCGGCGCGGTTGGCGTTGGATTCGGAGGAGGAGGTGGGTCGGCGGCCGCTGCTGACGCTGTTGCGGCGCTTCTTGCTCTTCTTCTTGGGCTTAGTGACCACCCAGTTGTCGGTCGTTTCGAGGTTCTCGGTCGACGCGTTGCTGGATAGGATTTGGAATGGCGGAGGCTGCAAAGAGGAAGGATTGGTTCGGCCCTCTTTTGGTGGGAATCCATAAATATTTGGGGTTCATGTACCAAGAATAATTTCAACAAAATGCCGGTTGCGAACTATGAGAAAGTACATTGTTTTGAAATGGTTCATATGCTGCATGTATTATTTCGACTTTATGGTAGTGATTTGAGCAAAGTAAACTTCACATTTGACTGTTTATTTGTGTACCTTTGTGAATCGAGGGAGCTTTTCAGCAGATATTTGTTTAATAAAGTGTGTTTCACTACTTCAAATAGAAATGACCCAATTTGAGGTATTCCCATTGATGATAAAGTAGTGAAATAAATTCACAGAGTGGGTATTTGAGATGTATATATTGTAGTCGAATTGTCTACTTACATGAGTTTATATGAAAGAGAAAAAGTCTTCAAAGCTGTTTGTGCAAATAATTGATCTAACTCTGCTTGGGAAAATTGAACATAATATTATGTGCTTTGATTTTGAATAAGAATGCCATTTTTCAAATTCCTTCTGTGACTTCACTTCTGGGAATGAATTGCAACTGAATTCAATCTTGAAATTGAATCTTTCAATTATACACTGATTGTTTTCTGTGAAATGAAACCAAGCAATAATGATTCAAGATACTAAACTTTCGACAAAATGCATGGAAGCTTGAATGTAAACAAACATTCAATGTACTCTCCATTGGTTCCTTGAATATCGGTATCGCTCATTTCGAATCGCCTATACTACCACTTGTAGTAGCTCTAAGCAACTATAAAATAAATGAATATAGTGTTTTACGTCCAAAAATATACTACTATGAGTATAAATCAACAATTTATAGGCTAAGAATCAGTTGGTGTCCAAATTGCATGTATTTTATTATGAACCTACCTATGAAAAATTGAGCCACTCACAATCTGGTGTAAAATATTCTTACCGTATACGTCACCAGATTCTGTGTAAAATTCTCTATGGGATAACATTTCAATTTGACATTTTTGCTAAGAAACTTCGTAGCTGGATAGGATTTGGAATGGCGGGGGCTGCAAAGAGGAAGGATTGGTTCGGCCATTATTTGGTGGGAATTCATAAATATTTGGGGTTCATGTTCCAAGAATATTTCTAACAAAATATCTGTACTATATAAAAAAGCATTGAAACCCTTTCAAGCCCAGTGATGCCGTTTGGCATCATATATTTCAGCCACGTATCCGCTTTTTTAGCGATTCAGTTGAATAAGGCATTTTCAATAGTTTGCAACAACTATTGGTGGGAATTCATAAATATTTGGGGTTCATGTTCCAAGAATAATTCTAACAAAATATCTGTACTATATAAAGAAGCATTAAAACCCTTTCAAGCCTAGTGATGCCGTTTGGCATCATATATTTCAGCCACGTATCCGCTTTTTTAGCGATTCAGTTGAATAAGGCATTTTCAATAGTTTGCAACAACTATTCGTGTCCAACTGTGAATACTGCATACATTTTTGTCCATCTACCTTAAAAGGGAAAGAGCTAATGAGCACAACATGATCTGAGACTTGATGTTGCAAGGAAGGACTAGTAAATTAATGAGTTAAAGGATCAGTACATGGAAAAATTTAAACAAATGTTCACTGAGACTCTCACCTCAACATTTCCCCACGATCTTCGTTCCTTGGGTCTGTCTCCTTGCGACTTGTGCCTCAACACGACTTTACCTTCGCTGTCCTTCTCGGATCCGCTGCTCCCAACGAAAGCGAAATCGTCCAATGTGGCGGTCGATATCTCGCCCAGTGAGTTGCTCTTCTTCAGTTCCGGCCTGAAAATTACGTCAGTGCAAGGTTGGTGGACTTTGGAGTCATTGGATGGTATTAGTTAGATAAGAGTTCGGACACAAAAATGACAACGGTTAGGGTTTTTGAATGTTCAGATTTATTAAGTTAGACACCTTGCATTGTGACGAGAGCGCCATAGTCGTTCCGCGCTTTTTCATTCAAAATTGTTAGAATTTGACAATAAATACTATGAACGTCAGAATTGGAATATAATTTCATAAACTATTGGGAAGTAAGCATAAATGAAGATGTCCTGCTGTGTAATGAATTGTGGGAATTCTGAAGAGAATGGATTTCATTTATTCAATCCGATTTGAACTCAAGCAAAATTTGTGAGGTAACATAGTTTGAATTTAAAATTCCCTTTTCATAACAGAGCAGATTAAAATGAAACTATATTTTAGGCCCATATTTCCAAACAGAAGATTTCAAGATTGAGAGAATATGATCCATTCATTTAGAAAACAGACTATTCGAAAAGAGAATTCATTATTATCGTCACACGAAATGAAAAACAAAACTATCATGGAGAAAGAGGAATTTATTGCAAAAGTATGTAATGAAATTGAAAATTGGAGAAGGAAACTGAGGAAATCAAGTGAATTGCAAGGTGATATATCATTGAATGGCGTTTTTAATACCGACCGAACTGGTGAGTGTTTATATATACCCTATTACCATTTTCCATCTACGGCTATGATTGATTTGACAGGAAATCTAACCTCTAAAATCGTATCTGACAATCAGGTGCTACTAGGGAAATTGAAAAGACAAAGAGCAGAATATATGTCTTATTCTTTTATTCACTCAAACCATTGTAATATAGAAAATAGTATAGGACAGAAGTTCCGCTGTGTCCGAACTCTTATCTACTAAGACCATCCAGTGACTCTAGTTGCCAATTTAAATTTGTGGGTCGCTCACTTCATGTGTCTTTCATTTCACAATGAGAAAGAATAATATACATTGAAAAATAATTCAACTCTGATCGAAAATCCAACTTAAAATTATTGTTATACACCCAGACCACGCCGAATCATATCCCATAAAAAATGCACGTAATGTGTGCTACTCTAGCATACACACGGCGAAGCATTGATGAACGCATATGTACAAACAGTGTGTCCCACTTACCATGCTCACCATGGGTATCTTTTCAACGGTGAGAGATAGGAGGTCGGTTAAATGACACCAAATGTGTAGTTTCTCAAGGCCAACTATAATGTGAAAAAATATTTTGATAAAATCTATTCGTTTTTGTTTTATACGCAAAAAACAGATTTTGATCATTTTCATGTCTCCTCCTTTATTTATGAGAATATTCAAATAGGGATTTCACATTCTCATGGCAGTATTTCAGAGTGATTTCGAAAAAAATATGAAATTCATACCAACTCTTCTAGTATTTGAGATATCAGCACCAACTTTAGTTTTTCAAATGTAGGTCATAGCTCACTATGACTTAGTTACAAATAATTTTTTTTTCTCTTACAGATGATATGTCGCAGTAATAGTTTTGTGTTGATAACAACGGAGTAATCGTCATTTATACAAAAACAAAAAATTATTTGGAAGCCGCCATCTTGGATTTATATATTTCAACAAAAAAATCATGATCTCCGACCTCAAAAACTCCCACTTACCAATTTTGAATGGAATCGGACCAAATCTTGTCCGCCATCTTGGAGCAGCCATTTTTTTAATTTCAACAAAAATTCCATAACTCCGATTAACTTGAAATTTGGCAGGTGTTCATAATTCCGGTGACAATACATTATGGAATTTTTGTTGAAATTAAAAAAATGGCTGCTCCAAGATGGCGGACAAGATTTGGTCCGATTCCATTCAAAATTGGTAAGTGGGAGTTTTTGAGGTCGGAGATCATGATTTTTTTGTTGAAATTTATAAATTCAAGATGGCGGCTTCCAAATAATTTTTTGTTTTTGTATAAATGACGATAACTCCGTTGTTATCAACACAAAACTATTACTGCGACATATCATCTGTAAGAGAAAAAAAAGTTATTTGTAACTAAGTCATAGTGAGCTATGACCTACATTTGAAAAACTAAAGTTGGTGCTGATATCTCAAATACTAGAAGAGTTGGTATGAATTTCATATTTTTTTCGAGAATGTGAAATTCCTATTTGAATATTTTCATAAATAAAGAAGTTACGGAGGACACATGAAAATGATCAGAATCTGTTTTTTGCGTATAAAACAAAACCGAATAGATTTTATCAGAATATTTTTTCACATTCTAGTTGGCCTTGACAAACCCCACATTTGGTGTCATTTAACCGACCTCGTATCTCTCACCGTTAAAAAGATACCCATGGTGAGCATGGTAAGTGGGACACACTGTATACTAGAATATACACATGGCGACATGGGCCAAGCCACTGTGTATACTCAAAGATACACATGGCAGTTAATGTGTTAAATTATCTTTGCGGTCGACCGACTTTGTGCCAATTATTGATTCATCTTTGAAGTCCCGGTATATGCCTAATCGTCCACCCAGACTCCACCCACCTGGACTCCTTGCCCTTGGTGGAGTTCGCCCGCTGCTTCTTGCGGCTGGACGGCCCGTCCTCGGACGCGTGCTGCTTGTGCAGCTGCTTCGACTTGTGCACGTTCGACGACCGCCCGCCCTTGCCGACCGTGCCCGCATCGCCGCCCTTGATGTACTGGATCAGCTTGTCCACGTCGTTGATGATGTCGCTGCGGTGGCCTTCGACCTGTCGAAATATGTCAAGGTGAGAGACCTGGGTGTGGCTCCCGGGTGGCGAGCATGATGGGCGTAGCCAGGGAGGGGCAGGGGTGGGCGCTTGCCCCCCCCCCTGGTCCAGACAGGAGAAATACAAATTAAAGTTTTCTGCATGATAGGTAATATTCTTTATATAATCGATTCGCGATCGACATTTTTTGTCTTATAATACTTATTTATTTCAAATTGTGTGTGCATTGAAGTTGATTCATCTGGATAGCCAGCCATATCAGCTGCCCATGAATTAAAGTATCGCACTATCTATCAGCCAGAAAACGGGCTCTGTTGATTTCACTTGCTCAACCATGCACAACATGTACAATTGAGAGGTCATTCAGTACAATGAGAAGAGTGAAAACCTGGTTGAGGTCGACTATGACCGAAAGTCGACTCAGTGGACTTTGCATGTCGAGTGTGCATAGAAAGAGAGTTCTGGAAAAAAAAGAAGATATTTGAAGAAGAAATATTGAACAGATTCTGTCAAGACACCCGCAGGCTCGTTTTAAAATAATTTAAATCTAGTAGTTATCATTAGTGTGTATTAGCTTTTCCTTTAGATTTATTTCATTATAAATATTTTGAATATACATTTGAGGTATGAACTGAATTATTTTCACCATTTCAAAAAATGCCCTACTGCCCCCCCCCTGATTGAAATCCTGGCTACGCCCAAGCATGGGAGCTGCCACAAAAAAATACAGGGAGGCGCGTTTTTTTTTTAAATCGAAAGCATTGCAGTAAATTAAAGTTTGGATCCTTTTGACCAATCAGCACTACGGCTGTGGTTCAAAAATACTACGGAAAGGATATATAAAGTAGGTTAGGTAGGTCAATTGGTATGTAGTATAACTAATTTCAGGAAAATTTTTGATTTTCAACAACTAATCTTCAAAAAATTGAGGAAACATTGCTGAAAGTCCCAAATCGATGGCATTTTGACATACATATTCATGTTTCGGATAAATTAGAAATGTAATCCTATAAAAATATTCTGTGAACAAAAATTGAAACTTTTTAGTAAATCAAACAAAAATTCAGATGAACTTCATATTAAAAAGGTATATAAGTATCTACTTACATACTCTTATTTAATAGATATTAATATGCCTATATGCCATATATATATAATATCGCGTCTAGACTGAAATGACTAATTGATAAAGAAGTTCAGTTAGCTTTGAGAAAGAGGAACTGTCTTTCCCATCTGTTCTTGCCTTCAGTGTTCCATCGTTAAAAAGTGAAAATCTTATGATGGCAACACTAGTAATGAAAAGAAATGGAGAAGACCATATTAACCTCGATATGAAGAAGATTACAATGGTCTCCTTCTCCATTTTTTTCATATCTAGTGTTGCCAACATTGAATTTTCTTCCTTTTACGTTGGAAGCCGGAAGAAGAGGACATAATGGGAAGACATATTTTTCTCTCTCGACGCTAGCGGAACTTCTCTATCAAGTATCAAGAGTTAATGTTTGAGACACACTCTAAGGGTGCGTTTCATTCGAAACCATCAACTACCTAATACTACTTCCATAATATAAATATACCGATGTTTCTTCATAAAACTGTCGGAAATTTTATAAGTTGTCAAACTATAATTATTATACATGTCCATAGCAACCAACCATCCCAAAAATTGAGATTTCTATCAAATTTTGAATTAATTTATCACTACAGGCAAAATGAAAAGATTGTGGGAATTGTAACAATTCACAAATACAATATCCTATATATTATTATTTCATCATGAACAATCGGAGAACAATTATATATTATTATGTTCGACCCCGCAGCAAAATAGATTGACTGCCTAGTAAAACAAATAAATATTATCTCGTCTCCTGAATCACCTCGAATTTTAAAAGATAAATATGATTCAATGATGATTTGATGATTTTGATTTTAATTAATGAGATTATCTGGTATCTACTTGTATTCACTTTTTTTTTCAGGTGCATTGGATTCATTTTATGAGCTTTAAGAGTCATATCATAAGTTATAATCAATTATCAAATAATGGGAGGTATTTTGAGTTATTTTTGTTTATAATGGGACTTACTCTTTCGGCAGTAAGAACAACCACATTCTTATCAGTCTGGGTCTTCTTTTTCTTGGCTTTTGTAGCTGGATTTTGATGTAATGCATTACCATTTTCGTCGACTTTCTGTAATGATGGAAAATTGAGGTTATACTCTAAATAAGTCATACATTAACATTTGATCACACTTTGTTACCTATATCATGGATAAAATTGTAGAAACAATTCAGAATACGTTCATTGAAACCGATTATATTCAAATAAATTTAGTGGAATATTAATTGAATTGAAAAAAATTATACAGGATGTATAATGTGTAATAAAATGCGCACTTTCAAATCGCTTTGCAAAAATCCAGCGGATTGGAGGAGACTGACATGACAATTGACACATTTCAAGTATTGTTTTATGTTTAGATTCGATGAAAAACAAAAAATATTGAGGATGTTTGAGATTCTTGAGAGATTTCAGAAGATGGGAGTTGTTAATCAATAAAATCCATATATAACCGTATCAGCCTATTCTGATTCTGAAGATACATGACAGACTGACACACAACCAAATCCATCAATGTGTTGTTTATTCCGTTGTTACATAGTTCCAGCATAAATGCCATCAGAACAATTGGTGACGTCACGACAAAAAAGCGCATCTATCAGTGCGCACTTTCTTCGATGGAATGAAAAACACGCCCATTTGTTTGCTCAGAGCCCAGATAATTTTGATAGACGGGCCCGATTAATTTGTCTGACTGCTGTCAAGTAGTGTCAAGCTGTAGATTTTCAGCTGAGCACGATAAAATACACACGTTCATGGTGTCAGCGAGTTATGAGAAATAGTCACTTGTAATCTCCCTAGCAGCAAAATTATTGCCGATAATTTTTTTCAAGGTCACGAATGTGATATTTTTTATCAACAAAAACATGAGTGATACCGAGAAACAAATTATCGGAAAATAAATTCTGCTGCGGTAAGAAAATTTCAAAAATTGAAGTTACTCTTAATATGATGAGAAGATGAACCGTATGACCCATTCTGCGTAGATGTCAAATAAAATTTGACACTTAGGTTAACTCGTTTTATTACTCAAATATGAGAAACATTAAATAACACATTTGAAAAAACATATTTTCGATGAGTTTAGTTAAATATGACGCACTGTATTTTTACAATAGAGGTTGATTTTAATTGTTAGTAACTAAGGTTTATTGCTAAAATTTCAGGAACATTAAAAACATTTATACGTTTTCAACCATAACATCTGATATTACATGTCTACATAGCTTCAAATGGGACTCAAAAAACTATATTTCCCATGAGTTTAGTTAAATATGACGCACTGTCTTTTTACAATAGAAGTTGATTTTACTTGTTAGTAATTGAGGTTTATTACTAAAATTTCAGGAACATTAAAAACACGTTTTCAACCATATAACATCTGATATTACATGTCTACATAGTATGAAAACATAGTTTCAAATGAAACTGAGTGACTTTTGCCAATAGATATAAGGCGCTTCATTTTTGACAGAATAATTGTCACTTATTTAAACAATTCCGAACAAAATTGAAGCGATAGTCGCCCGTTGCTATATACAACGTAATCAAAAAGCCTTCTAATTGGTTCAAAATAAATTTATTAAATTTTCACAATAAAATCAAGCTCTCAGTAATTCTGTTCAAATGATAAATTTTACAAATTCTATTGATTGCAACTACCAAAGGAAGTAATAAATGTTTGACAAGCATTATTAAGAAGATAAATATGAATATGAGATATACAGAATGTTCCAGAATAACTTTCGTATACTCCGGTAGGAGATCCTGCAGATCAAAATATGAATAAATAACCCTATCAACATGTATTGTGTTTTCCGAAAATCCCTTCTAAAGGTGCTAGAACCGCCCTTTGAAACATGCAGTTTTCTTGAATTATCTTTATTGCAATTGATCCCAGAATTACGAAATTTTGATACCTAAGAGTAATTTGATCTTACAAATTATTTCGTGGTATGGAAATTATAATTTGATAAACAGGGAGCTCTGCGATACCGATACTATAAAAATGCCACAAGTTTTCTTGTTTCCCAAAGCATCTCATATTTAGTACCACTACCAATTAAGCATTTAAATTTCAAGTCAGAAATGAAGAATGTTACGAGAATGAGACAAGAAAAAGCTGTCAGCTATTCGAGATAAAATACAAAAAAAAATAAAAAAGATAGGTACTTTGAAAAATATGTATTTAATTATGTCTATTGTATTTTTTCTCCCCAAAGTAGTAGTAAATACTCTCTACAGTACAGTAAGACAAAGAAAGATCTGATAGTTCAATAGTAGTAATAGTTTGTCATTTAGAAAAGTCAATATATTCACAAAAAATATGACGAGCACTTTTTCACTCATACTGATAAACTTCAACTGTCAGATTTCATGCAACTTTGGTATTTTTATTCTTGAAATTTTTATCGTAAATAGGTACTACACATTTAAATGACACTCAAATTCAAACTCACCTCCAGTAAATTCTGATCAATCAATAACTGGTTCTGTACTATTGGAAATGGATATGGTTTTATAATCCAAAATGGACATCCACCACTGTGTTCTTTCTCGATTATCATTGAAAAAAAAAAATAATTCGCAGGACACCACCAATACCCGAACAAATTGATAAAAAAATATTTGCACTATGCACTGTAGATTATTTAAATTAACTATTTTCAATGTTTCAGAATTACACAATTCAAACCAGCAAATACTTCCATTGAAATTTAGTCCACTGTCACGAATAAGCTTGAAACATTATGAATAAAGACAGTGGTGTTTTGACCTTTTCACTCTAACATTGAACATTACATAAATGTTTATCATTAATAGTAATTACCTGTCATCCACGTTACTCATTATTGAACATTTTGTGATTTTTTCTCAGGGTTTAAAGGTGTTGTTTTGTACGGTGGTTAGTTATCAAGTGATTGCCAAGTCAAAAAATTAAGTGGAAGTGGTATAAGATTAGATAAAAGGTAAGAATAATCATTAAACTTATCTGAAGTACCTGTTTACTTAAGCGGTAAATCGAAATTCATGCTCTTGTAGTGACATTGTTTTTTACTCAAAGATAAAAGAGATCCACACTGAAATTCAAAATCTAATTAGAAAAACATACAAATTATAGAGACACTAACAATCAGAAGAGTGGTGGTTCGATTTTTGGGAGAGCTAACTTTTTTGTAGAACTAGTTAAAAATTCAAATTTTTATAGCCAAATCTGGAGATGAGTCCGTACGATTCACGCATTCCAATGAACAGTACTGCTAAGGTTGCGCATGAAGACAGTAACAAAGCCTACAGAGAACACACATGAGCTAAAATACGTTTCCTTAAGGTCGATGGCCACAACAGAGTATTATAAATACAAAGTGCTGCGAAATTCGATTGACAACGCTTCACAGGTGCTACTCAAGCCACATGATGTGATTAAGAATTAGGTAATATAAGATCTCCACGGTGTTGAAGTAGAAACTTTGTTTTTTGTTGAGATAGGCTGTATACTGATAAAAAACGCCCCAAACCATAGTGCCCCTATTGATTATCCGATTTTGAAAACAAAGAAGCAATCAGTCAGCCTGTATAATTTCCTCAGTAAGATTAATATTTGACGATAAAGTAACTTCGATAATTTCATCCCGTGGGGATTGTGGCAATGTTTTCTCCCATATTTTCTACGTCACTGATGTATATCCTTCAACTGAGTTGAAGTAAACAGTTTTTATGACCTAAAATGAAAGCTTGCATGAACAAATTGTTTTTCTGTGACGATAAAAAAGTTTGACGTTCATTTCTGTTGTTCATAGTTTACTTTTTTCTACGGAAAAAAGAAGAAGGTACTTTTTTCCCGGGTTTATATATACACTGTTGATGGCTTTTGTTGTGCTAGTTGCAAAAAATCAGCCAATAACACCGTTTCCGAGGAAGAACTGCATCTACCATTCCACTTCGCGGTTAAGTAAATTACTAAACAACCACTAGGTTCGCAATTTTTCAAAAACAAATCACTGACTTTAGACTGACAGATATTTGATTTTTTTTTCAATTTATTTGAATACTCCGAGAGATACCAAGATCCATAATGAGTAATAAACATATGTACGATTATATGTGTGACTTGCATGTCAACAAACTTGTATAATTATTAGCTATACTTATTCAATAACAATTTTTGTAGCTTAAACAACTAATTTACATGTAGTGCATAGGAAGAGATACTTTTTTATACATCACATATTTTCTAAAAAAAGTTTTTTCATGTGTCTATTGAAAGTGTAAATGGACGGACTGTTTTTGATATGTTCAGGAATTTGGTTACTTCAAAAGAATGGTAAAAATGCCTGCAAAAAGATGCAGGTGAGATTCCTGTTAAAAACTTCAAGTTTTACGTCGTCCTTTTTCCTGTCACAGAAAAAATAGTGCATTATACACGGGAAAATATTAGATTTTAGCTCACGGTTTTTTATCTCCCTCCGCTACGCGTCGGGAAATAACACAACTTCGGGCTAAAATCTACTACTTTTTTCCCTTGTATAATAGAACACTATGTTTTCTGCATGAAATGACTGTTTCTGTTCAGCTACAGAATGAAAATTGAGATATCTGGTCAACTCACTACCTCGACTCGACTATTTTTTCAACTCGGCTACGCCTCGTTAAAAAAATCAGATCTCGATCACCAAAGTAACATTTCGTGCTCTAGATACAAAAATAGTTATTTTTGTATCTAGAGCGCGAAATGCTATCTGATTTTTTTGACGAGGCGTAGCCGAGTTAAAAAAAATAGTCGAGATGACCAAAGTATTTCGCGCTCGAGTTGCAAACAAAATTTTTTCTACAAACGCCAAAAAAGATAGTTCAAAGTAAAAATATGCTTAGCTTGATATAAAAAATAGTGTTGAACTGGCTTAAAAGGCCTCACTCTATCCTCCCTAGATACGCACGATGTTCCACGAACATAATAGGAATTTTCTTTCGTGCGCTCCAAGAGATAAAACAAAATTATTGTTGAACACTCAGAAATAAATCATTTCGTGGATGTTTGCTCGATTGAGGACCATAAAGTTGAAATATAAATATCTCATATATTTTACCTAACAATGCGCGAAGTAGGTACTTCGCGCACTGTTTTACTTCGCGCATTGTTTTGTGCGAGGTATCATGGTAACGTAGGAAACTGAAAAAAGTGTCACTTCGCAATTTGTTATCAATGCGCGAACCTTGTCATTTTTTGACGTTTGTAGAAAAAAAATATTATACCCATCAAAATCAGAATAATCCTGTAGCTTCATGCTCAACTTGAAATATGGCGAAAAAATAATGACTAAAGCTATGAAGAAATAGTACGATATTTACATAGAAAGTATTGAAGAATGGAAACATGGTGATAAAAAGGCATTCCGCCAGTAGAATTTGGAAGGGATCAACCAGTTACTTGCCCCTGTCGTACGCCTCTGGCAGTAGCCAGAAACGTTTATTTTACATAATTTCCAAGGGTGTATAGTATCTATACTTCCCGCCAAATATGACAATGATACGTCAATGGGGAAGTTTCCTTTATTGAGGTTCTTATCTCACTGTGAAGTTTGTAAAAAATCAATATAAAGTTTGTAAAAAATTAATATATACGTATTTTTTCATATTCAAGATCAAATTTCACTTCAGAAAAAATAAATAAAAGAGGAACTTGGCTCCTCCACCATTCTTATGACGTACTTTCTGAAAATCCACATTCACATAGAGTTAAAATTCGATTCCCTGTACCAGTACGACGTTGCCGACATCAATAATATGTCTAGATTTCCGGAAAATGTTCTTTGAATACATAATAACTATATCATAACAGCAATGGGATATAATAGGTTCTTCAATCCTACTTTGTCAAGTATTATGAATAATTCCCATGAATCTCTCATAGGCTGAATGAAGTTGATTACTAATAAAGATAAATTATTATATTTTGCGACAGTACCTATTATTTTTCACTATTATTATTACAATATGTAATTTATAACTTGTCAGTCATTTTTTTGCTAATGAATTCGTTCCTTAATAAAACGGAGCTATTTTCTAGGTAAGTTGCAGATTATATCTTGCAACAGCGCCTGATACTTCGAGTCCGTCCACACCACTCAAAATACTAACAGGCACAACAAGAGGAAGGGCCATGGGTGTCGGCTTCATTCTATTCTGACCGAGGACAGTAAATTAGAAAGGATAGTATCATTGAATGTAGCCGATAGTGATTCATTGATTCAATGATATTTTCGTTCAGGATCCAGCTATATTCGAGATATTTCAATGCATAAATAACAAAGCCATAACCTATCAGAATGGAGCCAACTACCCTCTGCATTCCTGCTCCGAGTGCATTTGTGGTTATGTATGTTTTTGTTTACCAGTCTTCTTCTATTTTTTCATTCGTTTTTCATTCGTTAGCTATACGCTAGCTATAATCTTCACCATCAGCTATTTTCAGACTAGATTCAGAAAGTATGTAGAGTTTGCCGCCCAGAAAATTAGAAATTGCTTTAATTTGAAAATGAAAACGACTTGGACTTTATCGATCGCCATTCTGTACAGCGTGGACATAAAACTAGAGAGTTCCGAACTTATTTTATGAAAATTCATCAGAAAGAAACTTCTCCATTAGTTTCGAAGTACTAGGCGCTATTTTTTTAAATTTTTGAATCGACTGTAAATCAGGGTTAAATCTTCGAATTTTGAAATCAGGATTTTATAGTTGAAACATTTCCAATTAGTATTAGTAGTAATTGATAATGTCCCAAATATATTTTCTGCCAAAAAGATCAAAATTATATAGGATACATCTTGTAGAATGAATGCAGTTAAACTGTTAGTAACCTCATAAAATTAAGCAACCAGCATATGTACCACATTTACACCCCATAAAATTCAATTAATAGCTAAATCACTGAAGCCAATTGATATAAGGAATGTCAAAGCCATTAAACAAATGTATCCATCAAGTGATGAAATGGAAGTAAGAGAATTTAGTTTGCTTTAAAACTACTATACTTACCCGCTCCTCAGTGCTTCTATAAGTTGGTATATACACGCTGTATTTACTATGTAGAACTTTGGTTTGTAAGGTATCCAGATCATAGGGCTTCTTATCAGCTGCATTGTCGAGTTCTAATGATATAGGATCATCCACATCCACAGGAGTAGCAGCTATTAGGGCAAAATTCATATTTATGATAAATCAAACAAACGGCATCAATATCGAAAAATTGCCTTGTTTCTATGTTTAGGTGAAATATTGCATGTGTATTTTGACTCACTTCTAGTCGTCCGATTTACTTGAAATTCCGGTGATAATGCATTATGGAATATTTGAATTTTCGAAATTAATATCCAAAAAGGTGTTCAAAGATGGCGGACGATTTTTGTGATCATTGTTTGATTCTATTCAAGTTTGGTTTGGATGTTGAAAGGTCCAAAATTTCCTAAGAATTGTGATCGTGGTCCGATTCTAATAAGAATTGATATGTGGGGGTTTTGGGGTGAAAAATAATGATTTTTATGTCAATATTTACGGAGTAACTCTGTTATTATGGTTTGAATCCATTTATGACTGGGATAAGAGGGTTAACGGGGTTGAAGATTATGATTTTTAGTCAATATTCATGAAATAAGTATGGCGTTTCTGAGATGACGGGGGAAAGATTTGTGATCAATGCCCGGAGGATGAGGAATATTCTGATAACTTAAGACAAGCTTTTATGTTCTCATTTGCTAAATATGAGAGAATAATTTCACAATGGAATAATCAAAACCTCAGAAATTCCAATGATACCAATCTCGATACCAATACAAATTGCATCATTTGTAACTTCTCTTAGTATGATATATTATGAAGCAATCATCTGGATGGAGTCCAGGCTTACAAGTGTGAGTATCGCAATCATATACAATCTATATATCTTATTTTCTTATATCTTATCTTATATCTGTAACATAGAGTCCAAATTCGTATTCGCTAAACGTCACACCATTTATAACTCAAGAACGGCTATACCAATTTTTATAATATTCGATATTTATGATTCCTCTTAGTCCGGAAATATTATTATTATATTAAAATTCGTCAAAACCCACAATTTCAATGTTGAATAGAATCGGATGATAATTACAAACTCATTCGCCATTTTGGATCCGTCATCTTGAATTTACACATTTGACGGAAGAATCATGATCTCCGATAGCGAAAACCCCCAGATACAAATTCTGATCGACCATCTTGATGTTTCCCATTTTGACGAAATAATCATAATCTCCGACTACGAAAACCACCAGATACAAATTTTGAACAGAATCGGATCATAATTACAAAACTCGTCCGACATATTCGATCTGCCATCTTTAATTTTCAAATTTCGTTTGAATTTCGTCGTGTCGTGGGTTCGATTATTGAGCTTGGCGCTTCTTAGATTTGGGCTAAATTATGCTCAGTGCATGGTATATCATATGGAATGGAGCCTAAATGTGACAGTGGTTTGATTTCCACTTCTTCAAACTGGAGATCCTGTCGGACAAGCCTTTCATGGGCTTCTGAGGGTTACTTTAGTAGCTTATGTAAAATGAGTAAAATAAAATAAATAAGTTATCTAAAAGGAAAATAAAAATTGTCCTCTCCTGTTTCAAGCAATTTTAATCAATAGCGACTGGTGTTTTTGGTTAATGTATACTTTCGTGCCCAAAGGATTAGAATACTTACCTGCAGGCTAGTTAATCCTTCATAATTCAGTGTAATGTATCAACTTGAAAGGACTGATGTGATGAAAAATCAAATTCAAAAGCGGTTAATTGTCAAGGTCTAGTTGATCGTCAAGGATGTTAGAATTTATGCGTTTGTTGATATTTTATGGTTTCAAACGATCAGTTTTATTCCTTCATTCTCTGCATGTTAAATTTTGAAAAACATTGGAAAGTTCATCGGAATCGACTCACACTTTTTTACGAAACTCAACACCCTGTATGTTCATATTGAACTTTTTTCCGTATTTACCTGTGAGCGGAATCTCCGCTAAGCTTTCGCCACAGCTCTCAAACACTTTGTATATGGATTTGTTTCACTACAATTATCATTGTGTGATTTTAAAATGACTGTTATGACAATAGTTTTGAATCAATGACATGAGGAAAATGAGTGCTGCAAGTTGGAGTATGTCAATAGATAAATATTATTGGTTAAAATAATATCATTAGTAGTATTCATCAGGAATTCATCACTATTTCAAGACCCAATAAACACTGAGTCATTTGAAATCAGAGCCTTCAAATTTACCAACTTATAAAAATTTACCTTACCACTAATGTAGAAAAAATTCAGGTGGAAAATGTGTAGGTCAATTTGCCTTCGGTAATCGGTAAGGCAAATGCAGCTTGATACCTTAAATTCCAATGGTGAACAGTGAATTTGAATGCCCTGTATACTAGTTCAGAATTGTGAAATCTCAATATTTTCCATTTTGTTCCAAAACATACTTTGTAAAAATTGAAAATTCTAGCATTTTATCACACTATTGTATGCTATTTTTATTTGATTGAATATTAATAACATAATAATAATAACTGAATATTTTGATACATATTGCAGTTGTTTTAGTAGATAGGATCAAAAAATATTAATACATTCCTGAAGAATAATGTAACATAGTAATAAAAGTAAATGGGATACTCATTTCAGCCATCTTATCAGTGTTCTCCCACCAAATATAAAAAAAAAACAGATAAATCACAGAACAGCAAAAAAATGAGCTCAAAGATAATCACTTGAATAACACTACATCTTAGATTTGGAAGAGATTTATCATTGAAAACTGATTTGTAAATCAATTCAAATTTAAATAATATTGACATCGATGAGTGCAAAGGGCGTTTCAACCTCAAACACATTGGTGATTCATTGTGTATGTGTGCTTATCACCTCAAGTTTACACTGTACCCTGTACAAAATGTTATTCAGAATGAAGGGACATTTCAGTGACTATGGTTAATATAATCAGATAATAAATAATCTGAAATTAGCAGAAATACCACATTAATATTTAGATTTTAGAAAAGTAAAATTACGTATTTTGGAAACTAAATTGCCATCCTCTGTAGAACTGAAGCAAAGATTGACTCTATGATATTCTCCAAATATTACTAGAAAGAGTTAAATTGACGAAATCCTAGTCACAATGAATTTTTTCACTGTTCAGAAAGTCGTTTGGCTCCAATTGTCATCAAGAAGTTTGGAACTAGAGATGAATGCACATGAGTACTAAATCCTAATTCATTGAAAGATCCGTTTGATGCCCAAGTCACAAGGATATGAATGATATTTTTGAATCACAAGGATTGAAGGAGGCTTTTGGGGCAAGAAGTGCCATCAAGTCAGGTATTTATGAAATGAATTGTGAAGACTGTAACAAATATATCGGACAGACACGTCGAAACATTGGCACAAGATTTAAAGAACATATTGTTCACTTCAGATAATTCAAGTGTTACCCAACATATTCTTCAGATTAGTCACCTTATCACTTTAGATAATTCAAGATTCCTTGAACATGTAACAAACACTAGAAAATTGAACAGTTTGGAAAGAAATTTACTTTAATCATAACATATTATATCATTTAATGAATCAGGATTTACAAAACATCCCTAGTTCAAAACTTTTTGATTTGATTTAACAAGTTGTCCATTGAAGAAAAACTGATCGCTGAACGGTGAAATAATTAGGCATAAATATACTGAAAGATAATCAGCTAATCTTTATGTTCTTTCCACTTCTACTGGGCATAGCAACTCAGTTGCTGGAAGCTGGAATACATATTTAGGATTTTCTAAATATTAGTGTGGTATTTGAGTACATCTTTGCATTCAGTTAAATGTATTTCACTCATCAAGTTGGACTTATGTGAAGAAAGGACATTGCAAATTTTCTAAAGCTAATTTTTCTGACAATTATTCACAAGTTTTCAAAAAGGTATCAAAAGTATGGAGTTGCTTTCAAAGTTATTTGAGTGAGGATGACTGGGACTTGGGAGTTGAAAGAAATGAGGTTCTTTTTTGAATCATAATTACTCCATCCTATTCTAAGAGAAGTTATGTAAAATTATCTCTTGAGGAGTTGTGGTCTCTCGATTTGCACCCTGTATATGCAGAATAACATAATCACATGAATCCTGATGTTGATGTAGACTTTGTCAAAAATGTTGCCTACTCTTACTCTACCAGCTTGTCACTCACCATTATTTTGTGATTCCCTTATAGGAATTCAAATATTTTCAACTGTCACTATAAAGTTTTTGAAGAAAAAAATTGGTCAAAACCAACTAGACAGGTCAAAATTCTCACTATTCAATTGGATAATATACAGGGAGTCCATCTTGAGGACTTACCACCCCTGTTAAATCAATATTATCTTTTTTTTTTTTTTTTTTTTATCGCTTGGAGCGCACGAAAGGGAATCCCTATAATGTTCAAAGAACATCGTGCGTTCCTAGGGAGGATAAGGATAGGAGGTAGGTATTGGAATTTTTTTTGAACTTCTGGAGATTATATGTTGTTGGGAATACTTCCTCAGGCAATGAATTCCAGAGCCTAGCCGTTCTATGGATGAAGGAGTTTTGATAAAGTGCTGTTCGACATCTTTCGAGGTTGACAACGAAAGGATGTGCTGACTGGGCTTGTCTAGTTCGTCTGACTGGTATTGCTAGTGAAGGGATGATAGCAGAGATTTCCGAAGCACATTTCCCGTGGAAGTATCGATAGAAAAGTGAAAGGTCGCCGACCTTTCTACGGTGTTCCAATGATGTCAAAGACTGAGTGAGTGTGGCGTCACCCACCAGGCGGATGGCTCTTCTCTGGATGGAATCTAAGAGCATCAGCGTATGTTTTGGTGCTGAACCCCATATGTGGGAACAGTATTCTAGAACAGGCCGTATCTGAGCTTTGTAGATCATGAGAAGCTGTTGAGGTGTAAAGTAGCTTTTCGCACGGAACAAGAATCCGAGTTTTTGTGAAGCAGCTTTTGCGATGGATCTGACATGATTATCCCATGAAAGAGTGTTGCTGATGGAAATACCGAGCATAGATATGGTGGGCTTGGTGGAGATGGTGGTGCCAGACATTACAATGTCGGGCATACTGAGTTCCGCCTTTCTAGAGAAAATACAGGCTTGAGTTTTGGTGGCGTTGAATTCAACTAGGTTGTTGGTTCCCCAGGCTGTGATTTCAGCAAGGTCTTCATTGACAGCATTGACCTGCCTGCGCCGTGAGTTCTTAGTTTCCTGGGAAGAGATGGGAATTCTGGATGAGAACGCAGTATGGAGGGTACTATCATCTGCGAAGCTGTGGATGGGGCAAGTTGTTACTCCCAACAGATCATTGATATGCAGAAGGAATAATGTTGGTGCCAAAATTGATCCTTGTGGAACGCCGGAATTGATGCCAATGGTATCAGACGATACACCGTCCACCACCACATGAAGCGATCTGCCTGAAAGAAAACTCGATAAGAGATGGCATAGCTGAGGTGGTAAGCCGTATGATGGTAGTTTGTGGAGGAGTCCTTTGTGCCAAACACGGTCAAATGCTTTCGATATGTCCAACGCGACAGCTAAAGATTCCCCGTGTTTTTCTAATGAAGCTTGCCATAAATGGGTGACGTAGGCAAGTAGATCTCCAGTAGATCTTCGCTGGCGAAAGCCGTATTGTCTATCATTGATAATTCCTGAGCTCTCCAGATATTTGATGAGTTCAATGTTGATGGCTTTCTCCATCACTTTGGAGATCACTGATAACAGGGCAATGGGCCTGTAGTTGTTGGGCAGGTTCTTGTTCCCTTTTTTGGGGATTGGTTGGACTCTAGCTGTCTTCCAGCATGATGGAAAAATACCCGACCTGTACGAGACGGTGAACAACTTGCAGAGAATCGGTGTTAGTTCTGGTGCACATTTTTTGAGGATAATGGGTGGGATTCCATCAGGACCGTTAGCCTTATTCGTTTTGAGACCAAGCAAAATTCGTCTGATAGTGCGTTGACGGAAGACGATTTCGGGCATTCGACTCTCAACCGGTGGAATGTCTGGCGGCACTTTTCCTTGGGAATCTAAAGTAGAGTTTGCTGCGAACATCTCTGCAAAGATATTTGCTTTCTCCTGCGATGTTGTTGCTAATGTGCCGTCGGATTTGGACAGTGGTGGAAATGAACTATTAGTGAAATTTCTTCCGACCGCTTTAGCAAGGGACCAAAACGAACGGGAGCCATTGGGACAATCTATGAGTTTCGATCTTATCTTGGCATTGTATGTTTCTTTCGAAGCATCTATTGTTTGGCTGCAGTTATTCCTAGCATCAACGTATTCTGCTCTAGTCGCGAGGTTAGGGTTTTTGCGCCAGCGATGGTAGGCTGTTTGTTTCAAGGCAACAGTTCTAGAACAGTTTTTGTTGAACCAGGGTTTCGATGATGATGATCTCTTCGAAGAATGAGGTATATATGTGTCCATTCCGAGCATGATGATCTCGGATATTTCTGCAGCACACTGTGAAGGGTCCTCAGAGTCGAAGCATACTCTATGCCAGGGAAACTCGGAGAAAAACATGCGGAGACCGTCCCAATCTCCTGAATTGTAATGCCATATAAGACGTGGGGGTGCCGGAGCAGTTGATGGAATGAAGAATGGGCAGGTTGTGGAGATGAGTGTGTGGTCAGAATTGCCAAGTGGAGCTCGTACATCTATGGTGTAGGGTGCTGAATTATTAGTGAGAAATAAGTCAAGTATGTTAGCTGAATGGTTATTGGCATCGGGAATTCGTGTGGGTTCTTTGATAAGCTGCTCTAAGCCGTGAGTGATGGCGAAAGCTTCGGCTTGTCGCCCAGCTTCATCCGTTCTGTTAGAGTGTACGAGCCAAGCAGTGTTGTGTACATTGAAATCGCCCATGATGATGATTTCTGCTGCTGGATGGTTCTGTTGAATTTGGTCAAGCTTCAGAGACAAGAATTCGAAGAGCTCTTCGTAGGATGGATCGTTTGGTGACAAGTAGAGACAACAAAGGTATTTGGTCTGTTTCTGGCTATCGAGTTTGAACCACATGACATCAAACTTATTTGGTTCCAAAGTTTTTTCTCGTTGACATGAGAGATTCGTTTTAGAGTAGAGGCAGAGACCTCCCTTGAATCTGAAACGTGTGTGGAGTTCGTACCCAGGACAGAGCAGATAGGTCGTATTGGTGGATGAATTGACCTGTGTCTCAGTAAGAGCCAATATGTCTGGCTTTTCAATTTGAAGGTGTCGATGGACATCGTTGATGTTCTTACTTAGACCTCGGATGTTACATAGGTCTATCTTGAGGACTTTTTCAGTCGATGGTGAACCCCCTCTAGCACCTCTCGCCCGGAAATCCGAATGGAGAGGTATTTTACTTCCGGATAATTTCACTTGAGGAGAACTCATCATCGCTTATTCTGTATAGAGAAGGGAGGTTGGCGTGGAAGAAAAAGGAAATTGGGTTGGGCTGGGTTGGCCGGAACATCAACCAGCTACTGAAACACGGGTAAGTATACCCATTTCACAGTGCCTATGGTTGATGTGGTGGTATCGCACCGGGCGATGGCGTTAACCATCTTCCACCTATGTTTGATTTTGAAAAACTTTTCCTTATTGGGAAGATGGTGTTTGAAATGTCCATCCTACAAGAGTGATTTTATTCCTGGACTGTTATCATGTCCAACTGTACTATTAGGGATTTTTTTTTTCATAAAAAATAATGATGGATTCTGAATCAGGATCACTTGAGCATATCTGTAAATTAATATTTATTTTGATAGGTGATCAGAAAATGTAGTACAGTAGTAAAGAACTGATGACATATCATCGTTGATGATTACTTCAAACATATCTGTTCCAATTTTCATCATTTGAATATTCAATGTGAATAGAAAAAAAAATAAAAAAGATAAGTAACCAATATTTATCATCATGATAATTCTTCACTCAAAAAATAATGATGAATCAGGATCACTTGAAACATACCTGTACTGATTTTCATAATCAATAAACACAGGGTGTCTGAAAAATCAAATTATTATTTTTTGAATTACTAATGAAATATTGCCTAACCTTTCCTTGAGCAATCCTCAATAATAATTTATCATTATTTTTATTCCAAAAATGCTTCCTTGAATGAATTTTACAGGGGTGGACACATTACTATTATATGACTTTGGTTGATATCAGTCTGAATATCAGTTGACACCTGAAAAAACCTGCCATGCCACTGAAATTCCATGGCTAACAAGATGGCTAACTTGGACAAGCCACCAGAGAATATTCACTCAAAACACATATACTTAAATTGAAAACCAAAATCATGCCAATATATTATGTGATTGAGCAGGTATAAAAAGTGAACAAAATAATGAACTCACAGATTTGTAGTGTTGCATTTGTAGTGTATCTAGGAAGGATAGTCATCTCTTGATGTTCTTGATAATTCTGGGCCAAAGAATCATGATCCAGAAGTCGCTGAGTCTCCATGGAGGATTCAATATCTATGGCAGTATACTCCTTGTCTTTCATGGCCTTATTTCTCCTAGCTTCCTCAAGAAACTGATAATCACGAGTTGGTACAACACTAGCACTGGAGTTAACATCACAAGGCAAACTCCCTGCAAATGGAGGTGAGAATATATGAGAAAGGTCTAAGCAAATGGCCAGATGTTATTCAATCCAATTTCATCATTTTTTCAATCATTTTGGACAACAATGTTCCATGACCAAGGTAATTCTTAAGACATGCACAAATCCACCTTTACAAAGACCTTTACCAATGACAAAATGCAACCTAAGTATTTCATTTCCAAGCAACCTTCACGAAAAATCATAGTCATCTAAATATGATATGTTCACTGACATGTTTACCTATGCATATCTCTCTTGCTCATGTAGATGATGTTGGCAATATTTTTTTTCATTTTACAGACAATACAGTATCTTTATCAACGAAAGTGAACTCAAATACTACAATGCCACCGGAATAACACTGATAAGAAATTTATTAATCATTTTATAGTTGCATAATTTTGTTGCTACAATGGTATTCATAAAAAAATCGATCGGAGTAAAAAGCAGAAGCATTAAAAATGTAGGTACCATGTAAAAAATACATACATCGAAAAGTATTCCCGGTTAAGGATTTCAGTGTATCCATATCAATATCCATCTAGTCGTCGATGCTTCAACAAGTACCTAACGTTTGCCGTGACGTTCAAGTTTTCCAGGATGACCGTTCGATTTTGCGAAAGGGTGGATAACCCAAAATCGCGTATCACACTATTAGTAAACTGTTTAACAGCATCTCTTTTGAAGCATTGTGTGCAAAAACCATTATTTTTTCTAATTCCACAAAAAAACTACTAAAACTACAGTTATTATAAACGAAACAGAAAAAAAATTTGAGGTTATGTTTGCGTTGACGTTGAACAAAAAACTGAAAACTGACTGACGCAGCACGCAGCGATCCAGCGATTCGCTGCCAACGAGTTTCGGAATTCAGAATATTATTCGGATTCGTTCCGATTCCGAGTCCATTACGATCCGCGATGTCCGCGACCCGCAACGCAAACACACACACAGCTGTCACAGCTTAACGTTGACCTTGGGGGATTATTTATTAGTCTATGAGATGATTGATGGGATGTGACCTTTGTTCGAATACAAGATTATCAAAAAGGTGCAGAATTAAAAAAACATCAGAAATAATAATGATTCGCACTATTCGCAGATAATACCTAGTTCACTTTCTACCAGTTGAGCTTGACCATTTATTTACATTCCCACATTTTTCTTGTTGTCTACTTACGCTTACGCCCTTACGCAAACGTCACTAGATAATTGATAATTTTATAGGTATTATCCCTCGTTAATTTACGATTGGTTGTTGGATGATCTATTGCCTGAATTGATAATGAATAAAACTATCAATATAACAATATACCAGACGAAAGGAAAGAAAATAAATTAATATAAATTAAAGAAGGATAAACTAAATCTAAAACAAAAGTGTAATCATGGTGTAACGTAACCATCAGGACCACACATGGGCGTGCAGTTCACACGGGAGTTGGGTGTCATAATCACGATAACAATATTAATATTAACAATAATTATTGTTGTTGATTTATGTAACGCGAAGTTTTCTGATATCGCCATTAAAAAAAACAGGAAACTAAATTCAGAAAAAGTTTGTTGGATCAAGAGAAATTTACCAGAACTCGTAGGTAGCCAGATTGAGCAAAAAAAAATGTTAACGGCCTCGTCGGACAATTTCACGTCGAGTGCAATAAACATTCACTTTTTGCACTTGTTGCATAAATAACTATTATGATTTCAATTCACAGTTTTATATATTCGATTTGTTTTATTCAGTTAATATGATCACTTATTTTCCGTACTAGAATTATTATTTGCCTTTGTCAGTATAGCTTTTGGAAAATAATTGTGAGTAAACCTTCATTTTCTGTTCGACTATCTTGAATTATTTGAATCGATGACCATTAACATCTAAACAGATGCCCCATCCACTGATTTGAAAAAGATCTACAGGGTGATTATAGCCCTCCACAAAAAGTGAAATGACTATATTCAGGCCTAGAAATGAAAGATCATGTTGATTTCCATCAGGCGAAAGCATTGAAAATGTGTCTTACTATTATTTGTGGAATTTATGCGTTGCGAAGCCATTATTATCGAAAGAATAACATTTTGTTGTCAAACTTTCGTTTTTGCTTATGATTTATCGTTTTTTGAAAAATTCTGTGAAAGTGTGAGGAGAATCTTATTTTTGATGCCTGTTTGTGTGCTTTGAAAATTCTCTGTCACAGTTTACAAAAACCATATACAGGATGAACTTTTTGATAAAGATTAAACTATCGAAATTTTTCAAAAACGGTCCTGGATTTTCCCGATTCTGAATAGATCAGTGGATTAGGGTTCAGTAGAGGAATATTCCGTGAAAAAATCAGACGAATCGAAGGAGCTGTTGAAAAGTTATGACCAAAAGATGTTTTTGCCAAATCTCATAATTCACCCTATACAGGGTGTTTCAAAAAAAACCTAACCCCCTTGCTAGGTTAGGTAGAACATTGCAAAATTAGTTGGGTTTGCTCAGTGAAAAAATGTCGTAACGGAATCCGTTTTCATGATACAAGGTGTTGAAAAAATTATTTTTTTACACATTTTTCACGATTATTCCGAAACTACTGGCAACATTGTATTGACATTTTGTATGGATGTTTCTTGAAATCTGACACATCGCATGAATTTCTTTTTATATCTGACTCTCATAGAGGGCGCTAGTTACACGGTTCGTACCGAGTAGTTTTGAACATAACTTTTTTGAGGTTAGATTTTGCAATCCAAATATGATATGAACTTGAACATCATTCAATTCTACACCAAAAAGGTACTCCTGGTGAAACTCGATACTATGTTCCGTTTTCAGAATATTTCGATTTGAAATTAATGGAGCAGTAATGATGCTGGTATAAAATGAATTTTATTGAGTTCAATTACCTATTTATTCAGGTTCAAAAACAATAAAATTATTCTTGTGCTGAAGTTATTGATGGAACAAAGAATCATAAGTAGAAAATTGAGAGATATTTGACCAGAAACATGAAATAATGAATCAGTTAGAGTAAGTGTTCAAAATGTCCGACGTTTAGAGGAATACACGATTCTATATTCTTTTTTTGATAATGTTTTATTCTTCTGAACAGTTGAGGATCAGCTGTTAGGTCATTTAAGTGATGTTCAATTATGTCTCACAACTCTTGACGTGAATTTACCTAGGTAGCATAGACTTTCTGCTCAAGATATAACAAAACTGTGTAATCCATGTTCTTAGTCAAATCTGTTTCGATGTTATTCTTGTGTTTCATTGTTAAATCAATGAGTTTTGCATCAGAAATGTATTGATGTTTTTAGTTTTCAATAAATAGGTGATAATTTTTCATAATACCCACTATAATACATAGCTTTATACCAGCAACAGTTACCACTTCATCATTTTCAAATCGAAATATTCCGAAAACGGAACACAGTATCGAATTTTACCAAGATTACCTTTTTGGTGTGAAATTGAATGATGTTCAAGTTCACATCAAATTTGGATTGAAAAATCTAACCTCACAAAAGTTATGTTCAAAAATACTCTGTACGAACCGTATAACTAGCGCCCTCTATGAGAGTCAGATATAAAAACAAATGCATGCGATGTGTCAGATTCCAAGAAACATTCATACAAAATTGCATCACAAATTCACAATGTTGCCAGTAGTTTCAACATAATCGTGTAAAAAATGTGTAAAAAAATATTGTTTCAACACCTTGTATCTTGACAACGGATGGCGTTACGATATTTTTTTACTGAGCGAACCCAGCTTATTTCGCAATGATCTACCTACCCTAGCAAGGAGGTTAGGTTTTATTGGTGGTCATTAGGTATTTCCCTCAAGGGCCTCTATTCGTGGTAGGAGTATGTACAGTTCCTCATGATTCACCCTGTATTATGTGCTAATTAGATCATGAGAAGCTGTTGACGTGTAAAGTGGCTTTCCGCTCGGAATGAAAATTCTAGTTTTTGTGAAGCAGTTTGCGTGATCGATTTGACAAAATTTTCTCTTTACTGATGGAAATACCAGCACTGATTTCGGCTTTTCTAAAGAAAATAGAGACCATACGTACTTATATATTGCTGGCGTTGAATTCAACTAGGTTGTTAGTTGCTCACACCACCTCAGACTATAATTTCAAGAAGATCTTATATATCTGTATCAATTTTCATGAAATGGCGAAGGTTCATAACGAAAAATTTCACCAAAGAGCCTTCGCCATTATTAGTATTCGATAATGAACGATTCATTTCAAAATAAATAGTAAAGTAGAACCAATACACGATCGAAGGTTTTATCTCGTTCAAAATTATTATTGCAAGATCATTCTGTCATTTAAATTGATTGTAATTAGGAACCAATTGACATACTAATCTTGCAACTATTATGTTATTTCATTATCTTGCACTTCAATTTTAAAACAATGTATTGTTATTCACTTTTCTAATATTTACGTCATAAATGTATTATTTTTGAGGAGTGCAAAAAATAATGTTCTTACAAGGCGTGCAAAAAAGAAGACATGTTCATACAGGGTTTTTCAGACTTGAATGTACATAGCATACTTGCAGAAGAGGAAACTTTGATGGTTTCAAATCACTTCCTATTGATGTGTCTACCGTCTTTTATAACTGAGATACAGGACGTCATCTTGATTTTGGCAAAATCTTCATCTGGTCAGAATTTAAGGAAAAACAGAGAACTTCTTTTATTTCAAAAACAAACAACACTCTTTATGGCAAACTTTTGTGGTTCTGTTTTGATATTTGTAAAGAGCGGGAAAAAATAATAGAGGGACCAACTTTTTACGAGCGCGCATCCAGTTTGACAGATGGTTCATTATTATGTTTTGAAATATTCCGCTCCATTTCGAGGCATTTTTATTGAACACGTAATTCAAAATGCAATTTTTATACAAGCAATTAACAGTCTTCAAAGTTCAACTTCATTCGAGAGACTTCATTAGAGTCAAATTAGGTGAACATTGAAATGGAATATTCTCAGATATATTTATCTGAGAATATTCCTTTTCAATACTTTCACCCAATCAGGGGGTTCAAACTTGAACGATGGAAACTTGTTGATTTTATAGATCAATAGATCTCAATCGCAGATTCGTGATTAGGTTTTCTCAATTCAGAATTTCTTTCTACGTCCTGTATGATGAATATCAATTTATCATAAAAAGAAAGGTGAACATCGATAGATTTGTTCGTTTGGCAGAATAACTTGTCAATGATTTTAGAAATTTTCGAGGATTTTATTTATAAAATGCGGTAAAATAGGCTGTGCAAAACATTTTGAAATTCTCACTGTTCATAATCACCAGTGTGATATTATTGGTAACATCAAGGTTATTGTGTTGACGCATAATTATGAACACTTTGAAATGTAACAACCCAATATGAAAGCACCAACAATTATCACCAATAATATCACACTAGTGATTGTGAACTGTCAGAATAGCAGTCTACTTTACCGCAGCTCATGAATTAACAGTGATTTTTTTTATGTTCTGGTTCCCACGAAAAGGGATATTCTGTAATGTTCAGAGAACATCGTGAGAACTAAGGGGAATAAGGTAGGAATTGGTGTTTTTCTTAAATTTCTGGAGGTTATATGCCTCGGGGAAAACCTCCCTTGGCAATGAGCCCTCAAAAATTTCTAAAACCACAAACAAGTTATTCTGTCAAACGAACTACGACTCTAATGATGTTGAACTTTGAAGATTGTTATTTTTTTGTGAAGTAATTGGATTTTGAGCTACGAGTTCAAAAAAATGCCTCAAAATGGAGCTGAGTATTTCAGAAAATATCAATGAAGCATCTGTCAAATCGGATGCGCGCTCGTAAAAAGTTATTTTCAAATATCGAAACAGATCTACAAAATGTTGCCTTACAGAGTGTTGTTTTTGAAATAAAAGAAGTTTCCTTAGAAGTATCATTTAGTTCTGCTGAGTAATATACGTGGAATATTTCGAAGTGGTTCAAAAGTTATGACCAGATGAAGATTTTGCTAAAATAAAGATAACGTCCTGTATTTCAGTTATAAAAGACGGTAGTTACATCAATTTGGGGGTTGATTTGAAATCAACAAAGTGTTCTCTATCTACAGGTATCGTATGTACATTTGAATCTGAAACACCCTGCATACAAGACATTTCAATAGTTTTTCATTAACATATCACAATCATATTACATCCATACTAATTTTTCACGAGATTTATATCAATATAGTACAATTGCTTTTATACTGTATGATAATTAAAAACGATGATTTTGGTAATACCTAATCGAATGACTTCTCTTCTACAGGGTGATTCACGTACGCCACACATCTGAAGTTGTATGAAAACCTTGAAAATATGTAAGCGTAATAAAAATAAAAATAATAATAGTAATAATAAGAATAATAATAATAATAATAATTGGCCTTTATTTAATCACATAATGATACATACATAACAAAAGTTCCTATAAGCAAGAACATGAGCAGAAAAGAAGTGACTGAATAGGTGAAGGTCACTGTTA